TAAAAAGTTGTGTAGAGGGTGGAGTTTCTTTTGCTCATACTTGTGATTAACAGCGGGTTTCCTATGCACGTCCACTCAGAAGCAAGTCCTGCTGAGATTCAAGTGTGGTGGTTAGCTCTGGCAAATTTGTATTCATAAAGAATCCAAAATTGGAAACAGCCACTATGCTCTTTAGAATGTCCCTTTTGAATTGTTGATCGTAACCCATATGGTGGGTGTTAAGTTGTGGGTGAACATATCAGACGACACAGCAATTCTCCAAACAGCTCTTGTTTATTCACAGGTCAGAACAGAACTGAACTGAAGGGTTCAGCCAGCCTGCTTATATAGAGCTCCAGTACAACATAACTGTAACAACTTTCTGTAACTATCCAATCACTGAACATCACTTTTGATCCCTTATTTGCATATGTGGACCTGAACTATCTACAGTATCCCCCTGCTGGCCCAGGGTGAGAACTTCAGTACATAACAGTGGGGACTGTTGCAATCTCTGGTTGACAAACTGGCAGGGCCGGCTGAATCAGAGTACAGCAAGTCTGCTTTCTGCTATCACGACAAGGCTCTTTTGTGTTTACCTTTTTGAACTGGTAATATTTTTACTAGATGCTGCTGCTTTTAGGCTATTTCAGGCTGTCATAATTATTTTAATTATTTCAAGCCTACGGTGTTAGATCTTGGTATGCTGCTTTGGGGGGTTTATTGGAAAACTGGCTTATAAATGCAAATAAATGAACAAGATATAATTCCTTTTAATAGGAACTAGATGTACATTGCCAAGAATAAAAAGTGTCGCGGTCAGCACGAAAAGGACACGTTGAAACTGGCCCAGAAATTTAGTTTATTTATAAGGGTGGCTTTAGGGGTTGTGTTTTTTCAGCTATGGTCAATCATACCGCTTTGAGTTGTCTCTACAAGCTTAGAGGTAAGGTTGGCATGATTAATGAAACCCTGAGTCTGCTGAATTTTATGTGAATTTTGTCAGTGAAATTGCTTCTGTGTAAGAACATGCCTATTCTTGCTGACTTGTTAGCATTTGGTTTTCGTGGGCAAGAACAGCAAATGTTCTTAAAGCATCCATTAATTAACTTCAATTAATTAACAGTAATGGCAATCATTCATCTAAACCCCTTAGTGGTAACTGCAATCCTGTATTCTTGTTTAATGTAATTATCTATATTAATTTTTCTGATGCACAAATACTATGTCCCATATTATCTTCCAGCTTTCAGTTACCAGTCCTGAAAGCACTTAATCATGAATGTGACATTCAGCTGAATGGATTATGGGACTTACTACATATCCTCCAACATGATGAGTCCCCAAACTGGGACGTACACTTTTCCATCTGTGCTCCCACTCGACCCATGCGAGATCACGGAGCCCCAAAGGTGTGCTTTTTTCAGGGCCATGCTCTCATGGCACCCAAAAACAGATGCTCTCATGGCACCCAAAAACTTCCCTGAACAGGGCTGCCTGTGTACTCATGACTGGTGCCCACTGGGGCAAGCTGGGAATGGAGAAGGAAAGGTTGTGGGCGTAGAAAGTACTTGTGGGGCGACAAAGGACAGCAAGAGGATGGGGGTCAGAGCACAGGAACTAGAAGAGCAGGACCCCTCACCATCACCAGAGGGGCCCATCTCTCTACAAGCATGGCAGAATCTGAGCTATAGCGAGCTCAGAGTTGTTAGACTACAACTCCCATCATCCCTAGCTAGCAGGATCAGTGGTCAGGGTTGATGGGAATTGTAGTCCCAAACCCAAGTTTGGGAAACCCTGCTCTAGGAGACAAAGACAGGCAAAGTCGCATAGCCCAGCTCCCTAGCTGGCCAGGTGTGGCTTGTTAGCTCTGGGAGTAGGTGTGTGATTCCTCAACTGGATTAGGCTCAGGGCAGCTGAGGGTCACACGCCTCATAAAGCCCAGATGTTACAATCAAGATTCAAGGCATAAAAGAGAAGCAGAACCAAGATGCTGTGTCTGTTCACCTTTCCATACTGATGAACCATGGTTTGGGTATCTGAGGAGCTCCATGGAACTGATCTGCAAGTACCCTAACCCTGGTTTGGCTGCATAGACAGGAACCTGGCTTTTGGACTTGGCTTGTTGTATTGAACCTGGACTGTGTTTCTTGACCTGTTGGACTGCCAGATTAGCATTTGCCCTTTGGACTGGTCGCCAGGTACGCCAGGATTCTGGACAGATGTTCTCTCTCAGTTGTGGGTCAGACACCCATTGCTGTTGACAAAGATTCTCACTGAGCAGATTATTAGCACCATCAGCATTGTATGATTGTCAGAGCTGTTAAACTTTTGTTTAGTGTTAACAAATTTTTTATGGTAAGCTCAGTGCGGTATTCAACCAATGATCTAATAAATTGTCCCAATAAAATTTATCAGTTGAATTAATCAGGGTGTAAAATGACTACTCCACACTATATTTCTTGCTGTTTGATTTTTATTTAAAAACGGGCTGAATGAAAATTTATGAAAACAATTAAAGCTGTCACGAATAGAGTCAGACTCTCTGCCTATAACTTAAGGTAACAGCAAGTCACTAACAGCTACAAGATTATAAAGTTAGCATGTTATTCTCGGGAAGTGTTACATTACAGTCATAAATTACCACTCAGCAGTCCATTAATTCCAAGTCGGTCTCTGAGAAAGAGGCTTTGTTTCCGTTGCTGCCAAAGCTCCAATTGTCACTTGAGTAGCTTGTTGCTCTGGTACTGACAGACCATAATGACTGACAGACCAAGTCCAGATTTTTCAGAAGAAGAGATACTTACTTTATATGTATTTATTATTGCATTTCTCTCTAAGGTGCCCAGGGTGATATACATGGTTCTCCTTCCTCTCCATTTTACCCATACAACAATCCTGTAAGGTAGCTTAGGCTTAGAGATGGCAACTGACTGAAGGTCGCCCAGTGAGCATCATGGCTGAGCAGGGATTTGGACTCTGGCCTCCAATTTCCTTGCCCAACACTTTAACCATTGAACTACATTGTTGGTGATGGACACCACCATGGACAAAAGACCAACATATGCCTGCTTTGACGGTTTCTGGGATTATTCTCCACTAGCAAAATGCTCACTGTGATGTGCTTGATGTATGCAGAAGGATGTATTTTGTCTTGTGAAAGCCTCAGGGTGTGTGGCTATGGGCTCTGACCCATCACACCTAGTATGGGATGGCTGTAGGTTAGGTTTTGTCACCCCGTGTCATGGGTGAAATACTTCCCCCCCCTTCCACACAGCAAAGATGAACTTCTTTACTTGTAAAGTGTGTGGTGTATAGCATACCCCTCTAGGATATCCACCCACAGTTCAAATTTCTTTTTATTCATGAAATTTGCAAAATGGCGTTTGGCCGGTCATTATCACTTGGCCTAGACTACCCCACAGAGTTGTGAGGATTAACAAAAAGTGGAGAAGGGGTAAGATAAAAGCATAATAAATACATAATTTATTTTTATTATAGCCACTTTTTCTCCAAGAAATTCCAGACAACACACATGGTTATTTGCTCTTTCCCTGCTCCAACACCCTTTAATCCCATCCTCACCCTGTCAGGTAGGTTAGACTACAGCTGATGTAGCCTTCGAAATGACAGGGGCTACAAGTCCACCCCCCTGAATCTTTGACTATGCTTTCTGGAGCCAATGGAAGTGGGGAATCTGTGGCCCTTTAGAGATTGTTTGACTACTACTCCTATCATCCCTGACCATTAGTTGTTCTGGCTGGGGCTGATGGGAGCTGGTCCAACAACATCGGAAGGGTCACAAGTCTCCCATTTCTGTTGGACTTCAAAACATCTGGAGGGAACCAGATTGTGGAAGGCTCAAGCATCATGTGATATTTCCATGTGTGAATTATTGTGCGAACCTGCCTTTAGTCTAAAGCAAGAACTGGGAACCTGATTCTCCAGGTGTTGGTGGCCTACAGTTCCCACCATCCCTACTCGTTGACCCTACTCGTTGACCCTACTGGGAATTGTAGTCCAAAAAGACTGGAGGATACTAGATCACGGAAGCCTGGGACGCATGGAAGTAGAGCAACCTGTGACCTTCCCAGATGATGTTGGACTTCATTCCTGACTGCTGTTCAGGACGGGGCTGAAGGGCAGTGGTTTTCTTTTCAGGGGGTATGCAAGGGTACGCAGTACCAACACCTCTTTTTTATTGTCATTTAAAAAGTGTGGCATTGCTGTAACAACTTCATGGTGAGTACCGGCACCTATTTTTCTAGAGAAAAGGCGCTGCTGAAGGAAATTGAAGGGAGTTGCAGCCCATCAACATCTGGAAAACCACAAGTTCCCCACTGATGATGTACAGATGTAGACACCGTCCTGAGGTTTTTTCCTACACTCAAGTGGTGTATCAATTTTATTACATAAAAAAGTAAAATTAAAGCACATGGCTTTCCCCCAAAGAATCCTGAGAACCGTAGAAAACTTTTCACAGAGCTGCAATTACCAGCGCCCTTAAACAACGGTTTTGTTTATTTTACTTTTAAAAAAAATTAATTTATTACATTTGTATACCACCCTATGCCTACTGGTCTCAGGGCAGTTCTAAGCATATGGGGTAGATGTGTGTGTGTGTGTGGGGGGGAAATACAAGAAAAAGTGCAGCCTGCGACCACATCCCAATGAAACCTTTATTTGCGTGCAACATAAAAACAGTGGCCACACAGGACAGAAGCCTTGACTGGAGAGAGGACCCTTTTCTTTGGGAGGCAAACTGCCTTAGGAAGCCCGGGGCGAAAGGAAACTCCTTTCTCAGAAGAGGCGAGAAGCCCCATCACAGCTGAGGGCACCACGTTGCGTACGTGTGTGTTTTTGTGTTTGCACCCACGCCACGAGAACCTGCTCTAAAAACCCCGCCTTGAGCTTCCTCTGCTTTTTTTCCCCCGCCTGTCATCCTCCCTCAAAAAGTGCCGGGCGCTCCGTCTCGCTCTCCCGCCTCCCTTTTCCTATAGGAGGCGCGAGCGCGCCCGCGCGCCCGAGAGGCGGGAGCGCGCTGAGGGAAAGCTGCAGTCGGCGGCGGCCATCTTCTTTCAGGAACCGGCTGATTTCCACCGCGCCCCCCCCACCTATACCCCCTCCTCCCCCTCCGCTGCAAATGAGGCAGCCCCAAGCGAGACCCCTTGCCACTCACTGAGCCGGTGCCGGTGCCGGGGGCGGGGAGCCGGAGGCACACGGAGAGACACCCACACAGGATAATTTGGAAGTGGGGCGGGGGAATCTCCCTTCCTGGCCGGCCGGGGTGCGGAAGGGGCTGAGGGAGGAGGGGGCGCCTCAGCCCTTGGCACTAGGAGCCCTGCGTCGGGAGTGGGCGGGTGGGCGTGAGGCTGGGGGCTTCCTCTCGGGGTCGGGCGCCCCTTCCCCGGTCCCCACCCCCCGCTGGCTCTTTCTGCCCTGCCAAGGTGCTGCTGCTGCTGCTGCTGAGGAGGCGGAGGCTGCTCTCTCTCTCCCCCTCTGGATGGGAGGATAAGCTGTAACCATGTTCAGCTTCGAAGGGGAGTTCAAAACCAGGCCCAAGGTGTCTCTTGGAGGAGCCAGTAAGAAGGTAAGCGACCCCCACCCCACCCACAGTGCCTGCGCTGCCCGTCTCGGGGTCTCTAGGTGTTTTTTGTCTCCGTCCGCCCCGTTTCCCAGCCTGCGTGCAGATTCCGGTGGGGCCCCGCGAAGCAGGCGTGACTAAGGTTAAATCTGAGCAACCCCTTGTGTCTAGTGTTTTCTCACCTTTCCTAATAATAATCATCATAATAATGATTTTTATTATTCCCCCACCCCAAGACCAGGGGCCTCTCTCAGACCTGCGGGTGCAGCTCAGCACCAGTGTGCCCTGGGTTGGTTTTTGTTGTTAGGAGGAAAAGGCGCCTGGAGAGTCATTTGTGTCGCCCCGGCTTTGGTCTTTCCCGGAGAGGGTTTCCTTCAAGGCCGAGGGTTTTGAAAAGAGAAACTTGAGATGCTTTGGTTGCGAAATAGCCAGCGAAAAGGCAGAGGCGTGATTGGAAGGGGGGGGGAAGGTAAGGGGTCACCGTCCCATTTGTGAAACTCTTGTGATACATCAGCTCTTGCAAGTGTCTCCTTCTCAGGTCCCTGGGCACCCAGTTGGGTGAAACGTAATTGTGGGAGGGGAGAGCTAGGGGGCAGCGGATAGGCCTCACTCTTGTGTTGGGGGGAGAGTATAATAATTTAGTCTGTAATCCTAACACTGTTTACCTGGGTGTGATTGAATTGAGTAGGCATGGTTAGGGTTCCACTGTTAAATTCCCACATTGCACTCCTGAACTGTACAGGAGTCTGCGAAACATACTGATTCTCAACACTGCCCTTTTAATACATGATTTGAGGAAAAGCGCACTCCAGGTTTCTGAAGTAGATAGGACAGCAGGGAATGCATTCCTTCACTTTGGCCTAGGTTTTTCTTTTCTTTTTTCTTTTTCTTATCAGCACTCTCTTACTTAATTCGTAGGCCTCTCCTAGTGCTGATAAAGCGCATAGGGGCCCACTAAAAATGTCCATGCACAATATGGCATCTATGTATAGCTTTCCGTTTTTTATTTAAAATAAGTATCTGTAATCTAAATAGTGTGTGCTTTTTAAGTATTTAAGTATTGAGATGGCACAAACTGAAACCTGGCCTGGTTTCAAAACTGTCTTGTGTCTTTTAGTGGTTTAGAGACTATTTATGCAAGTCATTGGTTCTTAACATAAGTTTCCTGCCTGCAATGGGAGTAATAATGCTTATCTCATAGGATTGCTATGCAAAGGAACAGGTTTACCCACAAATGCAGTCATTTTGCATTTGCTTTAGCTAACTATAACGGCCTGTATGTTTAAATGTACCCATCATTCAGAATTGAGGCAGACCTAAAAGCAACAGCTGGTCAGTCTGGTTTGAAGCTATTCAGGTAACAAATACAAGATCTCACGAAGCTTGTGAAGCAGTTTGCATACTGAAAGTACTGTGTCAGTTATTAATGAAAACATGCTTTATTTGGATTCTTGATTTTTATTTTTAATTCTGAAATTTAAAATACTTCTCATGAATTGTATGAGATGGGGCCTTTAAATGATATATTGTGCCATAAAGAAATACACAGCACACCCTTTTCTGTGCGGTGTTACCTAGGCCATATTTTCATGAATCAGATGCACATCAGAAGTATATTAGGTATGTGTAGCTATTCATCTGAATTATTGAGGAATGATCTACTGACACATTTCTGATGGCTAGAAGCCATTTACGTTCATTAAATCACATGTGCGATACTGTTTTCTGCACTGAAGAAAGAATAAGTCTTGATATGCAAAGATGGCAATTGGCAGGGTATGTCCTATTCTTCAGGAATGTATCTTAGGTGCTTTACATCTTTTGTCATCAAATTATGAACACTAATAGTACCACTTAAAGATTGTGCTGCTTTGCTCAAAAGTTGGGCAGGAATAATATATTCTCGCTATGATTTTTAAACCTCTGTTGAATTTTAAACAACAACTAAGGGTTAGGCTGTTTGTGTAATAATATTGAGTGTGATTTATTAAGACTTAGATCAGGGATAGCTGATCTGCAGCCCTTATTTCTACACTGACCCAATAGTTTGGTAATATGTAAAATAATTGCAGAAAAAAATAAAAACCCTGTTCTGCTGTGGCGCTGAAATATTTCTGCCTTAATTTATCCTGTGAAGACACCTCTTCTCCCTCTGGTGAAGCACCATTGCAGGAAGGTTTCGGTAGACAGGAAACAGGAATAAGCACTCTTTAGTGTTACACTGGACCAAAGTGTGCTGACAGTAGAAGAAACCAGTCAGTTTATTGTCCTTAAAATTAGATCTGCCAGGAGAAAGAATGTGACTTTGGATTTCACATGGAGTACTGGGGAAAACTGAGCTCTTGCGGAGGCTGAAACACTTGCCTTAGTTTGCATTTAAGCTGAAAATTTATAGGGATACAGCGTTATTATTACACTTATATACCACTTTTCTGCCAAGGTACCCAATGTGGTTTACAGTTTTAAAGTACTAAAACAAATGAAACAGAATATAAGGTTGGCCAGGGTGGGGAAACAGTCTTACTAGAGCAGGCCCTGATTTCTTTGCCTTCCTCCCTTGGTGTCTTCCTCTTGGATTATTACCTAAATCACTTGAAAGGCTCATTGGTGAACTTGTAGCACACTTTCCCTTCCTTTATTATCTTGTCTCTTTCAGTTTTCCCCATCCCCTGTAAAATTGATCCCACTCCCATCCCCACAGACTGCCTCCCATAAATTGGTTTATTCAGTGGAAGCTTTCTGTAAGAATTGCCATGTAAACATGAGGCCCATTCCCTCACCTCTGCTGTGACCCCCTCGATCCAGGTAGTGGTGGTGGGGACAGCTAAAGTGGGCCATGGTAGAGCTTTATAAAATGATGCAGAAAATGGATAGACCTTCCCCCCCCGCTCCCCCCCCTGCACTCATAACACTGGAACACGGGGTCACCCATTGAAATTGATCCGCAGTAGATTCAGGACAGAAAAAAGGAAGCACTTCTTCCCACAACACATAATTTATGGAACTTGCTGTCACAGGATGCAGTGATGGCCGTGGCTTTAAAATGGAATTGGACAAATTCATGGAGAAAAGGTCTATCAATGACTATTAGCAATGGCAGCTAAATGGAAATTCCATGTTCAGAAATGGTATGCAGCTGAATAACAGTTGCTGGAAGGAGACTGTATGAGAGGGCTGTTGCCTTCATGCCCTGCTTGTGGTCTTCCCGGAAGCGTCTGGTGTGGTGTAAATAGGGTACTGGGCTAGATGAACCTTTGTTCTGATTCAGCAGGTTATCCACACAGTCATCCTGGAATATGTGCTTGACAGATAATTCTGTTGAAAGCAGCAGAATATACCTTCAGAGAAATGCATTTGAGATAAGGGTTTTCCCCAAGGATTTAGGAATGTGATGGATGCTTTAGTGCTGGGTCTAATGCTTACATACTACTTAGAGGCAGCTTCCGTTGCTTTAATGGTTTTGTCCATTTGAAACACCTTGGCATTGACTTCTTCACTAGAGCTGTGTGTGAATGGCGTGAAGGGAGAAGCAAGGGAGCCCAGGCTTTTATCCTCCGCTCCAGTTTGGCCTGAGAAAGTCACTTTACGTTTTATTTAATGTATTTGTTCTAAAATATTTTTAAAATTGTGAACCACCTCAGGTTACTAAGCAGAAAGGAGGCATATAAATTTAATAAATAACACACATTGGTAAGTTGCATGTCTGATAACTCGGCTATACAGTGGCACCTTGGTTCCCAAACGGCTTAGTTGTCAAACAAATCGACTCCTGAACGCCACAAACCCGGAAGTAGGTGTTCCGGTTTGCGAACGTTTTTCAGAAGCCGAACATCTGACGCAGCTTCCGTTTGAGTGCAGGAAGCTCCTGCAGCCAATCGGAAGCCGCGCCTTGGTTTTCGAATGGTTTCAGGAGTCGAACGGACTCCCAGAACGGATAAAGTTTGAGAACCAAGGTACCACTGTATAGGGAGATCTTGAGTTTGGATCCTCATCTGAAGTTTGAAATCTATTGGGTTGACTCAGCATTAGTAATGAGGATGTAAATCTGTGTGGTTTATTGGCCTTTTTGATTGGTTATTGTTAGGCCTGTTGTTTTCACTTTAAAAATACTAATAATCGACTTTGTAAAAGCCAGTGAAATTTACTCAGCTTCCTTCCCAGTGCCCTAAGTTTTGAATGTGGAAACAAAGAAAAAGAAGGATGCATGGATAAAGAAGGATGCATTTTGTAATGAAAGTAACTTTGAAAAGCAAAACTAGTTATAATTGCACCTGGCTTTTAAAATGCAACTTCATTTATGAATCTCTTCACCAAATTAGGCTTATTTGCTATTGCAAATGTTTAGTTCTGCTTTGTGTAAGCAATAGAGAAATATCTTAAGTGTGTAGGCTTCACCACTTCTTTTCTGATATTACTTTATCAAATTATAAAACCAAATAAGGCAATATTGTTAAACAGTTTTTCTACTGTAACTTTCCTTTTAAAATTGCTTTGACTTAATTCCTTAATTACATTATAGTTCCCTAAATACATTCTATCATGGTGCTCAAATGCATGAAATACTTTCATATTCACTTTTATTTTAGCACCTTCTCTGACATTGGGCTGTGGGTGGATATTGTTTGGAGAAGATCAGTATTTATTTAGATATTGATATTTATATTTATGCAGTTTAATTGAATGAACAGTGTGTGGCTGAAAACTTTTTTTGAGACTTTGTTGGGAAAATCAGAAATTGTAATGGATGTTCGTTCATTCATTCATTACTGTTAACTGGCTGTGTCAGTTGAATCCACTGCAGTTTTAAATTGTGTTAATTACTGTAGTCTAGTTTAAGCAAAATAAAGAAATAATCATGCTCATATTTGTGATGGAGACCGTTCGGTAGAATGACTTTAGGCTGATTTGTTGTGTGTCATTGATTGTGTTGTATCTAAGCACATAAAGGAGGAAGATGTTACTTTTCTGCAAAATATTTTGGAAAGATGATGTTTATCTTTATGCAAAACTTTAAATGCATTGTTTAGGTAGAAACAGAATATAATTTATCGTCTTTTCCAGGAGGAAAAAGCATCTCTTTTGCATCGCACACAGGAAGAGAGGCGGAAACGAGAGGTATGATACAAGTAAAGCCTTTTAAAATAGCTTCCAGTTGAAATATTGTATGATGAAAATGCTTATGTTTGTATTTAAAGCACTGAACAGCTGGACCCCAAGTATCTGAGAGAATACTTGCTGCCGTTCAGTGAGATCCATGGACAGTGCCCTCCTAGGGCTTCCTGTGCAGTGCTAGGTACATAGGATTGTGTGTAGGGGGTGCTGTTTAGTGGTGGCTCCAGAACGGTGGAATTCCTTCCACAGTGAGATTTGTCTGCCTTCTTCTTTTACTCTTAGGCAGTGCGGATCAAGACACCCCTCTCTTGACAGGATTTTGAAGGAGGGGTAGGGTGAAGAATGTTTAGCTGATTTGCTTTATAGCTACCTCTTTTTTTGAAGCATTGATGACCAGTTGGATGCTCTCTTTCGTCCCTTCTCTGTGTTGGAGTTAGGAACTGATTTAGATTAAATTAGTATTTTATTTTATTGTTTTGTCTTTTTTTATAAGTGTAACCCTCCATGGGGCCTACTGGCAAAGGATGGTATATAAAACTCGTAAATAAATAAAAGAGCTTGGGTATTGGCTTTTTAAAACCTCCTGTTTTCCTCATTTTGTAGTTGCGGAATTTTTGAATGCTAAATAGTAGGGCCCCGCCCTTACATTGTTTTGCACCAAATTTAAATTTTGCTGGGATAATGTATGCAAGCATGGTACCTTAGAATTGCTAACATGATCCTGACTCACTAGCAGAAAAACTAGTTGTAGGGCTGATTCACACACTTGTTTGGCAGACTAGAGCAGTGTTTACTATGCCATTCTCCTTAGGGATTTGTATGATAATGTTTCCTGATTAACCATGGTTTACTGACATATGCATAGGCAGGAAGGAGCTGCCTCTAGCTTTCATCCTCCCCTCTTGGACTCCAACAATTTGTCTTCCTGCTTCCTGTACATCTAGGCTTGTTGTGTCACCTGAACCAGCCAGTTCTTCTCACTTTCAAAACAAGCAAACTTCAAGCAGTGGTTCCTGACAGTCTGTGTAGAGTTTGTTAACAAACCACTTTTCTTTATCTGTATGATGCACCAAGCCTGCCTTTAAAGGAGAGTGGAGCTGAAAATTGATGGAGTCATGCAGGATGGGGAGGGAAAAGGGGGCGCCTCAGCCTGAGGCTCACTGCAGCTTCTTCCTTCTTGGCTGCATATTACTAAGCCGTGTTTCTATGTGTTGTGTGAACTGGACTTCAGTGTCATAGGCAGTCATGTGAAACACTGCCTATGTTTGAGACTGTACATCCCAACCGTCATTATAAAGTTGATTAACTACAACCATAGAAATTCTTTTGTCAGCTCCAATGAACAGATAATTTGCCCGTTTCATTATTTGTAAGGCGCCGGTGCAGAAAATGTGCATAAGAAACAAGGCAACCTGTATTTACAAGAATATATTTTGTTATGCTAATGTACTTTTGAAGATGTAGCATATATCGGGAAGAAAACATGACTCAGTCTATTGAGAATAAAATCAGACACAGCTTTAAAAAATGAGTAGTGAAATTGCTGCAGTGACCTCAGGCTTCAAACATTTGCAACTATGGGTCACTAATTGACAATTATGCATTCTTGGATGAAACCTATGCCTAATGAGGAGAATATAACTGTCTTGTGTTGTAATTCAGCTGTGTGCTGTGGAAGATCAGTTGCTGCTGCTGTTGAGATTGCTGTTGAATTTTCCTGTTTTCTTCCTGTTTTTTTAAAAAAACCAGTACAAGTTGATCAGCAGGCTGCCCGTTTCCAGGGTCTGTCATTTGAATATCCTTGGCTCACTTCTTGCCAAAGCTTTATTCATTCAATTTCTTATTTCTGTTCTATCATTCCTTCATTTATCGGTGCTGCCACAGTAGTGTATAAAAATCTGAATTCCACCTCAAGTAATCTACCCCCCCCCCATTTAACTTGTAATGCCGTATTCTCATTCCACCAACATCTATTAAACAGATATTTTAGTAGCTTCGGGTCAACATTTTCTGTTTTGACAGCCATGGGGTACATAAGGAATGCTGGGGCACAGTTGTACATAGATATTGGATATGAGATGCGAGGTTTAGTTTTTTATTAGCTGGTGGGAAAAGCAAGGAGCTTTGTAGGGTGGTGATGCTCTGGTCTCTAAACAATGGACGACCTGCCCAAATGGCATTTGGCTTGAGTCTTCAGTATAAAGGCTAGGAACTTAGTTTTTCAAAAAAAATTAAAATAAACTTTGTTTTAAATTTGACAGATTCGACAGGAAATACATTATATGGTAAATTTGTTGGATATGCATATAATAAAGAGAGCAGAAAAGCATATCAATGGAAAAGCACAATGTTCCTAATGGGCAGCAAGATATTTGTGTTCCTTTCAGTCTGTCTTGTTTGGCTATGGCTTGGTGTCGGGCAGCGTAAGCCCGTTAGGTGGAGAACCCAGACCTTCTCTACCACAAACTCCACTGCTCGTGTTCCTCTGATACCGTTGAAGAGAGAGTTTTTTCTGTGAGGTTATTCAGTGACTGCACAGGTGTTTTTCTTGTCAGTGCTTTGTTCTATTAACTACAATGCAGCAAATTTTATTTTGACCTTTGTCTTGTCTCCTTAGGAAGAAAGGAGAAGGCTGAAAAATGCAATAATCATCCAGTCCTTTGTTCGTGGGTACAGGGACAGAAAACACCAAGTAGGCATTTTTTTTATGATTGAGTTTTCTTATGTGCTTCTGAGTTTGCACAGTAACCACAGAAAGATATATCTAACAGGAGTTAACACTGTCACTATTTCAGCCTGCCTTCTAGTCACTACTATCAGCGTGTGCAGAAACAATGTATGCTGATATGCTGTAGAAAACCCTCTGATACTTACTACTTCCTCAAACCCACAATGTAATAGCCATGTGGACAAGCTTGTACTGTACTGTATGTTAGTCATTCTCTCCCTCTAGTATAAGACTCCTGTTCAGTGATTCTCTGGACTGGGATTATTGGTTGCAGCCTTTGGGAAAACCATAGTCTTAAATTTAGTTTGGAACTCCATTTAGAAGGACTTGTGATGAATAAGAGCACAGTAAAAATGAACTATAACCAGAAATATAAAATATCTATTGTATGGCTTTAAAGAACTCTGTGCTTTCTCCCAGGAACATCTGTTTATGCCCAGAGGTTTGCCAAATACCTTCATTTGACTGCAGCTCCTTGTGCTACATAGGAAGCTCTGTAGCCTGACTTCTGGAAACAGGCCAGTGGGCAGGAGCAAACTCTACACATAGCCCTTTCAATCCTTGCCTGTGTAAAAGTGCAATAAAATTATGAAAATATGAACAGTAGTTCTAATCTGGAACATTTATTCATATGTCTAGTCGTAATGTCTGTTGGGAAACTTGTTTATTGTTAGTCTCAATTAGATGAATAATGCAGTAGAAGATGAATTCACACAAAAGTAATTACTTCACATTAATTTTATTCTTGGTTCATTCTAGCTTTCAAAATGAGTTCTAATTCTGCTCTTAGTACATAGGCAGTTCTGTTTCCATAGGATTTGAGGGAGTTGATGTGTACAAATGACAATACTTGTACTGTACTGACTGATTATGCTTTTAAAATTTCTGAAAATGCTATGACATCACTTTGCATTTTTGCACCTTTATGTACAAGCCAATTTAACCTCCACACTTGGCCTTGAGCAAGTGATTGTTCCAACAATGTACCTCGGGTTATAAACAAAAATCAATGCTGAGGAAATTATATGCATAAAATTGTTCATTGGGGAAAGCTGCAGCTTCAAATGAGTATATTGAAATCTTGCCTGTGTTTCATAATGTTGACAATACAGTACATTAACTTAAATTTTATTCTTCAATTTAAGTATTCCATTCAGAGGAGCGAATTTGATTACTGTGCTAATCTAGCGCAATCTGGAGGAAGTTTCTCCACTGCCAATGGAGCAAATCTGACTCTCTTAGTTCGCCAACTTCTGTTTTTCTATAGGCATAATGAGGATTCTAAACGTTTGGTAAGTACTCAATGAGAGTGATTCCAGTTTCTTGTGTGTTTTTAGTAATTATTTTTAATTTATTGGTTGTCAGTACTAAATGATCTGTTCAAAAGACAGTGAGGTTGAATCTGGACATTCAGAAAGTTACTTGTCCTTGCAGAGAGGGGGTGGCTTTCCCATTCTTCCTCCTCTTCTGATAGCCACCCCAAGAAAGGACTCCTCCTTCCCTCCCACAAGGTCAGGGTTTCACTAAGGCCGGTATACCATCTGCTGCAAAAGAATGGTGCCACCTAAAAAAATCCCCACTTGCTTATCTGTGGGAAAACATGCTTTCAGTTTTCATTCTGAAGTGTGTGGATCCAGCTAAAGTTTTGGAGAACATTGCAACCTAATAAACATGCAGCTGCTGTCATAAAGTCAGTGCTATCTAACCTTAAGGGCTTTATTTATTTCATAAAATTATGTAGCAGTTTATAGTTAATGGAAGATGGCACAGGCTCATTTGGCTGAGTATGCATGGGGGGGATGGATGGACGGACAAGACTTAGGAATGTACCTGAGACTCATAAGTTTCTCTCAAGAGTGCCTCTTCCACATAAAAACCTTTCTGCAATGCTCATGAAGTAACAACAAAATAAAATGTATATGCAACACCCAGAAATTAGTTTCTTCCCTTGGTACATGTTGGTGTTTAAATGAAATAAAGCTGAAGTGTGGAATCTTTGGGGGTGGGGGTCAGTGTGGTGAGGCCACATCACTTTCCTTCTCTTAAAAGCAGTTGCAGGGCACTGTATGTGTATGGTTGTTAATCCGTTCGCTTGTGCTAGTTCCTAATGTGCTAGTTCCTGGATTGTCCCTCTACACGCACTCTCCTACTCCACTGAAGCAGCTATTAGCCATAGATGGTAAAGATCATTTGGTACCTTTGTTTTTTACCCTCCATGGCTATCAGTAGCTTGGGAAGGGGGATTTAATTTAGGGCCAGAGCATAATTTTGTGTGTGTGTGTGTGTGTGTGTGTGTTTAGGGAGCGTTAGCCTCTTCATCCTCAAGATACCTATCCAAATAGGGTGCCTTAGTGGCTGCTTTTACCAAAAAGAAAAAGATGTTCAGCTATCCTGTTGTACATCTTGTTTGCCCCTCAATTATCTCTTATTTCTGAATACAGATTTGTTTTTCTTAGGCATAAAACAGGAGAAAATAACATGGTCTACTATTCAAGCTCGGTGCAGACAGATTTGGGACCACCTCGTTATGGACAAACTAATGTGCCACATAAAGATAGCTAACAACTTGCCCAAAATTGGAAGCTTTGTTTACCATTTCTTGCCTCTTCTTGGCATACTTTGATGACATATGACCAAACACAACACTATCCTCCAATTCCTAGATGCTTTGGCCGTGCTGATTTTTTTTAAAAAATCCTGTTTTGGGGTATTCTGCTTGGGGGCAGGTGGGGATTAACAGTCTTACATGATGCTAATGAAGAATTAGAAATAAAGGTCTGGGAGAGGAAAACAATCTCAGCTTGGCACCAAGCAGACATTATGTTGGTCATACGTTTCTAAGGAGAGTGTTCCATAGCTAAGGCCAGGGGCAGGGCACATCATGGCGAAAGCCCTCTCAGCATTTGAGATTAGAAACACTTGAGGAAGGGCCTCCATTGATTCATCTTGAGGTACAAGAGGTGTTCCTTTAGATCAGGAGGAATCTTTGGCCCTCCAGACTTTAGCTTCCATCAGTCATATCCAGCATGGCCAAGGTGCGGTATGAAGAGAGATAAAAATCTGAAAACATTTGGAGGCCACAGGTCCGCATTCCTGCTTTAGATGCTCGTGCATGCTTTATGTACATGAACAGTCACAAAAAGCACCAGTGTTACTTTTTAGAGCATTTTAACACTTGTATCTGCGGATGTCTTTTCCCCTCATCTCCAGATATGGATATGTCAGAACTTGATTAAGCAGAATTCTCAGTTTGTGAAGCAGCTTGATGGCCCTGAGAAACTTACATGCCTGTTCCAGATAAAAAGGCTGTTGGGCTTATGTTGCAGGTAAAAACAAATAAACTTAATCAGCTCACTGCGGACTTAACCATGTTCCTTAACTGAATTAGCTCACTTAAGGCTACAAATCTATATTAAATATGTTAAATGGCCATCTTGAGGTCTTTAGCCCCAGTTGGCTCTATGGACAAGAGCACTTTACGTTTTCTTTTGAACTCTGAGGTCTGAAATCTTTCTTCATTGTTTGCAAGTTAGAACTGTATTCCTTTTTCGCTTGAAGGGAGAAGCTATACCATTTGAGTGACAAGTTTTATTTTTGTCATAGATTGCTGCAAAACTGCAATGATGACAGTCTGAATGTTGCACTTCCTATGAGGATGCTTGAAGTATTTTCATCTGAGAATACCTATTTGCCTGTTTTACAAGATGCTAACTATGTAGCATCAATAATTGAACAAATCTTGCACTACGTGATTCAAAAAGGTTCGTGTAATGATTGCTTTTCAAAATTTTATTGAACTTTGAATATGTAACAGCTGCCAGCTTTGTGAATGAGCTACATTTACAATAATACCCAACAATTGTGAATATTGCAGTAATATTGAAATGAAACATAATCTTATGTCTTCGAAAATGCTGTTTCTTATTGAAATATTGTAAGTGTTAATGCTTTGCAGATGGTTGTATATGTTTTCAAATGCTTCCTGATGCTTTATTCAGGTTTTTTTTTAATGTGTGTGTTATTTTTTACTCTTGTTATTTTAACTTGTGATAGCTTTAATGTTCATATTGCCTTATTGTTAGCTGCACTGAGAACATTCATCCTTAAGAATAGCATGTAAGTGTTTAATGCAGAGTCCTTTTAACATTCTTTTTTGTAATTGTAAAACCATGGACTGCTAGGCTCAAATTCCATAATACTATGAAACAGCAGATTTAGCTGGTGTTTTGAAGAGCCAGTGCTTTGAATTGGCACTAATTTTTGGATTTGATTAACTAGATGATATCACTTGCCAGTTTTTTTTCTAGTTTATCAGCTATGCTGCTAAAATTATAGTTACTATATTAAAGCACATCTCACAATGTGGTCTTTGGCCCAGAAAAGCTGGTACTTGGCATCCTACAAGACTCTTAGTTGTGTTTGTGCAACCTTTGACATGCCTCTGCCTCTGAAATATATTTTAGTCAGTTGTAAAATAATTTTATTGTTTAAAAATAAATGTATGCCTTAAAATGGGTACAAATGCTTGAATTCTTTTTCTTTCAGGATACTACAGGTCTCTTTATCTGCTAATAAATAACAAGCTTCCATCAAGTATTGAGTATTCTGATGTGTCTCGAGTTCCTATTGCAAAAATATTGTTAGAGAATGTTCTGAAACCATTGCACTTTAATTATAGCTCCTGTCCAGAAAATGCCAGGTAAGCATATTTAGTTGTGCATTGGTATGTATTAGTTTAATTTTTTCCCCTTACCATGGCAAAGTACTAATAGGTACTAATGGAACAAATGTGTAAAGCTTTGTGGAATGACTAGATCATCTCTTTCTAGTCTTGAAACAGCCTCTTATTACTGTTCTGCAGACTTGTTTAGCAAAAATAAATACAGTAACAAGAGGGTAGAAACAGATTTAATAAAATGCACCTTGACAATTACAAAGAAAAAAATCCCAATGGGTAAAATATATTTCCAAACTTGAATATTTTATTGTATTGTCAATGTAGTGGTGGAAAGGTATGTTCACATATCCCATAAAGAGAATCCTTTCTTTACCTTCTGCAGGCAACAGAATTTTGCTGCTTTTACAGAAGAATTCCTGGCAGCACCTTTTACAGATCAGATATTTCATTTCATCATTCCAGCGCTTGCAGATGTGAAGACCTGCTTTCCTTATGAACTCTTTTTGAATGCACTATTGTTAACAGAAAGCAGGCGTTTGAGGAAAAGTGAGAGAGCTCCTTGGCTTTTCTACGTTGTTCTAACTGTTGGGGAAACATATTTAGGTATGTAAAGCATATTTAATCAGTTAAAGTATCCATTTGTTATATGCTGTCCCTGCAGTAGCTGGCTAGGTGCTTTACAGTTGCAAACATTATTATTATTACAACTATTATGCCTCTTCTACGACAGCCTGTCTTTCCTCCAAAGGCCTTAAGGCAGATTACATTGCGATTCACTGCATCGTTCACCTTAAGACCTTTGTGAGGTATGTTAAACTGAGAGTTAATTGACTGGTCTTTGGTCACATTCCTACTTTCAACCTTGAACATCCCAGTGAAAATTTAGCAGGTTGACTTCATACTGTTATAAAAATGCACGGTGATCGTGATATTCGCAATAGAATAAATACGTGGTTTTGGTTCATTACTGATCTCAGAAACCCAATGCATAATTTAATCATTGTTTTTAGGTTCTCATGTTTAAATATTGACAACAGTGAGGTCTTAAAAACTTAAGAAAGCCCAGAATCTCAAGATTTGAAAAATCTGCACACCATGTGGCCTATGAACCATATATATATTTTACTTATCCCTAAAATGTGCACAGTATCAGCAGCGGGTGTGTTAAGTTTCTTACAAAGAGTCATAAGTGATCCCTGCTCAGTATTTCTGTGTTCTTTATTCTGTATTTAATCTTTTCCTCAATATAGGATCTCTTTCAGAAGAAGGGCTGCTTGTGTACCTGCGAGTACTTCAGACATTTCTTTCTCAGTTACCGGTCTCTGCGTCGGGTGCAGACTGCCAAGATTCAACCAGTGACTCTGAAGATGAAGATGAAGGAATTAGCAAGATGACTTCCATGCCTGTAGGTATTAAATGTCAGAAGAAATTGCACACTCAAGCTTGGAGTAGGCTTCCTCTTCTGTAATACTCCATTCTTCTTTGGCTTTTGCAGCAAAATATATTGGCAGTAGTTAACTTATATTTGGCTTGGATCTATTTACATGTGGACAGTTTACAGTTTCCCTTGTATTTTCTGTGTGGGGAAGCACAAATGTTTAACGTTTTGTGTGTGTTTAACTTCGAATATTGTGTGCAGTGCCTCTCCCAACCCACCTCTTTTCCAGGTGTTTTGTTGCAGACTGCTTACAGTGGCTTTTTCATGGCTAGGCATGTCAATTGCAGTCAAATAGCACATTACACAGGTGGCTGCATAATGTACTGTGATTTATCGTGGAAGAGAATGGAATTCTAATGGGGGCATAGAATTTAATGACTGTTCAGAGAGATCAGTGAGGTGGTGTATAAAAGCCTCACTGCTCTTTGTATGCATTTATAAATAGAAGCCTGATTTGTCAATTTCAGGTAGTAAAAAATATTAAAGTTGCTGGTATTAGGCATCACACATTGCACTGGGACACATGCTAGTAGTCACTCTTTTTTTACAACAGGCTTTAAACTAGTCGTTACTATTTAGGTTTTTTTTTAATAGATGTTCAGATTTGAGAATTAAGTCATTGTTATGTTTCTTATATGCTTTTGGAAAACTGACCTTGAAAATGCACAAATGAAAAATAACTCTGGTCTTTAAACACTATCTTTATTGGGTATCTTGCTTGAATATAATTTGTTAATAAAGCCAAGGACACAAAGTGAAATAACTAAAAAGTGAAGATCTGGCATAAGTTAACCAAGACTTGAAACCACATTTCTGAAGAATTTGAATACTTGGAAATTAGCTTTCAGTGGTTAACCAAAACATTAGGTGAAACTTTGTAGAACAAGAGCCGCAATACAGTGTGGAAAGTTCAATATTTTACTCTTTTAGGTCAGGGGTCCTCTGGCTCATGGCCTCTTTGTTGGAATCACACTAGATTTTGCATGGCTGCAGTGTGTGTGGATGGGTGTGTGTGTGTGTGTGTGTGGATGAATTGAATTATGTGAATGGGATGTTGCGTGTGTGCCTGCCTTCCTGGGTGGGGGAATGTAGCCCTTGGGCCGAAAATGATTCCCAATGCTGTTTTAGGTTGTCCATAGAGTGATGCTTTCTTTACTCACCCAGGTGTGTGCAGAGATCCAACATACTGGAGCGGCAGGCCATTGCTGTACTACGTTGTAATCTTCAAACTGATTATACAAGTATTGCAGGGCTTTTCTTCATGGCAGCCTTCTTTATTATTCATCTAGTACTAGGGTAGTAGACAAGGAACCCAGATAGAACAATGGAACAGCCCTTCAGAGAAAAGAGACTAAATCCCCCCCCCCCCTTGTGATTAAACTGCTCAGGCATACTGCATGGCTGGTGCTGATCTGTGACTGAGTTCTCTCCCCTCCACCTTTTAGGTGGTGTGGCTTGCCTTGAACAGAAGGACTAATATAGTACCAGCCTCTTCCATGTACTGTGGGATTCAGAAGCGTATCTTTGCATTTCCAAATCCATTTAGAAAGTAGAACTGATATCCTGCTTTTGCTGAAAATTGCAATAAGTGCTTTGAGGCTTGTTAGCTCCTCCCACCCAAAAGAGGTTAATATACATCATTATTTAAAATGCACAGATTCTTTGAGATGTTAAAAAACCATTTTTTTTCCTTTTGCAGGGAGATGGAAGAATATCAGTCCAATATATAACTGAAGAGTGTCTTTCAAAACTGGATACAAAGCAGCAGACAAACACTCTGCTAAACATGGTTTGGAGAGATTCAGCTAGTGAAGAAGTTTTTACTCTGATGGCTTCCATCTGTCACACATTGATGGTGCAGCACCGAATGATGGTGCCAAAAGTCAGGTAAGTCTAAAAAAAAGAAAAGTGCATTTGCAGACATAAATCTACAAATTTAGGGGCAATTCTGGCTTTCTTTCCTGCGTGCCTGAAACACTGGTCCTATGTTAACTCAACTTCATCAGCAGTATGTGTTGGAATTATTTGGAAGTTCACTGTCCAGAAGCCCTAGAAATGTACTAAGGACAACAGGATATAGGGCAGTTCTCTTTGATTTTGACACTTTTTGGTAAAACTGAGATCCTTGGTTGCTTTGATATAGAAACAGATCATTTTATTTCGTTGACTCAGCACTTGCTGAGAGAACCTTCAAAACAAGGCTGTGGTAGGGATCTCTAGATGTTTGGGAACCAGGAGGCAAAGAGCTTCCCATCTTAAACTAATTTAGATCTTAACTGTTGTGGGTTTCCCATGTACCCTACCAGGGGTATTTAGTAGACCATTGTAAGAACAGGATGCTGAAGTAGATGGTCCTGCAGGCTCGTTTATATTCTTGCGATTCCATCTCTTTCTGCAGCTTAAGTGTAAGCTATTTGTTTTAAAAGTAAAGGTAGTGCTGTTGGTCAGTAGGAAATTCCATAATGGGGAAATACCTCTTAGGCCAACCAAAATGTGACAAAAATAGTGCGCAAGCTTCTGAGTTCTCCAGAACTCATCTGGCTTTTAAAAAAGATATTGCCCTAATGTGGATTTTGGAATTTTATAAGAGTTTTTTTATGCCACCTTGACAACTTAGCCAAGCTGCTGACCGTTACCTTTTGCCCACATTAGCCGTTAACCCTTCAAGCACTTATCACCTGTGAATTATTGGGCAGGACTCCATCCCAGACCAGTTGAACAACATTATTCACATGGGTATGGCAATGGAACGTGCCTTGCTCACTGTTTTTAAGTGAAATAAGCAGGCTAGTTGCTAAAGCAGCATGAAGGCTTTCCATGCTTTCTATGGAATAGCCAACTCACATTAGGAATACAAATGCAGCACTACAAGCTTTATAAAAATTGCCGGTAGTACACTTGTTAGACGAGTGGATAGAAATGTGTAGTCTTATCACTCGGAATCCTAATAAACATGAATCTAGTTTTCTAAGCCCAAGGGTGCATTTTTGTTTATTTAAAATACGTTAAGCCGCTCGTTGTCATAACTGATTGCAGGGCACATTACATGTATAAAACCATAAAATTTAATTATATCTAATACAGGCAGTGACCATTTTTGGCGTGTCTGATATGTGCGTGACTATGCACATGTGCATTGCTCTGAATCTGGGAGTGCCCTGAAAATGTCGTAAAAACATCACAATGGAGGGCAGGGGTAGAACAGGGCAGGCCACCTTACGTGGGCCCTGCCAATGCACATGGGAGACTGGGACGTAATCCTGGCTCAAATTGGTCGCTGCCTGTATATAATTTAAGGGGGGGGGGGAACACCTGGAAGTGCATAGGTAGTCTGCACAGTTCTCTCAGAACTTGGTGTACATGAATCCAGCTGGCTAAGCTAAACTTTTCTCAAACAGCAGCTCCACATGCCCTATGGGGCTGTGGTGGTGATAGGTTAGTTTCAAAAACAGTTTATTGATATATCTTTGTGGGTGGGTCCAGCTATTAACGCAGGGGAACAAACTAAAAACCCTGGCCCGCCTCTTTAAGGGGTTAGCTAAATGTGAGAGGTGTTGATTAGAAAGACTTAAACATTAAATGTAACTGTGGACCTTCATAAAATACTGACCAATACAAGAGGTAGTGATTGGCGTTGGCTGACACCCCCCCCCCACGAATAAGTGGTAGAGCAGCCTCTTTAATTTTAAACTCACAAGAAGTGGTGAATTGCACAGTTACTGGGAATACCATAAATACTCCTGGTATTTTGGGAATGCCCTACTACAGTTGACTCAAACTGCTTGGTAAACAACGATATAGAAAGCTAAGTGGTGTAGTCTCTTTAGCCCACTGGTGTTTATAGCTACTCAAGGAAGTAAGATGTCAGTGAAACTGTGATCACTTGATTAGGGTAATTAGTTCTTTGTCAACTAATGGCATTAGAACAGGATGTGAGACCTGGAGATCATAGCAGAAGCTGAATTAGTATGCCTCTCTTTATTGCAAGTGGTCTATTGCCTTGGATAGTAATTAAGGGATTTAAATGGACCATTGCTCTGACTTGTGGTTTATTGGTGAACTGTGCAGTAAAGGTGCTTAATTAGTGACGTTTCTATAGCCTTAATTGTATGACGACAGCCTCTATTTCCTCCAAGGAGCTGTGCTTAAAATCCTGTAGTTCTTTGTGTGAATTTATTTGGTTTTGCTTCCAGGTTATGAAAGTGGTTAACTTTAATTGTGTGCATGTTAGGCTGGCAGCCCTTTCAGACCCACAGCTCACCTTTAACCAAAGGGGCCTGCTTTTAATGGTTTTACTGCCTGCCTTTCTCTTCTTTGGGTGACAAAGGAGAGATTTCTGGCAGGTGCACCTTGGCATGCAGGATATGTGTACCTGCATAAATTCACTTTTATGTAATCAGTCAGTAAAAATAAGGGCGCTCTACCCTCCTTTCTTGATCACCCCTTTCTATTTTTTATTTTCTAGTTATGAGGGGTGGAATACTAAATGAAAAATGGTGTTCGTATTGTTGGAATGCCCTACTACACTCCAAGACCAAAGTATTCAATTAGAGCAATATACTGATTTCCAGTTCCGTTTCTGGGAAAGTTGTTCTCTATGGAAGAATTAAAATATTGTATTTACTGCTCTCTATTAAATACATTTTTATTGATCTGTTACCATTAACTATAGAGTTCAACATACTATGCTTTCCTTTTTTTATGCAAAAATCAGAGTTACACATAAGGGCAGGTTAAGAGTGCAGTCCTAACATCTTTGTGGTGTGTTCACACTTGCAAAGCTGATGAAATAAATATTTCCTTATCTTCGCAGCCATTTGGTAGACGGAAGACTCTTGGTTGCTGTGCTAGTATTTGTGCCAATGTAAGCACAGGGCATTGCTACAGGTCAGGCTGCAGTGAGTGCACAGGCCTTGAGTGTGTGCTGTGAGAAAGCAATAAAGATCAGAGGCAAGCAGTAGCACTGGTCAGTGTCTCTATTCCCTGCCTTTTACCTTTGTCTTCAAGTTAGGAGTTAGGAGGATCCGGGGCATGGTCTGGAGGATACAGCAACTTTGCTGAAGCTTAAGAGATCTGGGTCTGGTCTGTTCCTGAGTGGGAAACTGCCTGGGTGTCCTATGTATGCCATCTGGAGCTCCATGATGGAAGAAAGGTGGGATATAAATGTAATAAACAGATGAGATACATGGAGTATCTGTATGATGGAAGGGCACAGTTACTATGTGTATTTAAACCCGCCGTAGTCTGTGGACTTCCTCAAAGCACTTCTACTTGAAGCAGGCGGGGGGCAGGCAAAGAAACCTGCTTTGTACAGGATCTGCTTGCCCACTCAAAGGAGAAGGTGCTGCCTGTCAGCTGATATCATATGTGACATCATCTGATGGATGAGTGGGCGTGGTGTGGGGAAAATGGTCTCACGGGCCGAATTGAACTCCCTGATGGGCCAAAGGTTCCCCACCCCTGTTCTAATTGAGAAAAACAATTTAGCACAATGTCTACCCAGAAGGAAGTCCCATTGATTTCAGTGAGTCTTACTTCTAGGTAATTGAATATTAGATTGCAGCCATACTCTCCTCCCATGTATATGTCTGTACTAGTTCCTTTAACTGCCTGTTTGATTTTTCAGTAAATGGGAATGTCAGGATAGATTCTAGAATAACTAGGACTATATTATGCTACTGAGTCTATTTCTGTGTTGTGTCAGCACTGCGAAGCACCAGGTGTACAGAGAAAAGCAATTTTGGAATAAATTGTGCCTACCTAAAGAAAATGACCATTTGTTCTTAAGCAGTTAGTTCTTACACCTCTAATCCATCTTTGCCAATGTGCTATTGTAGTCAAATAACTGAATGTTTTCATAAAACCCATGTGACTATTCTTTGTAGTGCTTGCTAATTTCATTTCATCTAGAACTCTCTTCTGGGTTTTTTGCTTTTTTTGGTAAAATTAATTTGAATTGTCTGCCTTCTAATTTTATTTCCTGTCTGCTTGTTGCCTGTCAAGATGGATAGAAATTCAGAATAGACTGAAATTTTCAGAAGTACCAGCCAGAAGTAAAATAATGAATTACTGTTTTTATTCCTGGTTACATATGGCTATGAGAGATGACTTTGTCCGATGGAATTGTAGACAACCATCCCTCAGCTACTATTTTGTTATGCCTATAATGTTACATTTTTAGTCGGTCAAAGTTAAATGCACCCTATATTTCTGCAAAATCAGATATTGGAATTGCTGAATAATTCACAAGTTGCTTGCTGTGTTTTGTTTTTTCCCAGTTTGGAAAGGAAAAACTTGATTGGTATTTACTGGTTCCATGTTGAGCATGGAAATGTGAGGCATAGGAGGTATGAGCTATAGCTGTGTGCTGCACCTTCTTTGGGTCAGGGCTAGGCTGGAACCATGGGTAGCTAGAACCAAATTTAGGCTTGGAAGGGGGCTCTCAGGAACATCCTGTAGAAGATTCTGGATTTTTCTGTTGACTAGACAAAAACAGATTGAGACTTTGAAGATGTTGCTGGACTGTGGTTCCCATCATCCCTCACTACTGACTATGCTGTCAGGTGCCATAAGAAAGATGCAGAGATAGCGCAGGATGGTACGCACCCCGGTAATGATCTCTTTCAGCTTCTGCCTTCTGGAAGAAGGTATAGGGTTATAAAGACCAGGACTAGCTGCCTGAGAAACAGTTTCTACGCAAATGCAATTCTGGTTCTAAACGCAGCATAAAGAGTCTTTATAGTATACTGTATTTTAAAATGGGGTTTCAGAGGTTTTGGGGTTTTTTGAATGTTTTATGTAGATTTCCAATTTCATTGTTCTGTATGAGAGAATGACAATAAAGATATCGTATATCGTATGTCGTTGATTGGGGTTGATGGAATTTGTTGTACAGCAGCAACTGGAAGGACGTACAAGGGCTGTAGAGCACATGCTTTGCATGCAAGCAATCCCATTTTTTTTATTTAAATCAGATTTTTTAAATTTAAATTGAATTTTTTAAAATAAAGTGCTTTTGGCGGAAAAATCTTTCTAAATATAGTTTTCTATTTATGTTACATTATAGTCCAAAGGCTATTCATCAGGAAATAAGATTTGTTTTAAGTTTTTCATGTGTGCTAAAACTCAGTCTAAGGTTTTTTTTTAAAAAAAATTGTTTAACCACATCAGTTAACAAACATGGATACATATGCTGTAATGTTATTGTTTCAGTTAAATAAATTGTTTAAATTGTTATTAAGGAAATGATTATTTTTCTCCTTCCAATAAAGTACACCATCTGGTTGTAAATATTAAGATTATAAAAGATTCAAAGTCTTACTGACTAGTGATTTAAATTGTGATTTAATTCGTGGTTTAAATCAATTTGATTTAAATCAAATCCACCCTGATGAGAACTGCTCATCTTCTAACATTAGGCAGATGAGACTCAGGAATATTCACCTTTCTAGTTAGAGAGAACCCATGTTTTCAGAGAAACTGTTCAAGGCACCTCTGGGAAGCAGTTGTGCTTCACGGAAACGTTCTTTGCAAAGTGAAGAACATTTATCAATGTATCGTGAAATTACTATTCTGAACTTGTGTTAAAATCCGCATGCCACACTGCATAAAAATATCTAGAGAGCGTCTTGCTTGTTTGTGCAGGATAGACGTCCTGGACAGGCATTAGCAGAAAGGCAGCATTTGTTTACAGTTCTTTGCTGGTGTATCCGAATGGCTCACTTAATCTTATGTAATTGCAGTCACATCTGTTATCTTCTACCTGTAGCACCTTCCAGTTTGAAGGAAGTGTCAAAATGTGTTTCCCTACTGTGGTGACCTTTTATCCAGCTGTATGAGCTTGTCTCATTCTATTGTATTCTCTTCATTAACTTAAATGGTCTCTGTGGGAAACTGGGCCCAATTTATGACCTAGCCAGAAAATCTTGCCTTTAACTAATTAACTTACAGCATCACCTCAGCTAAATAAAGCTTAATGGGTCATTTAATCTCTCCCATTCCAACAGAAATAATTTTACACTTTTTTAATAAAAAAAGAGAAGCCAAGGGTGCACAAGATACCCTTCTGCCAGACACACACAAATCACGTACTCTTTGTGAACAACTAGATGCTTGCTTAGAGAATCTGCAGGATTCACATAAAATTGCTGTGCTTTACGCAACTCTTCCCTTAAACTTAAGAGATGTAAAATAAATAAAGACAAAGCCATGGAGGCCTTTGGCAGCCCAGTAGTTCAAGCTGAAATTGGATACTTCCTCCTTCCAACTCCCCATTATTTGAAGCTAGTTATCCCATATTTGTTCTATTTAAAATATTTTTATTTTGTTTCTCAGTTAAAGACTCTCAAGTTGGCTAATAACATTTTAAAACAATACGTATATTCAAATTACAACAATTAAAACAAAATACTAAAACTGACTCCATTAGCAGACAGTAATAAAACAGCAGTACAATCAAATGCTACTAAAAGCTAGAGAAAATAAAATATCCTAACAGGTAATATGTGTTGGGTGAGATGTGTTAATGTACATAAGTAATTGGGTTATGCTGCTTTACAATTGCTGCCAGAAATGGAAAAAGGCCATTTAAATCTTGTTTTAATTTCATTTGAATTCTTTAAGCGTTAATTGTTTATAGAGCTGTGGTTGTAGATAAGGGTGCACTTTGCTGGGAATTTCAAAGCTTTTCCTTTTGGGATTGGTAATAGTAGATGTAGCTTTGGAAGGAATTTGCTGGCTTCCTGGACGCTTTCCCTCTTAGTTGGGTTGGGAAGTGGATCTAAAACTCCACCACCAACTCAGGCCATTTTGACAGGTGCCTGGGGCCACCTACCTTTATTCATTTTCAGCTATAATTATTTATTTCAGAATATAATTCAGTGCTTTAAATTTTTAACACCTTTTGCTGTTGCCACTGGGTGAGAGAAAAAGGTGCCAGTGGATGGAAAGGAAGAATTGGTGCACTCCCAGTTCTTCCTTTTCAGTTCTGCCCCGTAGGAATACCTGTCCTATATCAGGTGAGCACAATTTTGGGGAAACCCCCTATAGACCAAATGGTGAGGCCTGGCAGTCCTAGTTAAGCCTGTGGACCTGAGGTTCTGCACACCTGCCTTAGGGAGATACACATTACGGTTACGGTAAGTGTTACAGAACCAAACCATACTAAGACCTTTATTCACTTTCTCAGTGATTTTGGAAATTCCATAGGCTCTTATGGCTTAAGATATGGAAAAATACATGTAGTAGTTCTTGAATATGTGAAACGTTTTTTGCACGGAAGCTCAATGTTTTTGAAAAGTTGCAGGAAGGTTATAATTCTGTTGAAGGGTCTTCCCATAATATCACCGTTCACAGCAGCTTTTGTGTAATAAATTGAATACATGTGACTAACTACAACTATAATTTGGAAGGGCCCTGTAATGATTAGTGAAGCATAGAAGAACAGGTTAACAGATCATCTCTGATTACTTGTAGCATGGTAAATGAGTGCTATCGTCTTTACATTTGGAAGGCATCTGTACAGTTAAAACAGAGATAAAATAAAGCGAGTTGACTAGTGCTGGAAAGAATACCTATTTAGGCATGTTGCTTTGAGATAAATATTGAAATGAAAGTTGACAAAGATGCTTTTTATTACCCACACGATATTCTTCAACCTGTTTCCTTTTTTCCTTTTTAGACTTCTGTACAGCTTGGCTTTTAATGCCAGGTTCCTGAGGCATCTTTGGTATTTAATCTCCTCAATGACTACACGAATGATTACTGGGTATGTCATATTCATTAATAATCTAAATGTAAATGGAGCAGTGTGTGCCAGTGCAGAACCAAACAGTGTGTGAAAATAAATGGGAGGTGTGTTGTACTTGGAGACAGGAGGTGCCATCTTAAGAGGCACTGCCTCTTATATGAGAATGAAGAAGGAAGTTTCCTCTAAAACGATGCCTGATGTCTTGTTTGCGGGCTTCCCGAAGGCATCTTGTTGGCCACTGAGAACAGGATGCTGGGCGCTAGATGGGCTTTTGGTCTGATTCAACAAGGCTCTTCTTAGTTCTTAACACACCTAGGCATCATCTAAAAACAAAATACACTTTTAAAAAAGCATATTTATATGGATAACTGGGAATGCAGCCCAAGGTGAGTTTACTCATGTATGCTCTCTTTTCCATACCATGTTGATTATGTGGAGGAGCAAACACATGAATGGGAGTTATTATTTCTTTAATGGGGGGGGCGGAATTTCACTACTGAGCTAGATATTATTATTGATAAACCAACTTAGCTTGCATAAGATGAAATGAAATTATATTTTTTAACCTTTCTAGGCCGAAATATGGTTGTTCATGCTGGCTCTTGATCCTGAAGTTGCATCAGTCTCTATAAGTACTGTGATGCACTGATACACCTATCACGTCTGCCCATCCACCTGGGAATTTACCGTATTTTTTGCTCTATAAGACTCACTTTTTCCCTTTTAAAAAGTAAGGGGAAATGTGTGTGCATCTTATGGAGTGAATGCAGGCTGCGCAGCTATCATAGAAGCCAGAACAGCAAGAGGGATTGCTGCTTTCGCTGCGCAGCGATCCCTCTTGCTGTTCTGGCTTCTGAGATTCAGAATATTTTTTTTCTTGTTTTCCTCCTCCAAAAACTAGGTGCGTCTTGTGGTCTGGTGTGTCTTATAGAGCGAAAAATACGGTAGCTTTGGTTCCCCTCCCCCCCTCAACTTCAGTGCACCTCATTTTTCCAATTAGAACATGCTATTTAAGACGTCTTAATGTGAGTGTCTGTACATTCTGGTATGTTAGTGTCTTCTCTATAGATATTCATAAAATAGCTTTTAACATTTTTAACGCCTGGCTAAGTGACAGAAAATACCTAATATTCCATTGGGATATTCAGCTGCGTGATAACCATCCTGAGAATATTATATAAACAGAAACATAAATGCCAGCATTATTTTATTAGAATCCATCTTAAAAGATAAATTATGAATCTTCCACCTTTTAAATATAAGTAAGTTAAATAAATATTTATTTATTTAATAATTTTGTGTACCTCCCTTCATCCAAAGGCCCAAAAATATTATTTGCAGATTCTAAAAAGCATATTTCATCATTTTAAACTTGTTCCGTATTGTGGCATCGGGAAAATAAAAATCACCTCAAGTCCTCCCCCCCACCCCCAGTTCCCAGGTCCTAAGATTAAATTAATGACTGCTCTTCATCTTTTGTTCTGTTCTGTTAAGGTCTATGGTGCCACTCCTTCAGGTGATATCACGTGGCTCACCGATGTCTTTAGAAGATTCTAGTCGGATCATCCCTCTCTTTTATCTTTTTAGTTCCTTGTTTAGTCACTCGCTTATTTCTATACATGATAATGAATTCTTTGGTGATCCTATAGAAGGTAAGAGTATCCTCCTCAACAGCTTTTGTCTAGTGAAATATTTCCCTCAAAACTCATATTGTTGTTATAAACACATGGTCGTGTGTGTGTATTTGTATTATCCACACACACCCGGGCTGGAAGTGTACAGTATTTCCCAAAATTCTACAAAACTGAGTAACTGTTGGTTGTCTCATTGTTTTGTTGTTGCTATAATTATACCATAATTTTGAAATATTCTCCTGTTGTTTGTCTGTCCCTGCCCTTTAATATCTCTCAGGAGTGGAGGGGAAATGATGCTAAATTTGCTGGGGTTTTATTCAGGCCTGCCTGTAGCAACTTATGACTTTCAAGCTGGACAGAACCCATTGGACACACAATAGTCATCTGCAGGGTGTTTAAGCATCCTTTATTTTGGCAATTGAAAGCAGCCAGGCAGTAAAAAGGAGCATTCTGGTGCTTCCCTACATGGTTTGTAGGTGTGTTGGGCTTTTTGGGTTAGAAGTTGTATGGATCTGGTTAAAAATAAAGTGCCAAACTTGAGTTTTGAAATTGCTGCTGAATTGTCATAGATAAAACAACAGGGAAGGTTTTATTAGACTTGCACCGCTTGTATAAAATTGGCATGCAAAAATGTTATAACCCAAGCCCTGTACTTATTCCGCTATATTAGAAATGTAGCTAACTCTTAGCTACATTGAAAGCAAAGAGGCCTAATTCTAACCAGAGATATTAGCATACAGTGGTGCCCCGCAAGACGAATGCCTCGCAAGACGAAAAACTCGCTAGACGAAAGAGTTTTCCGTTTTTCTAGTCGTTCCGCAAGACGAATTTCCCAATGGGCTTGCTTCGCAAGACGAAACGTCTTGTGAGTCCTTGCGAGTTTGTTTCCTTTTTCTTAAAGCCACTAAGCCGCTAAGCCGCTAATAGCCGTGCTTCGCAAGACGAAAAAACCGCAAGACGAATGGATTAATTTCGTCTTGCGAGGCACCACTGTAGATCCAAAATATCTCCTCCAGTTCTGTCTTGTAGTTTGGGTCCGGAGAAATAACTTCTAGTTATGTATTGTCTAGTTGTAGGTCCAAGGCAGTCATCGATGATGCCTTTTACGTTAGAAGAACTGGTAATATTATCACGCTGCCTTCGAGATGCTTGCTTAGGAATCATTAAATTGGCATATCCTGAAACCAAACCAGAAGTTCGTGAAGAATACATTGCAGCATTTAGAAGTGTTGGAGTCACCACAAATACAGAAATGCAACAGTGCATCCAAACAGAACAGAAACGGTGGATTCAACTCTTTAAGGTACAGTATAGTTTTGATTTATATATAGAACTTCCCTTTTCATACACTTTAAACATGGAGATAACACAGGTGATGATGTCTACATATGGAGTTAGCACCTGATTTAATTACAAAGACAGTAAGAGAGATTAGTTTTTTAACTAAAGGGTTTTTTATAGAGTATGTTTCTCCTGATTGTAAAGGCTATTGTAAAATAGTATTTCTGGCAGTATACTTTTAATCTAATTGAATTTAAGTGGGATCTTAGAATTGTTAAAAATGCCATTATATCTTGGAACAAGTAGTTTTCTTGAGCTTAGATGCAGAAAGGAGAAGTGATGTAGAAAATGGGTGCTATATTCGTTTCTGAATCAGCTACTGATTTTCAGCTGTCAGTTCTTGCAGATGTTAAATGTCCATAAATAATGAGTATCCTAGGGTCATCATTGTCCTATTGTCCAATGGATGACTATTGGCATGTTTAGAGCTTATTGCTCTGCTTTCAGACAGTTTGGAACAATGCAGTAAAAAAGACCAAACTGAGTAGGGCTTTAGAGATGGGTCTTTTACAAAAATAGATGACATAAGTTGGTTTTTTATTTCATTTTTAAAAGAAACTATTCTGTTAACACAAGGGTGGGGAACATGGGACATTCCAGCTGTTGCTGGACTATGGTTGGCTGGGCTGATGATAGTTGTAGTCTAAGAACATTTGGAGGACACCTGGTTGGCAACCCTTTGTTAGTGAATCAGTAGGGCTAATAATGCATTCTTCAGTTTCCCCCTATTTTTGTTTTTTTCTCTGTTGAGACAAACAATCTTGGAGCTATGCCCATGATCCATACTTCATGTACTGTTTTTTTGGGAGTCTGTATGATCTTAAGCTCCTTTTTGAGTACCATACACATTGCAGAGCCTGGCTGAAAAGCTATTGTGTGGATATCAACCACCTATGGGTGCAGCAAATCAAGACTTTGTTTGCACATCAGTTACAGTGTTTCAGGGAGACTAAATGAATAGTCTTCTACCAGTCTATTTTTCCTTTCTTTTTGGCAACCCAAGGTTGAACAACACTAAGGAGGTGGGTTAGGAATCGAGAATATAACGGTTGTGCAAGAAAGTGCTTGACTTGCCATGAAATTTCTGCAGCAAACACATATAGTCAGCTAAAATTACTCATTAAAGGAGTGGAAGCAGAAGAAATGCATTTTCCAAATTGAATGCTAGATTTACAGTCGGTTTAATACTGGCGACCTCTCACACACTAATGTTCAGTTCGAGTCATCAGCCGTCCCTTCAGGTCTTTTATCACTGCTTTTGTCAAGCTATCTATTTAATTGAAAGAAGTTAATTGAATGAAAATGATCAACTAAGCTTGTATTAATATTGCTAATGGAACTTTCTTCTTGGCCATGTTTGGAGAAAGATGTCATGCTAGACTTTAGGAAAGGCCCATTAATGCTTGCACTTAACCTGATGGGCTAATTAAGGAATGCTTATTCATTCTACAAGTCTACAATAGCCTCTATCCCGCCCATTTTGCCCGATTTTTACAACACATTTCACTTACGAGCATGAACATTACGGACATTACCAGTGATGAGAGTAACTGATAATGTTTTGATTGTGTTGAATACGGTCCTAATGCATCACTAAAGTTAGAATTTTTGCAGATTGATCTAATATCTGTTTGCACAATTTTATTTAATTAGATGTCCTTTCATTATCCTGTTACATGCTCAGTTTGTTAAGCTGGGCAGAGAGGCCCAACATATGTTTTTGTATGTTGTGAAATCATGCCATGTCCTTGCGCTGTGCATCATTACAACCATTTAGCAAACTATCTGGTGTTGAAATCTACAAAAAGAACTGTTTTAACGCCTATGTAGAGTTGTTAAAATTTGGAAAGATTCCAGTGGGTCTTGATAATTAATAACTGTACAAAGAAAAGCAAGTTGCGGAATAATGTTCACCAAAGAAGAAATACATATAATGCATTTCTCTTAATCTGTGTGTATTCTGTGCCTTTAAAAATGGAACTGCACAAGATACACCTCTGTGGCCAAGGGATGGAAACACGTGGTCCTCCAGATCTGACTCCCATCATCCCTGAACATACCCCATGGCTGATGGGAGCTTGAGTCCAACATCTGGAGGGCTACCGGTTTCCCATCCCTTTTGCCCAACACAAAAATGATAGAATCTCAGCTGGTTAAAGCAGAGTGCTGATAACGCCAAGGTTGCAGGTTAGATCCGCATATGGGACAGCTGTGTGTTCCTGCATTTAAGGAGGTTGGACTAGATGGTCCTTGGCTTCCCTTCCAACTCGCTGGTCTACATGTCAGATATAACATAGACCCAACCCATTATAATTTCACTCCTGTCATGTTCTGTGAATGTAGGAGTCTATGGTAAACGAATTGAATGAGATTTGTAGACTATAGTCTGTACTAAAGGTTTCAAGTCCTGCATTTTTGCATGAGATTCAATTTTTCGCACAAAAGTTGTAGTGGGTGATGCTCTCACTGATAACCCATCACAAAAAAATTCCCATTACCTAGACATACATGCACAGTTCAATCCTTCTCTTTGAAATCTGCCCCAAGAAGGGAAGAAATCGGTGTCTCACTCAAGCAATGTGCATTCCTACTTCTAAAGTACAGTACAGTAGTAACTTCTTACATAAGGAACCAGTTTGCAACAAATTTACTCTTCCTTTCGTGCCAAAGGGCAGCTGAAAGAGAGGGATTGTAGGTGCCACTTCAAAACAAATAGTTTTATCCTTGTTTGTGTGCTTCTGCTGTTGACAAACCTGACTTATCCTTAGTTTCCACTCTCCAAGAATTTTTTAAATGAAAAATTGGATACAAACCTATTGAACTAACAAAGTTTATGAATTTGTTTTGTTTCTATCAAAAAAAAAAAAATGCTTTCACCCATATTCTAGTTCTAAATGTTTTCCAAAAGCTCAAGAGATTCCTAAAACAATTTGTGAAAACAACGGAACCTTACTTAAGAGAATAATTTTTAAAGTTACACTGTTACATTTAGTTTTAATTTCCAAATAAAGAGGGGACAAGATAGAAATTTAGATAATTATTAGGCATGGTATGGAGAAAGTGGATAGAGAATTATCCCTGTCTCTCCCCACCCCAATATAATAGGGCCCCGATCTAGGGCCCAAGATCACCCCATGAAGCTGGTTTGTAGAAGATTCAGGTCAGATAAAAGGAAGTGCAGCACATAGGAATTCACTCCACAGGCTGACAACATGGGTGGCATTAAAAGGGGATTAAAGGGGAGACAAATTAATGGAGGATAAGGCAATCAACAGCCAGGCACTACTTCTATAATCATACACCGCATGCTTCTGAATACTAAATTCAGACAGATTCAAATTACAAGAAGATTTTGCCTAAACATTAGGATGAACTTTCTGACAGTGTTAGAAACTGAGATATGAAAGCTAAGAGCTAAATGGCACTTTGAACCTAGGTTATGGGCGCAGCAACTGAATGTCTAGGTACATCTTTTTAATAACAAGAATACAAAGCTTGAAAATGAATGAACTGCAGCTCAAATATTATGTTCATTTTTCACATGGTCTAGTCCTTCCCCTGCCCACCCCTCTAATATTCTTAAGAGGGTCTCTTCTCCAGTCTTCAGAGAGTGGCTGGAAGTGGGGAGGCAGAAAAAGGTAACCCTTTCCTTCTACTGTGCAGTTTTAATCTGAAATCTTAGGCGCAGTCCTGTGCCCAGAGCTCAGAAACTGCTCGCGCTAATGAAATTCCCAGTGGCAAAATACACCTAGAACAATGGGAGTTTCAAACACTGTTCTGACAGTAAGAGCTGCATAGTAGGGGGTTGGACTAGATGACTCGTTGGGTCCCTTCCAACTCTACAATTTGGATTCTTCATCCTGCCTTTGCACTTCCCTTGGGCTTTTAATTGGTCATTGTGAGAAAAGGAATGTTGGACAAGAATAGATAGGCCTCTGGAATAATCCAGCAGGGGTCTTTATGTTCTTGCCTCGTTTTTAGAATAAAAAATGGTTCCCTTTTGTAAATTTCCCCCTGCTCTGGTATGTTTCTGAGCAGGCTTGTAGGAAATTGGTCAAACCCCCCCCCTCAAAAAAAAGAAGAAGCAATAAAGACTATCTTTGCCTCAGATTAATTTCTTTGAATGTCTTTCAGATTACTTCCCTCAGTGCTTGAAAGGTTTCACATGCAATATCTCATGACGTTTGCAATCAGGGCCTAATGGAATCAGTGCTTGAGTGACCAACTTGGCTAACCTGCATTGAATTTTACAAAGGGCAAAAAGTGGTGAAAAAGATTCTGCATAATCATACAGATCTCCTAATGGTCCCCCCACCAGTAGTTTTCTAACCTGTAAAAAGTTCACTTAATAAACCAGGTCATTAAAAAAAATATCTTCAGTATGTGGAAAGGAAACCTTTTTGACTGTCCATTAAGTTCTTTTGCTCCTTTTGGCATCTGCCCACTAATGCACCAGTTGAGACATTATTGAAGTAATTACATTTTTTTTAAATAAAAGAAAACCCCTATTGGCTCCATACTGTACAGCATAGTGCCATACATCTACTGTGCTACTTTCAAACTTGATATAACTGTATGGGAAGGGCAGGGATTTTGTTTAGTCTTATAAATTAAAGATGAGTGTCTTAAAATGTTCAATTACGATCTGGGTCTTGGATCATCATATGCATTCTTGGATCTTGTGAATGTCCCAAGGAAGGGAATATGTGACATCTTTTTTCTAGCATTATTCTTTTTCCTCCCTCCAATAATCACCTGTGATCTAGCACTGGTAACTGTTGGAGGAACTGGATATTTGCGTAGGTGTTAATTTCTTTTATGGTCACAAATCACCTGATGTATGAGATAAATCAACAGGCAAGGTCAACTAAGCCAGTTAGTTACTATGGCAATGACCCAGTGTTTAAGTCATGTCAGCTCATTAGTAAGTCAGTCTGTCCATGAGTTGGAGTCTGTGTTATGTCTTGAAGGTGGAGCAACAGAGATACTTTAGGCTTGTATATATCTGTATCTGTAGAGCCGACAAGCTGTATGTATATATGAACACATAGAACTGTATTACTAAAGCCTTATCTTTTACAGTCGTAAATTATTTTGGATTTTAAGCTGCCTCTGGGTGGTGACTGGAACTGTGGGGCAACTACTTCTATGTGGGTATCTTACTCAGATCACCTGCCTCCTGAAACTTCGTCCTTATATCATAAGGAGTAGATACTGGCCTGTCCAAATGTAAAACCTTTACAGCAGTGAGCTGCAGCAAGCCTTGGTCTTGTACACTTCCATCTCCTCCTTGGGTGCATTTGTAAAAAGGAGTTAAGAAATACTCAGTTCCATTTTGAAATAACTGCCGCTTGTTGTGACATCTGAAGTGTACAAACTGGTTAATCTTAACTATGGCCTATTCCAACAAACTATAGTAAAGATTAACTACAGTTTATCTAGATTCAGATATCATGACAAACGACAGTTAATCTGAAATGGAAGCAATACTTTGCTGAGGCTTACTGTGGCTCATTCTTGTAATGCTGAACCATGCTTTATTAGTATATCCGAATACAGCCACTGTTTAGACAATGACTGCAGTTAGTGCAAAATGAGGCGGTGCAATTGTTGACAGGAATGAGAGTCTGTCAGAATATTATACTTGTGCTTAAAGATTGGCACTGGCTACCTGTTGGCTACTGGGCTGAGTTACTATAGGTACAAAGGGCTCTTAATTGTTTGGGACCAGATTACTTAATAGATCACCTTACCCCATACATACTGATGCGATCACTTTGATCTGTGGAACTTGTGCCATGTCTACATTTGAAAGGATAATTCCCTTAATGTGGCAGCATCTGTCCTTTGGACAGTCGCTGTGACTGTACTGTTTTAGATGTCTGCGGAAAACCTTTCAGTTTCAACTGGCCTATCCAGACGTGTAATTTTGTTTCATCTGCTCTTAAATCTGTTTTAGATGTTTTATTGTATGTGGTTGTTTTTATGTTTTAAATTTGTTTTTAAATGTTTTATTTATTCATTCATTTATTTAGTGTGTGTTTTCTGCCCAGATAATGGCAGGATGTAAATTTAAGTTAATAAATGGTACAATTGGGTATTGTATTCTAAATTATGTTAAATGAAAACAATTTAGTTTCCTTGGCTTTCCTCGAAATCCGATTTTTTTTTTTTACATGTTGAGAGATTTCAGTTGTTTTGATGAAGAAGTAATTTTAAGTAATTTATCTAACAAACTTTGGCCAAATATTTGATTACTTAAACATGTCTCTTAAGAACAAAAATACTGTAACATTGTATATTTTAAAACATTGCTGCTTTGTCTGTGGTATTTTGAAAAACAGAAAGTAACAATCTATATTGATATATTTCTGCCATCCAGGTAATCACTAACTTGGTGAAAATGTTGAAATCTAGAGATACAAGAAGGAATTTCTGTCCACCAAACCACTGGCTTTCAGAACAGGAGAACATTAGAGCAGATAAGGTAATACAGATGTGGCTGTTTTAAAAAACTCTTTAAAATCAAACACTGTACAGATTTAAATTCAGTTTCCTTTTAAAATCAAACTCCTGGTATTAATAATCACATAGGTAAAGGTAAAGGGACCCCTGACCATTAGGTCCAGTCGCGGACGACATCACATATGTACTTTAGTACAATTCTGGTGTGCAGGTGTTAACCCGAATCCTTGAAGCGTTTGGCATGTTTACATCACTTGTTCTCAGTTCTCTATTTGTGATATATTTGTCATGTCCTATGCATGTTTACTAAGAAGAAAGTTGCACTAAGTTTAGTGGTACATACTTGGGAATAATTTTGTGTAGGATTGTAGCATTAATACACAAGATATTTGTCATATTCCCTGATAAACTTGTGATGCCTTGCTCTGTGGCCCAGTGCATATGTAGAGTTAATCAGAATTTAGGAATTGGGAGTGGTGTTTTATTTGAGTTGAGCATTATTTTAATACATGGTGTCTGTTTTCCTAGAACATGGTTTGCGGTATCCTAACAGAGCTGTATGTCATTTGAAACTCTGTTTCTGATAATGATCATGATTAAACTGCAGGAAATACTTTTGTTTTAAGGTTTTGACATGAAATATTTAACTATTACATTTAATAAACAACTAGGTTACACAGCTTTATGTGCCATCAGCCAGGCATGTATGGAGAGTGAGAAGAATGGGAAGAATAGGACCTCTGCAGTCTACTCTAGATGGTAAGACAGTATTGCTTTGCCTCAGAAACTGAAGATGTTGCATCTTTTCTTTCTTTTAATAAATGGAGAGCCTGTTTCTGGAATGTGAGCTTTCCCAATCTGTTGATACAGCATTTAAGAGAATTTGTGCTCCAGTCACAATGCAGTTCATTGGCAATAGCATGCTTCTGAGTTGTAGTTGCTGGGAAACAATACATTGTGCTCATGTCCTCTTTGGGGCTTCCCCAAATATCTGGTTGACCACTGTGGGACAACTAGACAGGATGCTGGACTAGATGAACCCTTGGTTTGATGATGTAGGATTTTTCCTACATTCATGCCAGCAGTTGTTAATATACCAACAGCTAAATTTTACCTAGACAATTGATGGTACCCACTAAAGACCAGTACCTTTTTACATGGCCAGTTGGTAGGTACTTGAAATTCCACTGTATTTGATGTCCTCTTATCTGTGCAACTGATATATTTGCATCCAAAATCAGTTTTCTCTGCCTGTTCACTTTAATTTCTTGATGAAATAAAGGCTTAATCTTCCATAGGTTGTGCCTCTACCTTTCTTGACTGAATGCCCTTGAAATGAAAAAAGATGTGATCAACATGATTGTGTGAAGAAGGGCACATAACAGTGTGTTTATGATTTGTTTAATCCCACTTGACTCCATATGGGCTAGAATCAATTAGTGTGAAAGAACCACTGACTCACATATGGCTATGTTTATTTGTGCTTTTTCATTTACTTAAATGGCAAGCTCTTGAGTTCTAAATGTCTTGTGTATTGATGACTCCATCCCATATTTCTCTTTAAAGATGGAAACGTTGATGGGGCAATGTAGATAAAATTGACTAATTGACCAGAATAATTGAACTGCTGAAGTTAGATAGTGGTTTACCTTTGCTGTACATGCACTTTGTTTTAAAACGCTTTTAACCCTTAGCTTAATAGATAGCATACGTTGACTGTAATTAAAACTGTTTACTGAAAGTTAGGAAAACACTCATTCCAAGGGCTTACAATATTGGTATTTATTGTAGCTCTGTTTCTGTTGCGCTAAATAGGCACTCTTAATAGCTCTAGTTAAAAATAGCTTGAGGAGCTCAAAAGTATACTATCTGTTACTGCTGATGCTTGCTATTGAAAGGCCAGCTAGTCACTGCAAACAGATGATGATGATGATGAATTGCTTCTGCTTTAATACTCAAGTCATACATACCCAGTCTTCCAAGAATTTTTACCATTCCTGCAGACAGTGTCTGCCTGTGCTTGGGAATAGATCTTTCATCATTTACTCAGATAACTAAAATTTTGTACTTTTTTTGTTTGAGGAGTTTTCAGTTCCAACCAAATTGGTTTGCCTTTGTCCACATGAACATTTATATGAGGTGTACAGTTTAACACAGACTACACCTCTCTTGTTCCAGTGACTATAGCCAGGACTCAGTTAGGGCTATACAATCAAGTGTGTGCATTTGTATACCTGGTGGGACTTCCTACAGTTTCATTTCTGAACTACAGCGTCTCACTTTGCATTGGAGACCACTCCCAGTATCCTTTGAGTTTGGGAGCTATGTGTTGAACAGCACAAAGTATGTGGATGGTTCAGTAGGAAGAAATGCCACCAAGTCTAAGTATATGAGCAGTAACTCCCCACACAACTATTTGGATCTCAGTTTATCATTGCTTTATACAGTCAGCAAGCTTGGCTCTTTGTATGGAGTGGTGTCTTTACCATCCAGAGAAGAATGGAAAGGTAGTATATTGTATTGTGCACTAAAACTGAGCTCTCTCTCCCTCTCCCTCTCTGACTTTCAATTTAAAAAGTGGGGTTGGATCCAGCACCTCTTTCCGTGTCTGAGGAACGACAGCTTGCAATATTGACTGAGCTACCTTTTGTGGTTCCTTTTGAAGAAAGAGTAAAGGTACATCATCTCTTTAAGTATTGTACTTTTGATAGTTAGCATAAACCAATGTATTTGCTAAATCCAGAATCTTGCTACATGATTTGTAAAGGACCCTGTTCTGCAACACAGAAATAGGCGATCTTTCTGGGTGATCCTATCATTCCAGATGCCATTTTAAAATCATAAGTGAGTGGTGGCATGGTTCAAAGGTTCTTCAGTTTTAGTGCCTCTGTCTTAAAGTGGCTGGGGATGTTTGTATGTGTCTCGTGGTGTGATATTTTCTTTTTAAAATCCTAGATGTGCCAAAGCTATTCTTCGCACCTCCTCTCCCAACCTGGTGTAATGAAGGTGTCTTGGACTACAGCTTTCATTAGTGTGCCTAATGCTCACAGATGATAGGAATTGTGGCCCAAAACACCTGCGGGCACCAGGTTGGGGAAAGTTGCCTTATGTGATCACAGCTGTGTATGCCTTGCTGGTGTTTAACAGTCATTTGTTGTTCTGGTTGCAGAGGATGGGCAACACTAGAGAAACAAAGTCCAAAGCGCTGTTATATTTCAGAATGGGGAGTGCCTTTTTTGGGATGGGGTAGGGGGATCCTGACCTCGACCTATAATTTAGTTATAACTTTGAAAATCATCAGCCCTTTGAAGTATACCACAAAGTGCCTATTGTTTAAAGGCTGTCTTCATCTTCTTCGTTTAAAAAAACTGTAATAACTTTCTAAGGTTCTTTTGTTGACTCTACAGCTTTCAGCTAATTAGCAAACTGAATTCCCAGAATTGTGCTGCCATCAATGTGTGCTAGTCCTATCAAGGAAATGAAAGATAGTTTCATGGGAGAAATAAATCACTGTTTCCCAAAAGGACAATGATAAATGGAGGGAAAACGTGTTGTTTCGCTTTGGTGCAAGACTTACAAGTGGCACAGAACAGAATTATAACTTGAAACTTGCATTCGTCAAGTTTCTTAATGCAGGCATAATACTTTTTTTAACTATTCCCTATACTAACAGTTTACACACATTAACAAACTCTCCAGTATATTATCATTAAACACAGTTTTGAAAGCAAGCTGGAATGTTGTGAAGTTGTGGGATATTGAAAATCCATATTTAAATGGGATTACTTTTTCTCTCCCTTTTACTACTCGATTTATACAAGATATTTCAAAGGCTGATCTATGCTGACAAACAAGAGGTTCAAGGAGAAGGCCCATTTCTGGATGGAATTAATGTCACTATTAGGAGAAATTATATTTATGAAGATGCGTACGACAAACTTTCCCCTGAAAATGGTAATGTGTTTTTAATTTAATGCTAAAATAAGTTCATGGTAATAAAATCACTTGCCTTGGGAACTATAAAAACATGAGCCATATACTATTTTCTTGCATGAAAAGCTTACATCCAGATTGTGGGCCAATTTGGTTAGTGCACCATATGAAGATGAATAATTTTCTACCTTGGAATTCCACCTATCTATCTATCTATCTATCTATCTATCTCCACCGGGCTCTTGTGAAGCTGTGTTCTATTTGGGATTTTTAAAAAGCTTTTTTTTTATTAAAAAAAAAAGCCTGTTGCACATTAATTTTGCCTAGATTTCTTTGATGTGTTACCTGTTTTTTCACATGTTGTGAGTGGATATTCATACTTTCAGTAGGATTTCAAACATTTAATTTGTGAACAGCTTACTGGTGGATAGACTGTTGTAAGTTGAAAGAGCTTGTGATCTGAATAAAAGAAGGCAGTTTTGCTTCATCTTTCAAGGTGAAGATTTGGTGGTGAAGCTGTACTTGCTTTCTAATTAAGGACAGAACCACTGTAGAAATGTTAAGTTCAGCGAGCAATAAAAACAGAGGGGCTTCATTCAGTCGTTGAGTTCCAGAAATAAACCTTGTAAGTCTTAACATGGAGTCATCTGATGGGAGTTATCTAGCAGCACCTTACAGGGGCGCAGGTTCCTCATCGCTTATTTAGAACGACTTGTCCTGAAGAAAGCCTGAACCAAATGCACCTGTAATTTTTGTTTAAGTGGAACTGCAATTCTTTTATAACATTAGGCATGTCAATATGGTCAACAGACTTCATAACATGTTTAACTTTACCCACCAGTGGATTTTTGTAAAAAACAAAACAAAAAAACCAACATGAGGGAATACATTACACTGGGACAATATTGATGAGTTTTAGCTCATGAACTTTTAGATTGCATATTTTATTAACCTTTTAGGCACACCACTGTATAGTATTTCTTCAGAAAGTTGTCTTTAAATGCATGCATGTGTAAAGAGTTGTGCATTTGCAAATTCTTACATAACTTGTTTTCTCTTTCTCTAGAACCAGATTTGAAAAAACGAATTCGTGTCCATTTACTTAATGCCCATGGTCTAGATGAAGCCGGTATTGATGGGGGTGGAATATTCAGAGAATTTCTGAATGAACTGCTTAAATCAGGATTTAACCCTAACCAAGGTTTTTTTAAGACCACTAATGAAGGACTGCTTTACCCTAACCCTGCTGCACACATGCTCATTGGAGAGTCATATGCAAGGCACTACTATTTCCTTGGGAGGATGCTTGGAAAGGTAAAAATAAATAAAATTGCAGATATATATGAATAGGAGCTGCTTGTGTAGTATATGAGATAGAAGTGGATTTTTTAATGGCATGTTTTCAGAAATGGAAAGTACTTGGGAAACAATAATGGGTTTGTATCCATTTTCTTTGCCCTTTCTATGAAGAGAAAGGCGTTTTCATTTTGATCATGTGTTACATTTGCTTTAACGATATTGATGGCTAAATGCGCACAGCTGCATTCTTCATGCTTGACATTCTTACCACTTGAGGGGGTTACTTTCCTAATGCTCCATGTTTTAAGTGAAAAGATACACACACCATTTTTGGCTAAGATATTTTCCAAGCTGAATCTCCTTCACACACAAAATTAACAAGACTTCGTTAGCAGGTTATAGATTATGAAGTCTGAATGATCACTAGTGTCTGGTAAATTTCTGTTTCAGGCAGACAATGATAGATAGATAGATAGATAGATAGATAGATAGATAGATAGATATGATAATGAACTCTCTGATTTGATAGGGTTTTATTCATAGAATCTCAAACCTGGTCATGGTGTCAAGTTTTAGTTTTTCAACATCAGGAAAAATGCATATGATTTCCACCAAGATGATTCATTTTCCTTCCCAACCCAACCCAGCAACTTTTTTTTCTTGTCTCTAGTTCATGGAGCAGGACCTAAGGTTCTGAGCCGTGATAAGTTAAACAAAAGAACAGGATTATATTAATTACCATTGTTCCTGATTCTCTAGTTCCGCCCTTAACTTCCAGTATTGACAGTCGTTTCATTGAGCTCCCACAGTGACGCCAGTTGCACAGAGGGGTGAAGGTGCAGTAGAACAATTTCACACATTGTTTTTAGGTGTACACCTAAGATATTTTAAGTGTAGATCAAAACATGTAAATCACGAACCTCACAGGTGTGTCTTTGCAAACTTGTGTCATCGGGAGCCTTGCTGAGTTGGAGCACTCTTGACTGCACACTCTGGATTTGTCTCAACATGGTGTGTGAAATGGCCTTTGCCATCTGGCCATGTCAAGGCTCCACATAACAACACTAGAGAACAGTTTGTGCTGATCTCGGAGCTACTTGTAACTGCTAGAGAAGACATGTATTGGATCTGGAAGACTTGCCTCGCCAACATCTAAAATACAAAAGCCTCTATATTTTACCTGGATATTAACAGGTTAATTGTAGTATTAAAAGGGGAGTGGGGGAAATTTGACTTTGGGTTGGGAAAAGCTGAGTGTCATGGCTGTTCTTATACTTTGAGATCAGAAGGAACCCAGTTACTTGTCATTTTGAAAGCAGTCAAATATTGATGTGTGTGTGTTCTGTGTTTACATAAGGCACAAAATGACTACGTTATTTAATAATTAGCTGTACCCAGGTGCAGAAACACCCTTTAACTGGCATGTTTGGAAAGCTGATGAATTCAGTAGCAAGATAAGGCACGGTTTTACTATTTGGTCCCTGCCAGTATTGTGGTTTTAGTTAAAGACTTTATTAAATTCTTCGGTTTTATAAAAATGCTTACCTTTTATCCATTTGCAAATAATTTCTGAAATGCTGCAGTTGTTTAGTCTTTGTATAAATAAACTGCATGCCATACAAAGGAAGCCATCTGAAATCCACAGAAATTTCTTATTTGTATAAATAAAAAATGCAGAGAGTGTTGCTGCTAAGAGCTCTATTTATATGACAGTGTTATCAGAAAACAAATACATTAACATTGAATGATTTACCTATATTCTGTGTAGCCAGCCATTCAGTGGTAATCACCTAGTATAGTTTAGTTAGTGTTGAATATTTCTTACCCCAAATATTTTTAATCCCCCCAAATGTTTACTATTAAATAAAATAAAGAGCATAAATAAATACCAATACAGCAGGATGAAAGCAGCATAGGGTAGGACATTATCATTGATCTTGTTCTAAAATATTACAAAAATACCCATTTTACCATAAACATGGCTTATATGTATTCTTTTGTAATAAGTTATCTTAGTTACTATGGATCAAATTTTCTCAACCCATGCAGATATCCATTTTTATTTTTTTAAAACTCTCTTGTTCCAGTTCTGTCTTGAATAAATTGTATTATATCCCTGGCAATTTATAATAATACACATTAAAAGCTCTTCATTGTGGTAGTTGCAATTATTACCCCCTCCAAATATCTTTGAACTATAGATGCTTTATATCACAGTCCTACCTAACCATGTCTACTAAGGCTTACTCCTAGGTAAGAAAGGTTAGGATTGCAGCTGTAACTACTTAGGATTACCACATTTATAGAACAATCCTATGCACTTCTACTTGAAATAAGTCATATTCAGTTCAGTGAGGCTTACTTTTAGTTATGGAGGGTATAAGGTAATAGATTCATTGGCTCAATAAATCAGTTTAAAACATTTTGATAGACTAATATTGATCAAATAGGCAGCAGATTTTGAAAATAAATTCAGGTTGAACTTTCAGACGGCAACAGAGACATTATGAAACTGCAGGGAATATCTTTAGGTGATGGCAACTACAGCAGAACCAAGTGTCTGAAAATGTTGAGTTGCTGTTTCAGAACTGTTTCACTTGCATGCTTTTCAGTTTTTTAAAATCATTTGCCTGAAACTCTCATGATTAAGTATGGCTGCAATCCCAACTCCACTTACCTGGGAGTAAGCCTAATTGAATCTAGTGCTTTGGAGCAGAGATGGTTCATTTTTGTGTATGGCAATATTACTCAACTTCCAAGAACTTCATGGCAGACACAAATTCTAGAAGGGAAGGTTTTCTCCAGTACTGCATTTCCACCATGGGCAAAGCATGTTGAACTTTCATGTCATGCAGTTGATGAGGGACCAGGTGATTTGCTAGAAAACTAGACACTCCTAAGGGGAACAGGAGCAGATCAGATATCTGAGCCTACTCTATGCTTTGAAGAACTCCTAGGTTGGCTCTATCCTTCTTTATCGTCGCCTCAAATAGATGTCAAATAAAAACTAGAAATCTTTTTTTGTAATCTTTTTTAAGTCTCCTAAAATAATTTTTAAAAATGGCATTAAGTAAACTGGCTGATATTCTACTTTGGTTGTTTGGGCCTTTTTATTCAATATTTTAATAGTACAAATAAATGTGGTATTTGAATAATTTCAAAATAATATGAATTTGCTAATGATTCAGTAGTATAGGAACTCAGTATTGTTCAACAGATTTTAAAAATTCCCTAATACTAACTTATTTTTGAAATGGTTTTAACATAACTAATATGCCTGTCTTCCGTATACCAGTTCCTTTCACATAACCAATTATCTTTTCATTACAAATGGCTAAACTTAGTACCAGCATTTATAAATATGTGTCCAGCACTAAAGGACTACTAAAAGTGTGGTATTTTAACACTAAATCTTTGAAAGGGAAAAGATTGTATTGATTGATTGTGATATTTATTGGGTCATAATGTATTTAAATTTTCTTTAATGCATATGTTAGTGATTGTTTACTGTGATAAAGTGCACAAAGGTCTCTGCAAGCAATTCTACATGGAAAGAATTACCTCATGTCAGTGGTCACTTCTCAATTAAAAGTTCCATTAGCAGATGATTCCAGCTTCTGGTTTGTGTACTGATTGCATTTTATAGCTCCTAAATCAGGCTTCCTAGACAGGGAATAAATAAACAGTTAAAGTATGTGGTAATGGCATCCTGATCTTCTTTTGCCTTTGGAAACACCTAGGTCCATTTAAGTCAATTAAGTTCAGAATATTTAGTGGAATAAATTGTCATGTTTGAACTCTTACTGAAAATGAGTACTCTGCTGATTTGAAGATATTGATTCCTCTCAATACGTGTTCCCACCACATGGATTAATTATAATTACCTCTGCCCACTTGTTGTTTTTTTAAACAAATGCTTCATATAGAAAAGTTATACTTCTTGCTGGTAATTTTATTCTAAGAACTCATCTTCATGAACTTGCAACAGGATAATTCTTTTGAACAAACTAATTCTGGGACACTCGTGCTCTTAAGGGCCTGTGGCTATCCGTGCAGAGTGGCAAAAATGCTTCCTTAATGCGGATCATTATAGGAAATTGTAGTCTTGTGATTCTTGTTATGTGCAGATGTGTGAAATATGACTTTGAAACTTCTGCTTGGAAGATAAGCACAAGTCCTCCCATATCTGTTTGTAGTTTTGGTTATCTGTAAAAATGACTACAGAAGCTGCTGGAGAAGTAGCAAAAGCAATTAATATGATTATTGTAGAATATTTAGAAGCAAATCTGTGTAATTGAAACACCAGAGGCCCATAACGTTGTCCGGTATGTCTGCTTTTAATAGAAGTACGTAGCTATTTTTCTGTTTAATATGTGTGAGTAATAGTTTCTTTCAGTGTAAAAGAGTAAATTAATCATTCAGGGGATCGTGAATTTGATGAAAGGAGCAATAAATGAAATAAATAAATAAATACTGAGGATTGTATGCAATCACTGTGTGAGCTGAAGGCAGTTTCTACAACTGTCTTTTTCTGTTCCCACGCCCACCCCTGAACAGTGGGGCCATGCCATATGGGGACTGCGGTTGTTGTGGAATTCACGTGAAATTAAGTGGAGCACCATTGGGTCAAGATCCCTCCATCTGCTTTCAGGTGATTCGTTTTCCAATTGCAGTGCCATATGACACACACACCCCATTAGCCTGTGGTTCTGGAGAGGGGTTTGAGGGGTAGAGAGAGCTGCTGGCAGAAGGGGGGGGTGAGTAGAAAAGTTGGCTGTACAGTTTTCCACTTGCACAACCATTGAATATAAGTATGGGTGTTTAAGTAAAAGGATATAACAGTGTAATACATCGGGGGAAATGTGTTTGAGACAGGACAAAAAAGTATGATTTAACAAACAAATAAAATAGAATGTTTTATTTTAGTATTGTATTATTTTTAAATTGTAAAAATACCAAGTTTGTCTTAATATTCTGCTGTATATTAAATCTGAACATTAGGCTGCTGTGGCTGCAGAAGAAGGCCATATTAGGGGAATATTTAAGAAAAAATAAAAAGTCTGTTAAATGATACAGTGGATGCATTTGAATGTCTACATTAAATCACAACTTAGCAAGACACGACTGAGCTTCAGCAGACCTCAGACTTGCACGCTTCTTCTCCCATGTGGTCAGAATGAGTTCAGAAGCAACCATCTTAGCTTAACAGCATTTTGCATGCTTAAGAAAAATCGGTACCACAAGCTTCCAAACTTTTCTTCCTGGCTGCATGGGAGAAGGAGCATGGAGTGCTCAAGCCTGATGTATTTTTAGTTTTTAAATTTGAAAATGAAGGACCAAGGTGAGCTTGGCTTGATCAAAAAACCCCAGAAGTCTGGGCATGTGTGCACCTACTGCAATGTGTGGCTTATTATATTTTGCCATGTAGAAAGAGAAGAGCTTAACTGTGACTAACTTATCAAAGAACTGCTATACATTTCGCAGATGCCTATTTTAAAAACTTAGCTTTTACACTAATTGGAATATTAATTATTCATCTCACCTTGTTTATACAATGAATGTTTCTTTTGTCTTTTATATTTGGAGAAACTTGGCTATGGGAAACCGTGCCATCTTGATTATAATTTTAATTAAACACAATCAAGGTGGCCTAAAAATGTTTTATATAGTTTTTAGATTAAGTTATAAATGTTTGCTGTGGAGCTACCTGAAGATTGATAGATCTGCATTTGAAAAGCATTATTTTTATATTGATTCTTAATGTAGTAAATTACTAAAGTTATTTGGCAGCAAACAGAAATGGCCTGTGATGTTGTTCACATTTATTCTCCTGATAGCACCACAATTTGCATTAATTGCATTGCTAGTGCACTCACTTATATTAAAAGGCTTCTACGATAATTAATCCTTTTTATTTCAAATCATTTTGGCACAATTTCCAGCAATAAACACTCATAAAAGACAGACACTTGAAAAATAACGTGCAGGTTCTTTCAATATACCTATTGCTATTTTCCCTTGACAAGGAGTTATTGATAGGCTTCTAGGAGCCAGTGTTAACATGTGGCTAAGAATTAAGACCCATATGAAAAATGGTAAGTGGATTATTTTGCATAAAAAATAGACAGTTCTTGAATCTGTGTAATTAACCTGTGTTTAGAAAATACCTTGATTTATGCCTACATTTGTATTTCAGTTGCATACATTATGGAAATTTAATTTATAATCCATTTAGCTGATGTGATCATAGTGTTTAGGGCCATCATTTATTAGTGCTTGTATATTAAATGCTTTAAATGCCTAAACCTGACTTGTGTTGGGGGTGGGGAGGGGGAAAATATAAGGATGCAGAAGTATTTGGTGAGTCAGTGATTAAATTCAGCTTCAGATTTCAGGTAGCTTTGATATATTTACCAAAGTTGTGGAGTGTGTGTGTCTGTTACTAATTCAGAATAGCAAACTGTGACCATACAGATTGCAAATTAATGATTTACACTTGAAGTTTACTTTTTCAGCTGCACAAAGAAAGGTTTCAGTTTTCATCCCTTTCCTAAAAATGCCTCCTTGGCTTTGATCTTGGTATTCATACATTCTTGGGGCTAAACTGTCACACAGTGTTTGTGTGTGAAGGTATTTTGATAGGGCATCATTAGGAGATTTGTGCTTTTTACTGCCCTTCGTGGTTCTTTAATTTTTTCTTGACCCTGAATACAGAAAGTTTATGAAGATTTGCATTTGGAAATAGAAGGAAGGAGCCCCTCTGTGCTCATATACATGCTGTTAATGAGAGTAATTATGGCAGCTCATCCAAAAGCAGAAACCTAAAGACCTAGAGTGGAAGAGTATAGGATATAGAGCTAATTACAAATGAAACAAACAAACCTAGAGTAGCACAATCTGCAGCTTCCAGTGTTTAATTGAAAGCTGTCATTAGCTATCACTTTATGGTCAGATAGATAGGCGCATTGTTCTGAATGTCTAGGTGAAAGCAGTATATGTCTACCATTGATAAATAGGGTGGTACATAATTCAGTTTAATACTATAACAGCCAGTAAATGCATTGGAATTAAGGACTCTTAGCATATAGAGCGTGGGGTTGGTGTTTGCCTATCCAAAATCCTGGTGAGGTATGGAAAAGAAAGGCGGTTATATTTTAAGGGCCAGAAAACATTCTAGCAGTGAATTGACCGAGTGACCCAAGGACATTGGTTCACTTGTAGGAGAACTTGAATTTGAAGCTGATAGATAGCAGCCGTGGTGCATACCTACTTTTGAAGACTTTTTCTAACTTTGATTTTAATGCATTATCGGTAGATAGCACACTGATTTTTTAAAAATGTTCAACCTTTCTGTTAGACACCAGGCACCAAGGCTACCTGAAAAAAAACAACCCCTAACTTTACTGCATTTATAAAATAACAGTAAAACAATAGCAATACCCATAGCCTTGTAATATTTCATACAATGTAGATGCATTAAAAAGTTTGTACACAATTAACCATATGCCTCTCTCGCTCAGGGTTTGTTACTGCATTTAGCTCTTCTGCCGAAGTGCAGAATTTGGCATGGGGTATGGATTCCCATGTTGTGAGAATCTCTCCTTTCATGTAAATAAATGGGGGGAAGTGGATACATGTCTTTTCTGGGTGGAATCTCAAAATATAAAATGGGGTGGCTGGGTGGATGAGAGGGGAATTAGATTCAGGGCTGGGAAGGTTAAGCACTCCTTAGTTCCTTTGACCCTTTCCATTACTAGCAATGGTAAACCAACCAAGTAAACATGGCCATACAAATCCTCAAAATTTTCATAACTCAGAATTCACCTTCGTATGGGGAGAGGTGGTCCTTGAGGTATTGCAGTCCTGAGCTGTTTGTTCATAAGTCAAAACCAGCACTTTGAATTGAGCTCAGAAACTAATTGGCAGCCAGCACAGTTCAAACTCTGTTGCCCTGGTGAGTAACCTGGCCACTGAATTCTGCACCAGCTGAAGTTTCTGAACTGTCTTCAGAGGTAGCCCAACATACAACACATTAGAGTAATCTAACCTAGAATGGGGCTAAAGACAAAATCAAAGTTTCCAATGTAAGTAGAATTGACTGAATACACACAGGAGATAAGCTGCCATTTATTCAGTAAGGAGATGGTCTTTTTCATTTTGACTTCAAATAAAAGCATTCAGGTTTTCTTATATAGTGTTTTGGCAACTGTTAAATGACGGAAAGAGATTCTCTGCAACTCTACCATGGCACAGCTTGATTAAGTCATTTCTGAGTTTTTATGTTGCTAATTACTTTATGTATTTATGAGACTTGTTTTAATGTTTTTGTTTATGCATTTTTTGTATTGCCTTTTCTGATACATACTGCCTTATACTGATACAAACTGCCAGATGACCACTTTTGGTGAAGGGCAATATAAAAATATCGAAATAAAATATTTACATGGGATGGATGATATGAATGGGGGAACTTGTATAGCACTCCCATAGATGGAGGAGATGTCTTGCTAAGTTTCTGAAGTGAAAGGACATAGTAAATACTTAGCTTCTGAAGTATATAAAAATAATTCTCAACTTTACATTTTTTTTAAAAGGCTTTATATGAAAATATGCTTGTCGAGCTTCCATTCGCCAGTTTTTTCCTTTCAAAGTTGTTGGGAACAAGTGCAGATGTGGACATTCATCACTTGGCTTCACTAGATCCCGAAATGTACAAAAACCTACTTTTTCTCAAGAGCTATGAAGGGGATGTGGAGGAACTTGGGCTGAATTTTACTGTGGTGAATAATGAATTGGGGGAAGCACAGGTAAGGGACTTCGGCATTTAAGTTCTCAGCAATGTTTCTATTCAGATGTCATAATGATAAAGCATATGTTCATCAATGACTTTGTAACTTGGAGTCAAAGCATACAGGCACTCTTTGTATTGATACTCATCAAACTAGCTTTTATGGCAAGTCACATATGCCTTTAGATACAAGCTTTGGTTGTTATAGGGGAAATTATTACATAATTTTTGTATTTAAATTAAAAATGCTTTGCATCAACCTCAAGTTCTTCAGTTTCATCAGAAGCACTTAGACATTGGGATATGCAGAGAATACTGCTTTACAAGTGTCACAAAGTGTTTGCCTGTTTGACTTGCCTGTTGAATTGTTTTCATAAATAGTTGTAGTTGATGACTCTAAAATGTTGGTATGGAATACTGAATTTGTAGACATTCAGGATGCTATGAAGGGCAATTCTACATGGTAGGTAATGACTTGAATAGAAAACCCTAATAGTGGGTTTTCAAGAGTATATGAGCTCGAATACAAAAGAACTGGACAATTAGTTCCAGAGGAACTTTGCATTGTGCTTTTCAAACAGGAGCCCCTGCTATGCGGCAAATCCTCACTGAAACAGAGGAGAATTTGAAAAGCAGTGTGTGATGCACTAAGGGGGTCCTGCTCAAGCCCTTGGGTGCACCTAAAGTATCTTGTTGGATCTCTGCCATTGTAATTACTTCTGCTGGGTTCTTCTGAGAATATCCTTGTGAAAGAATTTAAGAAGAACAATTTCATATCTTAATTGACTGTCTTTATAAGGAAGCAGTTCAGCTACCAATAAAGGAAAGCTATTATTACTTGGAGAAAATCCAGTCTCAGACACAATCCTAATCATACTATTCAGATCAAGGGGACTTTTATGTAAATCCAGTTAAAAGTAGGGTCTTAAATACAGGTGACCCATCTGTCCCCCTGAAAGTCTGCTGGATATTGGGTAGAGAAGTCCGGTAAGAGGCCACTGTTAAAACAAAGTCAACAAGAGCATCAGGTACAGTTTAGCCATTGTACTGTTACTTGCAGAAGATACTTGTTGCAATTGGCCACGCCCATCAACCTCACCCCCTGCTCATTTTGTCCATTTTGCTAGTTGAAAACATTATGTACCAGAGTCTCGGATTAAACCACAATATCCTAAATCTGGGTGTAATGATAAGTATTGAGGTAGAAAGTGAGGTGGATTTCATTTAGAACCTAGCTTTAATTCCTGATGATTGCTTAATTGCTTAATAATGCCTAATAAATGCATCCCAAATCTATCACCATCAACCACATTGTTCATGATGAACCACATTGTTCATTCTTCAGGCCTTGGACTCTGGCATAGGAACTTGTGTTACATAGTCAGACCACTGGTCTATCTAGCTGTTGGTTATATATGCTGGCAGCACCTCACCAGAGTTTAAGATGTTCTCCCTCTTAGTTTACAGCCCTTCCGTCCTTTCAAAAAACTTAACCGTTTCAAGGAAAACAAATTGGAAAGTGTGATGATGCCGTTGACTTCACAGAAGTGTTGACAGTGTTCAATCTGTGTTGATTAAAACTTGGCAATGGGAATTGAATGGTATATTGGAGGGCACTAGAACTGCAGTAATTCCAAATAAATGTGTGTTGCTACTGTGCTCGGTAGTCTTGACACAAAAGGCATCCAACCACAGAGGCCTCCTCCTAGACTAGAAATGTTTGATAATGGAGCAAAGGGCTGCATTAATTGGTAAATCTAGACCTGAGTGTCAGCAGGGGCGGCTTGCCGTGTTTTGCTGCCTGAGGCAGAGCGGGAAGGGGCCGTGCCCCAGATAGAGCCTCGCTTACCAGTGCATGGCTTCTGGTGAGATCTTGTGAGAGGTCAGTAATATCTTCCTGGAACCTGGATACCACAACCTGGGATTCTGCCATCTTAAGGGTAGACTGGCCCCAAGTGTCACATTAGATTCTGGTGACTGGGAGGTCTAGAACAGGCTTCCTCAACCTCAGCCCTCCAAATGTTTTGAGACTACAATTCCCATCATCCTTGACCACTGGCCCTGCTAGCTATGGATCTTGGGAGTTGTAGGCCAAAAAAACACCTGGAGGGCTGAGGATGAGGAAGCCTGGTCTAGAATGTTCTGAGTACTGTATCCAGTTTCTCTCACACACAGCTCATAATGATTTTCAGCAACAAGGCGGTTGAGCTGTCACTTTGCACCTTGGAATATACCAGGCAAGATCTAGCATGGCTTGGGGATACTCCACCTGGTGCCATTGCTGAGACTTTGCTGTATCCGAGATCTTGGGGCCTATAAAGCACTTCGCTAGCCTGGTTGGGTGACATCCTCAGCCCCACCTTTCATACATGCGTAACGGACCCAGAATGTGCCATCAACAGATACCCACAATGCTTTTTTTTGTGGGGGACGATGCATTTTGAATTCAGGAATCTTCTCCAGAATTTTGGCAGAGTAGAACTGATTCATTCCTGGCTCTGCCAAAACTTCACTGACTGGAACTCCTTGCATTTGCTCATCCCTAATTATATATTAAAATATTTGTGGTCAGAATGTTAAGTGTATTCTTGAAATAGTTTGCTTCTATATTGCAGCTGAATCTCGCTGATAAAGCCTCTTTAGGGGAATGTTGATTTTTTTATTTATTCATGGAATAAGTTCTTTTGGGTTTGGGCGTGGTCAAAATGAAAGGAAAAACATTTAAAAAGGTATATTGCTGGTTTAAAGACCTGTGAACTATGGCCTGCATAATTTTAAATAGACTTTATAGTTATGCCATCTAGTGGCAGAAGGTGCAACAGAACTCCTGACTAAATTTAGTTAGTAAGGAAGGACTGGGTTTTTAATTTTGGCTCATATCACGCCGTAAATGCCCATCTGCATTGATATTTCTACGTACAAATAATTCATGAGTGATCAACAGTAATATTGGGTGATATATAGGCTGATATGCCACCAGATCGTCATCAAGGATATTAGGATTTAGGAAGAAAAACAGTTCATAAGACTGACATTTATTTCATAGAATATTTTTTATGTTTTACAGGTGGTTGAACTGAAGCCTGGTGGAAAGGATATTCCTGTCACTAGCGCCAATCGAATCTCATACATCCATCTTGTGGCAGACTACAGGTTAAACAAACAGATCAGGCAGCATTGCCTTGCATTTAGACAGGGTCTTGCCAATGTTGTTAATCTTGAGTGGCTTAGAATGTTTGATCAGCAAGAAATTCAGGTACTGTTGCATAGCTCTGTGGTCAAAATAATTTAGTAATATAAACCTTTGAAAATCCTGCCTGAAACTAAACTATGCACCTATCTTTCCCTATCTGTTCTAGGTTTTGATATCTGGTGCACAGGTTCCTATTAGTCTAGACGACCTTAAAACTTTCACAAACTATTCAGGCAAGTATATTGTAATTCATATGATAAATAAGATAAAATCAAAGGCATGAGCCAGGAAGGTTGAGCCACAATTTTCAATTGAAGAATTAACTGTGTTTAACTTCTCCCCATTTCATGGGATTCAAATTGGTTCTAGATTTTAGTTGGATCATTTTCCACATCACAATTTTAAAGAGCAATACTTAAAACAACAGCAACCAGTTACAACAAAGTCCTTTATTGGCTCAGTTTTATATTAGGGAGCTCTTGGATTATGCCCAGTGCCACAAAGAAGACTGAGAACACCAAATAGATAATAATGTCATACAAATGTACAATAATTCATGATGATCAGAATGCCTAAGAACATCTGCTACAATGAGTTTTTAAAGCTACATTAATGCTCTCATAGGACATGAAAGAAAATACTCAAATGTAGTCCATTTTCAGTATATTATCTTGGATTTTAGTGTTTCAAAACCTGTGGCAGTCATTGGTGGGAGACCATGTCACACTATGTCTGCTGTTTCCCTTCTACTAATCTGGGTCCAACCCCATAAATTTAAATATGCATATGTTTAATGAAAAGATAGTGAAGGCAGATAACCTTCCAGCTGGAAACTCTATAATTGAGAGTCCTGCTTGCTGTATTTGGTATTGTACCCTTTCCCCATGGCACTGAGGCTCCCAGCTGGGTCTTCTTTCCCCATATTGGCCTGGCTCAGACTTGCTTAGTCTTTGAGATGGAACTATCCAAGGTGCCTTCTCACTCATGCCTTTGTTTTTCACCATTTCTGCTTAATGTGCAAATGTTGCATTGATTGAGCTCTGTTTTAGAATGCTGGGCTGCTTCCGAAATGTGCTGAATCTTATGATGTTGCACATTTATTGAATCCCTGAAACGGCTAAGATGGAATGGGGCATGCCATTCTGTTGCTCTCAGTACCAATGTATCAGGTGGTTCAGAATATGTTGGTTCTTTTGCTGGCACATGTGGGCTATATAATCTGCACATCTGATTTTCTGCAGTGAGTACTGTAAGATGTTTGAACAAAAGAAACCAGTATTGAGGAAACGTGCAGCATGGCTGGCATTAGATGAGATCTGATTGACGCATTTCAATCATTCAGATTTATCAGTGTATCCGGAATGCACTGTAGCTGTCTCCTAATAGTATATTGTAATAGCGCTGTTCAACATTGACACAATTTGTTTTTCTTTTGGAAAATTGTAGGTGGTTATTCTGCAGATCATCCAGTAATCAAAATCTTTTGGAGAGTTGTAGAAAGTTTCACCGATGACGAAAAGCGTAAATTGCTTAAGTTTGTGACAAGCTGTTCACGGCCTCCACTCTTGGGGTTTAAGGTATCTGTGTTCCTGAAATTGGCTTAACAGAAGCATAATCTGATATATTGCAGCCATTCCCATGCTTTAGCACATTAAGAAATAATTGCTGAACAATTTAAGAAAAAAACCCACAATAAATAGGAGTACTCAACATTTGCACACAACATTAAGTGCTCATCAGTTCTTCTGCCTGATTTTTGGGGGTTCCTCCATGCCACTGACACATGGTGAAGTATTTTCAGGAGACTAGAGTAGAGGGCATTGAGGGATTTTGTGTTCTTCATTGAGTAACTATTTCTAGGCCTTGAGAAATAAGGTTTCACTGATCCTCTGGCTTATCACATATTCTATGCCGCCCATCTCTATTTTTGCATTTTCTGTTGTGTCTGGAATGATTAGTTAACTTCTTGATATTGTGAGCTGCTTTGAGTATGGCTTACCATTGGGAATCAGCATACATATACATGACGATGTACAGCTTTGTATTTCTTATAAGCCCGTTACAGGGACTGTTCCTACCCAGAAAAATCCTACCACGTAGTGCATATTATTTGACATGAGGAGCAGGAAAGATGCTTCCTCCATTTATGGGCAAAGATTCCCAACAGCTGTTACTGCTGTCTGATAATTGTGTAGGTTGATGAATAACTCCTGTCAAATGCCAAGAGCTGTTATTGTTTGCCCACCAAGCTCAGGAAAATGTACTGTTACCATGCTGCGCCCAAGCAGCATAGGAGCCCTGAGATAAGTAGCATAATTCAGTGTGACTATTACAAATGCTGTTGCAGTGCTTTTTTGAAGATGAAGAGCACCATGTACTGTAAGTAGTAATTAGTATTTGCAATGAAATAAGTGGATTCATTTAATGAAAAAAAATATATCGAGGGCAGCAATTAGTACAAAATGTCTTCGGTAATTAATTGTACATAGCTGCATTAAAGTAGAAGATAATTAAATGTTACTGTTAAGAACATAACTTTCTAATAGCCTGGCTTTGAAATCTTGTCCATGCTACATTGTGGAACCTTCACCTTTGCTAAAGTTAGTTCAGACTCATTTAGAAGAATGCAGTATGTCTTGAAGTACTTTTACTTATAAATAGCACAGTCACGACTTGCACTGTTTAAAAAAGGGGGGGAAATGGAAGCCTTTACTGCCAGCAGCTTCAGCTCACAATAACATATGCTCAGGCTAATTAAAGTTTAATAAGTTTAATAAATGAGATTGTTACAGACAAAAAAAAAATCATTAAAGTGCAGTTGGAAACTGTTAAGTTCCAATCAGGTCACACGATAAATTGATGATGCTTCTCACTTCTCTACTATTGCAGTTTCCCGTTCCACAGTATTTAATTATTCAACAAATGGTGCCCTTGGCTTGACATTTCAATATAGAACTTCATTTTTAACATTTTTAAAGCTTAAAGTAGGAAAATTCAATTAGCATTTTGAAAGGAACACTAAAAATACAGCATTTTATCTATGACATACATTTTAAGGCCTCCATTTAAACAATAATTTAACTTAAAATCTCATTAACCTTCTGGCATGGGGTGTTAGGATTTTTTTAAATTTTTTTTGCAGTTTCTAAAACCAGACAATCTATTTTCACTCACCAAAGAATTTGATTAAATTAATAAACTCTTGTAAAGAAAAGGAGAGCTTTGGATATAATGTGGAAATGGCTTAGGCACCCCTAGGGTGGGGGTGGGGTGGGAGGAGAGATCTTGTTTTCTAAGAACTGAGGAAAACCTATTTTCCTTTTTTGGGGGGTGGGGGAGGGGTAAAACCATTTTACACCTTGGGAATGTTCTTATTTTGTTAGAGGCAGAGTTGTTAAGTAGTTAGATCAGAGCTTTCCAAACTGTGTGTCGTGACATGTTAGCGTGTTGGCTGCAGTGTGTAGGTGTGTCTTGCAAACGCTCCCTGCACTTCTCCTGGTGCTGGAAAGGATTGTTTTCACCTCTGGTTTGCTAGTAAAACTGAATTACTGTGTCACGAACTGACACATGTCTAAAAAGTGTGTCACCAACATGAAAAGTTTGAAAAGCTCTGAGCTAGATGAATCGGGAATAGGCAGCATGTCTGTGACCAAAATGTTCCTTCAAAGCACTTTGATACGGTTTGACATTTTTGGGAGTACCAGATAATAATCTCTCTGTGTGTTTGTGTGTGTGAGAGAGAAAAAATGTATTTGATTCCTCAGATGTTAGAAAATGATTACTTTCTGCTGAGAGCTGACCTCTGGACTCCACACAACAATCTCCTCACCCCACCCGCCATGCTCACAATGGTGTAACGCAACATACTTTTTCTCTTTTGCTCAGCTTCATAAGACATCTTGATTCCTGATAAACACATGCAAATTAGCTTTTCAGTGAATCAGTTAGGCTTTTAACGATAGAATATGTGTTTTGTGGAACAACAGTTGTGTGTTTGTTTTTAATCTATGGGCCAATAATCACATTGCTGTGTTAAGCTTACACAAGAATCTCAATGCTAATCCAGTTTTACTTTAACAGATGACTTCCATGCTGTATCAGAAGCTGCTTTTGAAACGCCTCTCGATTTCAAAACCAGCATTGGCTGCTTTTAAAGAAATTCTGCTTCTTCAACCTTTCTGTGGATCCTGGCCAAAATCTCAAGCTGGCAACTATCATTCCACAACACTGTTGAATAGTAAAATTATAAAAATGAACTGATGTGGGCAAAATACCTCGTAGTTGCCCATTTCACATAAAATTCCACAATAGGAGGTTATTGTGACTTCAGAAGCTAAAATAGTGTATCTCTTAATACACGTTTAGGGGCTTCTTTAAGGCTACAAAGAAACTTTTATTTGGATTGTTTTTTTCTCCTTGTTTGGATGTTTGCTCTAATCCTTGTTTCATCGTTACATCTTTTCTCCTGCCCCAGGAATTGTACCCTGCTTTTTGCATACACAACGGAGGCTCTGATTTAGAGCGACTACCCACTGCCAGTACCTGCATGAATTTATTGAAGCTTCCAGAATTTTATGATGAGAACCTTATGCGAAGTAAGCTGCTTTATGCCATTGAATGCGCTGCTGGATTTGAGTTGAGCTGAGCTGAGCTACTCTAATGCTCTGTTGAGGAACTAATCAGTGCCTACTCCCACACCAAGCAGATTAAGAGAATCCCACCTAGGTTTCTGCAGCTCATCTTTCCTGTCAAATACTCTCAAGTAGGTTTCAGTTTCAGTGCAAGATGTTATTTCTCTGTCATTCATTAAGCATTTAACTGTATCAACGGTATCTTACTCAGATTTCAAAATAATGAAGCTGTGTGCAGTTTGGTAGGCTTTCCAAGAAAGAGCATATTTGGGGGCACAGTAACATCATTTTGAAAATAACCAAAGATGAAGCTTTGGCTTTGCGCTGTTCAAATACAGAATAATTCCATAAGCTGGCAATAAAGCAACATACAAAGCAGCCCACGAGGAATAAACAGGGTGATGACTTTGGAGAGGGAAGCAGGCATTTTGCAAGTGGCTCGGAACTGAGAGGCTAAAAGCAGTTCCACTTTTTTTTTCTTCAAGCAGCAGAAATTGTTTACAAACCTTTCTGCAACTGCAGTTTGTTGCAACTGGGGGGGGGAAATGCATTTTTATTACCGTGGTAGGCATTGAAAGAAAGCATTTATTTCACTTGTGTGTGTGTGTGTTTTTTCAATACCTTCAGTTATCTGAATGGGCATGCCTGTTCTTCAGTCACTACCTTAACCTGTGTCTTGATTAACTGGACATGTTCTTTCCTTCTTCCGTTCCATTTTCTCCTGTGTGCCTGTAGACTTTTTAATGCGACAGACTTCTTTGGCATATATAACACATACGATAGCTGTGATTTTGGAAAAGAAATACTTGTAACAACTATTAAAATATATTTGAACCGGAAGCTCCAGGCTTTTAATCTTTTATATCTGAAAGCCTGTGGGTGGGTGTTCACATACCCTCGTTAGCTTTCTCTGTCAGGAATAATTGTGGTTGGTGTAGAAACTGGGCTTTCCTTCGTTATTTGCCATGATTAAACAACTACGAATCCATTTGCTCAGTTAGCAGTTAGCTGCTTGGACACGGGGAAAGGAGTGCAGCACTGGACTATGTTTGACTGACAAGGCAAACATTTGTTTCATGTGGTTCAGAAATGGTTATGGCACTGGGTCAACATTTGTCTTCACGTGCAATTCTCATTAAATTATTTTTTTAATAATATAATTAGAACCTAAATCATTAACGGGCAGAATCAAGTGTGTCCTTTATTGTCAGTTGGAAAAGGCCTGAGAACTTTTACATTGGGGGGCCCTTCCACTTCTGGCCTCCTAGACCGAAAGCTATTTTACTGCTGGGGAAGCTTCTGAATTTCATATTTAATTAGCAGTAAACAGCAATATATTTTAAATGTGCAGAAGAGCTCTTGAGTGATTTTAAGATGTTTACTAGTGTTAGTACAAAAAAAATGTATAATTTCATGATTTGGATAAGAAATGAAGTGTTAAAAATACTATTTGTAGTCACAATGTACAGAAATAAAACAATTGTTTTCTTTTTGGTTTTGTTCTAAGCTGCTTTATTTATGGTAACATTTACAATGCCCTGCCTATTCTGTTCCTGATAGCTGGCTGCCTGTGTTCTTTTTATTTTTATTTTTATATAGATTATGGAACTTAACACAGAAGGACTATAGAAACCTTTAACAGGACTGCTGCCTTCTCTAAAAAGCAAAGCCTGGACATTTCCTTTAAAAAAACACACACCATTATTTATTCTATAATCCAAAGTATTAAATATTTTGAAATTATTTTTTCAACTGAATTAATTTATTGGATTAAAAGCTGTCATGTTTGTAAGTTGTAAAATGTAAATTAAACTCTTTTTGTATTGAGTCATAGTATTTCCAGGGTTTTGTTAGTTTTAGGCCACATTATTTTAACGTCTGGTAAGTTACAATTTACTCTTGTTGTGCAAGCATAATGCACAGTTTCTAAAATGTTATCAAGGAATCCAAAACAAGAATGAGGCTGACACTGGCCAAAATCAAATGAGCTATTCCCTGCCCCTTTCTCTTCCATGCCACATTGCAACCATTTTTAAACAAAGTGTTTTTGCAGGCGGTCTGCCATGTGCTAGAAAGTGCTGCTCTTGGTGCTTTTGGATTGGGAGGAAGTATATTAGCACATATTTGACTTTGTCCAGTATGTTCCTGTGGGCAGGACCTACAGCATGGGCGGTGTAAAATTCCAAGGGCTAAAATCTTAATGACAATTAGCCAATGAAAAAAAGCAGGGAGCAGCAGAGTCTGAAAGAAATACGGTCAGTTCTTTCCAGCCTTGGAAAATAAAAAAAAATGTATTGCAACATCATGCTGCCTGGGAGCTGGCAGTCATATTTATTATGCAACTGACTAGCAAGATACCAACCAATTGTCAGAATCTGTACAGAAATGTCCATGTTGAATTGGTAGGTGAATGCAGCCCCACTTGTCATATAGCTATTGTATCTTTCCTAGGGCCTCGTTTCCATCTCTGTATCCCTTGCAATCCTTAATAATAATAATAATAATAATAATAATAATTTATTTCCTGGCCATGTTACTGAGATGTCCACTGAGCCACAGAATTGTGTATGTAAATATGACCCTAGAAATGGATGAGCCCTGGAATAAAGGGCAGAGTTTAGTTTTGTTCAGAGAGAAACTTTGGAGGGTGGCATCCACATCTCCACAAGCCTTGCACTCACTCAAGCTGTGTTCGCACTGGTGGTGTGGAGGGAGAGGTCACTCATAACGCCTTAGCAGTCGACCGTTTGGGCTCCTGAACGCCACAAACCCGGAAGTGAATGTTCCGGTTTGCGAACGTTCTTTTGGAAGCAGAACGTTCAGCGGGGCTTCCGATTGGCCACAGGAAGCTTCTGCAGCCAATCGGAAGCTGTGCCTTGGAAGTTGAATGTTTTGGAAGTCGAACGGGCTTCTGGAATGGATTATTATAAGGCTATGGTGGTTCAGAGCCTGTTACCTGGCTCACTGGGCCAATTCTACACATACTCTAAATACACATTACTAAAGGATTGGTCTGTCTGTAATGGTTATACACACCTTTTTGCACCCCCACTTGGAGATGTTTGAGGCCTTGCCATCATTTGCATGAGTGTCAGAAAAAGCAAACTCCTTCAAGCCAAAAGATTACTCCAGAGTGACAGGTAAGTTGTCCATGGCCAACTCTAGCAACTGAGTCTCTTCCCAAGTCTCAAGTGTTTCTTTTTACACAAGAAGCTGCTTTATACCAAGCCAGATCACTGGTCCATCTAGCTCAGTACTGTCTACACTAACTGGCAGCAGCTCTCCAAGCTTTTCACATGGGACATTCCCAGCCCTACCTGGACGTGCCAGGGAGACCTTCTGTATGCAAAGCAGCTGTACCACTGGCCTATGGCCCTTCCTATTTTTGTTATTGTCATCTCACCTTTTGCATTAAAGATAGCTTAAGGGTAAAGGGACCCCGACCATTAGGTCCAGTCGTGGCCGACTCTGGGGTTGCGACGCTCATCTTGCTTTATTGGCCAAGGGAGCCGGCGTACAGCTTCTGGGTCATGTGGCCAGCATGACTAAGCCACTTCTGGCAAACCAGAGCAGCGCACGGAAACACCGTTTTACCTTCCCGCCAGAGCGGTACCTATTTATCTACTTGCACTTTGACGTGCTTTCGAACTGCTAGGTTGGCAGGAGCAGGGACCAAGCAACGGGAGCTCACCCCGTCACGGGGATTCGAACCGCCTTGTGATCGGCAAGACCTAAGCTCTGTGGTTTAACCCACAGCACCACCCGCGTCCCTTAAAGATAGCTTACACAAATATAAAAGCCATGCACCCTGTTCTTTGACTAAATTGTTTCGAAGCCATTTTTTAATTGCTGTAACTCACCCTGGGACCTGCTGGCGAAGGGTGGGTACAGAAACAACAAATTAATATGGCTCGTAGCAAACTAAAGCCAAGTCCAAGAACAAAAGTTTCTCCTCCCATGCACCTTCTGCCCACTCTCTTCAGCTTGAAGGTTGTCATTTGCTACGTAAAAAAGCTGATGGGTATCTTATTCAACAACACAACCCAAACTATCAGATGGTCACCTGTTTGCTCCTAAGTGAGGGAATATCAGATTATCTGGGACTATTAACCACCTCTCTACCCTATCAGTTGGCCACAGGGCCTGTGCCAGTCCCCTGCTGAAGCCCCGCACGCGCCTTTGGCTTCCAGCCAGATCTTGCAAGAGATCCATGAGATCCCACTGCAGTCCAGAAGCTGCAACTGTAGCCACTTCTCTGCCAATGGGTGGGAGAGAGAGGCATGGAGGTGCCAGATAAGTAAGGAGTAGTGGTGGTGGAGGTGGCAGCTTCTAGTGACATCTTGCAAGAGCCCCCGCAAAATCTTGTGCAGCTCTCTTGAGATCTCCCTGGAAGCTACTGCTGCTCCAGCAGTGCAGACGGGCACTGCCCCTTGGATTCCACCGCCCGCGGTGGCTGCCTCAGTCCGCCACACAGATGGGACAACTGGTCAGCCAGAAGCCTATTGATAGTAAGAGAGCGACAGCTGCTTCTTAAAAGCGATGACCAGAAATATTGGGGCAGCAGAGAGGAAAGGTGTCCACTGGCCTCACCCTAAATCAGGCACCTCCCAAACTCAGCCATCCTGCTGTTTTGGGACTACAATTCCCATCATCCCTGAGCACTGGTCCTGTTAGCTAGGGATGATGGAAGCCGTAGTCCCAAAACATCTGGAGGGCCAAGTTTGGGGGTGCCTGCCCTAAATGCTACCTGGGCTTTGCCCAGATCAGGGTTGCTCAAAAGCTTTGGTCCCCAGATGCTGTTGGACTACAACTCCCATCATCCACCCTAGCTATCAGGACCAGTGGTCAAGGATGATGAGAGTTGTAGTCCAACAGCATCTGGGGGTCCCAAGGTTGAGAAAGGCTAGAGACGTTGCTCCCGCTCCCCACCCCTGTCCTTTTAATAGCGCAGCGCCTCCTCACAGCCGCCAGGGAGCGCCCGCCCGCGCCCGAAATATCCCCCTTCCCACCTGCGGCAGTGGAACGGGGGGGGGGTGGAGACGCCAAAAGGCAGGAGGAGTTATTCTAGAAACTTCCGGAAAGTAATAAACCCCGGCGGAAGTGAGAGCCGAGACTTCCTCCTCTCGCGTTCTCTTCCTTCCCTTTCTCTCCAGGTTAACGGTCACAGAGAAACGAAATTGTAGAGAGATGACCGAATCTCTCAGATCGGGAATTTCCGGGTCCACGTGACGGTAAGTCAAGAGCTGCGTTAATAGAAATGAATGAGGAAATTTCAAGATTCGACCATAACCGTGACTGAGCGACAACGTATTCACCCGGAAAGACGGCAGCAAAGAGAAGATTTATTTATTTATTTTATTTATTATTTAAACCCAGTTTTTATTTTGGTGTGCACAATTTCTTTTTTTAAAGGTTGAGCAGAGTGGCTTACGACAACCGTCCAGCGATACTTCGAACCTTTTGCAGGCAGGTATTATAACTATCATCATTATGATTTAATATCATCATTTATTTCATATGTATGATTAAGTTGAGATTCCTGGATTGCAAGAGGTTGAACTAGATGACCCTCGGGGTCCCATCGTAATCTACAATTCTATGATTCTATGATTATTTTGTTATAAATTATTATTGTTGTTGTTGTTGTTGTTGTTGTTGTTATTGTTGTTATTATTACCTACCTTTCGCCCTAAAGGCCCCAGGGCGGGTATACATACACACATACACCTCTATCTCTGAAAATAATAAAATGTCATAAGCCGGGGGGGAAACTGAAACAATTTTAAACGTGTAAAAGCACATTTTTACATGAAATATTTACATGAAATTAAATGAGAGATTAGAACACTGGTAAATTCCTGGTTGCCTTTGTTTGGGAGGGGGAGGGAGCACGCTGCTCCCCAATCATACATTATATCAAAATTATTTCCGCCAGGCGGGCTGAGTTAGGACGAATGAATGGGGAGGAGGAAACCGAGAACCTTTCGAAACCTTGGAAGTTCCGCTATAACGTGTCACTCTTCCATTTCCTACATCTAGGGAGGCGCGCTGGTCTGGGGAGGGAGGGAGGAAACAAAACAAAAAAAAAACCCCACCAACGGCTCTTCCGACGCTTTCAGCGTGTGACGCACTTCCTGTTTGCGGCCCTGAGAGGAGGAGAGGCATCGTCTCCACCGTCACGGCTGCCGCTGCTTTATCAGAAAGCGGGAAGGGACGAGACGGGAGCTGAGCGCTGCAGTCGCCGGCCTTGAAGGAGACGAAGAGCTCGGAGGTGAGGGGAGCGCTGAGGGCGCGGGGAGCCGTGAGGGAAGGAAGGTGGCGGGTATGGGGGGGGGGGGAAAGGAAGGGGGTTGTTCTGAGGGGAGGCGGGGGGGGGGTTGGTATCTCCACCGCGGGGTTGGCGCCAGGGGCGCGCGGACTCCCCCCTCCCCTCATACCCTCCTCCGCCTCGCGCTCTCTCCTGATTGGCTGAGGCCCGCTGCAGGGGGTGGGGGGAGGGAGAAGGATGGTTATCTCTCGGCTCGTGCTGGGCTTCGCCTTGGCTTCCGATTCTCCCCCCCCTCCCCCACCACGAACAACCCCCCCCCAAACACAGACTAGATTCTCTGGGCATTTGTGCCTCCTTCGCCCTCAAAGGTCGCCGTGGCCCAGGCGCCTTTTTCTTTTTCCTTTGTCTGGTCTACCTCTTCTCCAGCCCCACCCCCACCGATCTGCTTCTAACCCCCCCCCCCGTCCTGGGGTTGCCACCCCCGGGAAACTCCATGGGGGGTGTGTGGAAGTGGGGAGCCCCCCCCCCGTAGCGCCTTCCGCGAAACGAATCAAAACAAAGCGCAAAAAGGGGGGCCTCGTGGAGTGGGGGCGCCCCATAGGAACGCGTGGCGTGTCTTGTCTGGGTTTCGGAGCGATTTAAGGCGTTCGAGGGCTTCAAGCTTAGCGGAGGCCCAACTTCTAAAAACGTTTAATTTTTCCCGTCCGAAACAAACGCTTAAAAATTCAAAGTAGATCATATTTGTTGTACGTGCAAAGAGGGGGCGATAAGATTTTCATTGGCTACATGCAGCCTATTTCATCTGCGGTCCACGAAAGCTTATCGTGCGATAAGTGAAGGCACCGTAACGCTTTTAATTTTATTTTTCCGTTTGCATTTTTGCTGTGTAGTAGGCTAACATGGCCTGTTCTCTGGAATGGTATTGCTGTTAGCGATTTGTTTTCTGTGGCAATTGCCTGTTTTGTCTCTTTTTAAAAATTTTCTTGGTTTTTACACAATGCTTTGCAATTACAAGAAGCCTGCCTGCTTTTTTGTAGATTGTTTTTAACGTCTCTGTGCAAATGTTATCACTAAATGTTATCACTATTTAAAAATAAATACATTGAATCCTTGGTTTCTTTCGAAATTGCTCAGTGAACAAACTGAGCTGAGGTCAGAAGCTGCCATTTGAAAACTATTAGGAGGAATAGGCTAATGGTGCTTTGCATGTTTACTAGGATGCGACTCCTGTTGAATATGGTTGGCATTGCAGTCTAGAAGATGTAGAAAGAATAGTCATTAACTGGCAGCTGTTAAATTGCTTTCGGGGGAGGGAAACTTTTGAAAGTTGGAATCTTAAGATTTAAAAGTTAAGTAGATGAATATTTTGTATATCTGTTAAAGCATAACTAATAATACTTACTTGACAAATTTTAGATAAAAATATCATTTCTAAAATAAAATAAAAAGAGTAGCAGTGTAACTTTTAAAGTACAGTAAATCTCAAGCAAACAGTCCCTTGGTTGGTTACTTGATTCAACTTTGGAAGTTGTGTAGAGATTAGATATGCAAATATATGGCTACCTTGGATTTTGTAAAACTAGTGGTGGGTCCAATATTTCATATTTGGCCCAGCTTTTTGTCAGGAGTGGGTTAACAAAATACCCAAATTATTATCACATATTAAATTGTTGATTTTGTTCAGCCTTGTGTAAGCTGCCCTAAGTAAGCCTTATTTGAAGAGCAAGGGAAAATAAATTACTGAAATATGTGTTACTTGCTTCAAGTGGGTGGCTTAGCAGCAAGACTAGACTGGAGGCCATTTATGTGGTACCTCTGTTGATCTTTTGGGCATCTGGGATTTTCCGTGTTTCTCTTGAAATTTCCAGACTCATAATGAAGGAGATTAAGTAGCTAGGGGAGGGATAGTAAAGCGATGATACATTCTAACACTACAATTTTATTTATTCTTTACAAAGCATACATTTTATTACTCATTAAATACCTTTTGTTGCTCAGTTATATGTGAACCACCCTGAGATCTACAGGTGAAGGGGCAGTATACAAATTTAATTAATGTTAATAACACATTAGATTTAAAAATGGAAATTCATTTTTTTTCTTCACTGTGTAATTATTCATTTAATCTTAAAGGTCCAAGTAGGAGGAAGACACACTATATTTGTCCTAGAGTTCATTTGTATTCCACAGCAATATTATCTTAAAGCTAAATTTTAGAATTTTAAAATGATGGTTAAATGTATATACCATGGTTGAATTTCCCTTGGCAGATTATGATGGCTGGACTTTAGTAATTGTTTTAGGATTAACTAAAAGCCAAATGCTACATTAGTTTGCATTATTTTCTGTATTTCTATTTTTTTCTTCACTAAGCTAAAGCTTACTCACCTTTTAGTCTATATTTCTGAATAATTTGGTCCTGGGAGTGAAGTTAAGAAGCTGTTTAGTGCAAAATCAGGCCATTGGTCCATAACCATCTGTTTCCATATCACTGTTCTCACATTGGTTGTCCTATGCCTTTTCAAATATTGCTTCTTTGGTCCTTTTTAAATGTGGGTTAAACCACAGAGCCTAGGGCTTGCTGATCAGATGGTCGGTGGTTTGAATCCCCGTGACAGGGTGAGCTCCCGTTGCTTGGTCCCTGCTCCTGCCAACCTAGCAGTTCGAAAGCACCTCAAAGTGCAAGTAGATAAATAGGTACCGCTCCGGCGGGAAGGTAAACGGCGTTTCCGTGTGCTGCTCTGGTTCGCCAGAAGCGGCTTAGTCATGCTGGCCACATGGCTGGCTCCCTCAGCCAGTAAAGCGAGATGAGCACCGCAACCCCAGAGTCGGTCACGACTGGATCTAATGGTCAGGGATCCCTTTACCTTACTGAACCATTTATTTGCAAAGCATGTGGTTAAGCAGACATCACTATACCTGCTAGTCAAACCAGACTGAACAAGAAGAGAGAAGTTGGCCTTGTAATAGGATCATTTGCATCCTTAGGGAAGTATTTAGGACAAGAATCATTCAGGAGATAATTAGAAGGTTAAAGCTCAAAGGTCAAGATTAGAAAAAAGGTTGGGTGGAGCATCAGCAGGACATAGGAGTATTCTTAGGGTTTTCAAAAATTCCCAGTAGAGTGCCAGTCTCACCTTTATGCAAGGATTTCAGCATCAGGCTTATCCGATGTAGTGTGCGAAAAGGCTGTTCTGGGAGAGCTTCCCTTGTAATGAGGAAAATTACACAGGAGGCTGCGATGAGACCAAGAGCAAGTATCCTGTTGCCCAGCAACTATTGTCTCAACACACAATCAGTAGAAAGGCTGTTAGCCAAAGAACTCTTTATATTTCAGTTTACGCAGTAAAGTTATGTATTCATTCAGACAGAAACAGAGTTGTGGCCATCTTAACTGTACTCATTCCAGTACTGTACCTGAGTTCAAAATACACTAGACTCTCAAAAACATTTATGACTCTGGTAAAAACCTCGATTAACATAGTGTAAGCACTACCTTTTAAGTGGAGCTTTAATTGCTTTTCATATTGAGGCCTAGATTATTTTTGAAACCTGGAAATTGTGGAGCAGGATTATAACTTCTTATTTTTTATTGCAAGCCCTCCTGTACAAAAGAATCACTTTCACCACCCCTCTTTAGCAGAGTATTTGCCGTACAATTTGGATTGTTGGCAGTTTGCTAGTTTTTAAAATTAAGTTAATTCAAAGTGACTTATTATAAACTGGAATAGCTAGAAGACCACTTGATCAAAAACTCAATAGAGCCATTATATATTATGAATTTTAGAAACATCTATGCTGCTTCCCCCCCCCCCCAAAAAAGCAGAACTATATCTTCATAAGAAGAAAAAGCTTTTAAGTTGAATTCCAGATTAAGGCTTCTTCACCTTTCTGATGTCTACTTCATTACAATTTCTGCTCCCCCCCCCATCACATGCCACTTCATGTTTAACACCCTTTCTTCAAGGATGGCATCTTTATAAATTAAGCAAGACATATTTAAGCAAAACATCAAAAATATACCTTGCATTATGCTCTACCAAATACTATATTAGTACGCCTATGAGGAAGATGCAGGACAGTTTTAACTAGTGCTAGAAACTTGCTTGGTACAGGTGTCTTAATCAGGCATGGCTCTTAACATTCAGTCATTAATGTTATGGTCCCCAGTTTATATTTATGTGCTGCTGTGAGGTGCAGAATTTTTATTTTATATTTACTTGTGAAACTTTTAGATTGTTGCAAACCATTTAGGCATCTTGAAGTATGTAGTTGCTTGTAAGTCATTAAAATATAGCATGCTTCAGGTTGCTTGCAAAGTCATTGTGATTGGGAATTATCTCTGTTCTGCAGATGCCTTAAAAGGTTAACTGAAGTTTCTGTTTCCAATATGTAATTCTGTAATATCAGAAGATTGTTTACTGAAGAGTTTAGATGCAAGATGAATTCAGTTGACACATTTGCATTAATAAGTGACAAAATAATTTGTAAGGTTGTTTCATTTGATGCTCATTAAAAGGGCTTCCTTGTTGATTAGTTTGTGGAGACATGGTCTATTAATAGTTGAACAGTGTTGATAAAAATAGGATAGCCTTTAATGTCTTTTTTGTAGTACTGGATATTTTTGTTTTATAAAGTTCAAACTGAAAATTTATTCAGCCTGACATCATTCTTGCTCTCATTTCTGGTGTGATGATGGTAAGTCACCCAACAACTACAAGTTTCTATTCCAGGCATAGGCAAACTCGGCCCTCCAGATGTTTTGGGGCTACAACTCCCATCATCCCTAGCTAACAGGACCAGTGGTCAGGGATGATGGGAGTGGTAGTCCCAAAACGTCTGGAGGGCCGAGTTTGCCTATGCCTATTCTGTTCACTACAAAATGCTGGTACAATGGTACCTCTACTTACGAACGCGATCCGTTTCAGGGTGCCGTTGACACCCCAAAAAGTCCATAAGTAGAGCGCCGCTATTGTGCGTGCCTGAAGTTCGATAGAGCGCTTCTGCGCATGTATGCAGATCGCTTCTGTGCGCGCGGCGAACCCGGAAGTAAACATAACCTGAAAAGCCGCAACATGAAGCAAATGTAACATGAGGTATGACTGTATCTGCCATTTATAATCCACTGTGGGTGATTGATATCACCTTATCTGAATTGCCCTTGTTTGCCTTCAGAAAACAGTTTTGTTTACTTGCCAAAATCTTTCTAACCCATCCTCTATTGGTTGATCTCAGGACAGGATAGATCAGTTAAAACAATCCCTAAATACTGACATACCACCCAAGATTCACAGCTGGAAGTCAAAGAAGCAAACTGCAGCAGACCAATGGCGATTCTCAAAACATTAAAACATTATAATTGTACTGTGTGCAAAATGTTAAATGCAGAACACCAGCAGCCAGCATAAGCAGTCTGTATACCAATCCGCCCTCAACACAGCCAGTTTCTAACTTTGTGCTGAAATATAGCTAGTGTTAGCATCAGCAAGGTGCTCCACAACAAGGGGGACCACAGAAAAAAAGGCTGTCTTTTGCATTTCTACCTAATAGGCCTGTGCAATATATCAATATACTGTTTAAAAAGGATATTTAGAGAAAATTGTGATAACCATATTTTTAAAAAGGACCTGGCAATTTATTGTGAATCAAGCATGGTATTGGAAAAGCTGGGGGGAACCTTTGCTTTGTTATGTGCAGCCCTTGCTAACTCCGCCTAAGCTCCTCCCTGCCTCCTGAATATCTAAAAGTGTGACACTGAATTGGCTTTTTTTCTTGTTTAGTAATGTAGTTAATTTTTAAGGGAGCATTCTCTCACTTTACCTTTGATATCTCTGCTGCTGATTACTTCTACAGCATTTATTTTAGAGAAAATGTGCTAACTTAAACATTATTGGTATAGTACTATAACGTAACAGTTGTAACAATATGCTAAAGATAAAAGAACATTTTTTCAGTTTTATAGTTAGACCCATAAGTAGTAGAAGTTGCCATGGCATTATCATGTTCACCTCTACATGGCTCCTGCCTTATTTCAGATATTGTGATAAATTGAAATATTGCAATGTGTAGCTGGTGCTATATCGTGATGCTAAAAATCACATATCGCCCAGCCCAACTACCTAATACACAGTTCCCTGAGGCAGGACACAGAGAAGTTCCTCACACCACATCTTACTTCTGGATTTAATGACTAAATAATATTTTTTAATGGTTGGAATTAATACACTTTAATTAGGGGTACAAAAAGAGGTGCTTGCCACTAACTCCTGCTGTTCCATTTTTATCCAAATGAACTTAGAAAGTTCTTCCAAGTCTCCTGCAATTGCTAGGTGCTGAAGGAGATGCACAGTCTTCTATCACTTGCACAGTAGTGAAGAAAGAGCAGCATAATGTGCCTTGCTGTTTCTAATTTTATTGAAACATTTGTAAAAATGGGAGAAGACTGCTTTCTTCTCAGACCTTCTTCTCACTGTTAAATGTTGTTTTGCTATAAAGGCCCCTATTCTCAGTTGGGCCTTTCTGCATATCCAGTTCTTTGCTCCATATGTAGCCTCAGTTCTGGATGATGAAGTTAATCTATAACAATCATGTGTTTTTATTGAGGTTCCTGAACTTTCTTTTCAAGCCCCTTGAATTATTCGAAGCACGTAGCATTTGAAATAATTTACCTGGATTTCCAATAAGGCATGTGGCTAGTGCAGTATTGTCTCGCTTTGTTGGGCCATAAACTTCAACATGCCATCTTGCCATCAACTCATCTATCAGCTGTCATTCATTTGGCTGCTGGAGAGAGAGGAGGAATGTAGGGTCTACTCCATTTGCTTGCCTGAGAGACTGGTTCTATTTGGTTCCTATCTCTGAATTGTTTATATCTGTTTATAAAAACATTGTAACTTTTAAGAGCTGACACATGAGTTTGCTATTTTGCTTCTTGCCTCCATGCTGTTTTCCTTTTGTTCCAAGTTTTTTAGAGTAGAAGGCTGTAGGCAGGGACTGTCTAGTTAATCTTACTATTTAAACCAATCTGAGAGTCTTTTTCAGCTGACTAGCATGGTAACAAGTCTTAAACAAATTCCTCCCTTTTCTCCCTCAAGTCCATTGGCAAGTAGAGGGTTTAGAAGAAAGACAGTTTTACACTGCTATTACTAAAGCTGTACTCTTTAAAAAAAAGCATAAGAACTGTATTCTGCAGCTCTGCTGATGGAATGCGGCATTGTCGAGTTTCAGCTCCTTCTGTGCCTCTTCTGTGTACTTTTTGGGAGCCCTTGGAATAGTATAGTAGAGGGGGAAATCAGTAAAAATAGGATTGTATCCCAAGCATTGCCAGCGGAGTTCTGCTGATGCAGCAGCAGTTCTGTTTCCTTTCCTCACCCTGCCCCCTCCCCTGGGGCATCCACCCAATCTTCTCTGGAGGGTTCCCCAACCCTTTGGAGCTGAGTTTGAAGGTGCACAGAAGGCTGCAGAGAAGAGGATAAGAAAATTCCATACTGCTAGGCAAGTTTCTTGTGCTAGTGGAATGAGAACATTGGATGCTGCCCAGAACCTGCTTGTGAAAGCTTCCCCTTGATCATTGTCTCTTCTGTGAACAGAAGAACTCCTTTGGCTACAAACCAAAATCTTGTATATAGATGTGTGTTTCATGATGGGTGTCTTGGTAAAATTCCCTTGGATGTACCATCAGTTCTCCCCTGCCCCCCAATGTGTAATGCTTTGTACTTTCATGAAATGGTTGTGTAAGATTGGAGACATGTCAGTGTAAAGCTACTGCATGATATTTAAGTTCTATCATGCAGCTGTCTTGACTATTGCATTCTTTGCATAAATCCTATGGCCACTGCTGCTGCATACCAGCGCCCTCCTTTCCGTTCCATTTCCCTTAGTTTAATTGGCCTCTGTGATTCTCTTGATTTATAATTACATCCCACTAGGTGACAACCTGAGACTAAAGTGTTAAGACTGAATGAATGGAGTTGTTGTTCAGCACCCTTTATCTTCACTCTTTCCAAATAGTGGTGGTGGATGGCTTTTCAAAATGCTGACAGATTTAAATTCTAATGAAGCAATTAGCATGAATTTTCTTGATGGCACAGAATTGGCATGTTTACTCCTTCATAGAATTCTAGTTTTGCTTATCCATAAGCAGCCTCGAACAAATTTTGTGAAGTGCCATGAACTATTGATAGAATTGTTGGTTTTTAAAAAGTATGAAATGTCGGAGGTACTACATTTTGGAATTCATGAAATTCAAAGTTACCAATTTGATAGCTTCCCCTTGCCGAAAATCTATATTGTTAACTTATAATTCATGAAAATTGTGACCAGTTGTTTGCCCTGCTGTGTAACAAGCTAGTCCCTGAATAAGTTGACATATATTTTTCTGGGTTTTGCTTCCTTGATGGATTTTTCTGAAGATGCATTTTCCAGTATTGCCTGCATTGATACTAGTTTATGTAACAAACACACATACTGGCTGGTACCAACTTTTATTAGCGTTGTACTATAACTGTGCTTAATCTTAAAATATAATTAGAGTGACTTTTGGAATTTGTTTAATGAATACCAGTAAAGCATGCAAGGTGGAGCTGCTTTACACATTGTTTAAATGTGTTTATACATATATTTATTCATTTTGTATTCACACGTCAAGTTTGCAAGTGTAAATATCTGCTTATTATTTTTTTTTTTGCTACAACTCTGATTAGCTTGTTCAGTAGCGATATGCTTTGCACGCAATGTGTGGTGGGGCACTGAAATCTGCTTTCAGTTTTCCTTTTGCATTATAGTTGGGCTTGTAAGATTATGACTTGCCAGAGCAAAACACATTAACCATTAGTCATATGAAGCCTATACTCTTAATCTAATGAGGGCTAGAAATTAATCATTAAGTATTTGTAGAGCCATAGTCAAAGGAAATCCTTGTTCTATTTACTGCATAATGGTGAGGATATAATTTTCAGCACATTTTGCTGACGCATACTGAAAGGATATCCCTTATCAGGCTGATAAATGCTGAAATGGATTTTCTTTTGCTTGCTGTTCATTCCTTTCCCCCCTGCATTGCCATTCTGTTCTTACTTGTAATTTGTAATCTTACATTTCTTATGGTTAGCTTTTCCGGTATATTCTGTACAGGTATTGGTTTAAAATGGAAATACTTTCCAAAAACCATTTGATACTTGATATTCAAAAACTTACTGGCTCCTTTCTAATCCAGGCTTCGACCTGAGTTTGGTATTGAAACAGGCTTGGTTGCCCTGGTGGATAACGTATGCCAGGAACAAGTATGCAGTTCTTTTGGTCCTTTTGGACTTATCTACAGCATTTGATACCATTAACTGTGGTATGTTTCAGTTGTCTGACATTGGTGGTGAGGCCCAGGGTATCCACTTCTCTATATCTCTTGAATCCACTCTCTCATTGCTTTCTTCCCCAGGTTAGGCCATCAACTTTTTGGCCCATCGAGTGCATTTTGAATTTTAGAAAGTGCTGTGGGTGCCAGTCAGAAAATGGCTGCTTTGGGAGGCATGGCTTTGGCCCAGCCCACTTCTGTGCCTCCCCTGCAACATTACTTTCCATCGAGGGCATTAGGCACTTGGGTTAATAAAGTTTCTCCATGTGCCATTAGGAAATGGTGCAATGGAAACCTTTCTAATGGATATGGATGAAAGGGGCCCTTCTGTTTTTCTCCTAGAGCTCTCTGTGACAGAAGGGTGAAGGGTTCATTGAAAAAGGGTTTGGAAGAAACTCTGGTAGATACAGGAGAAATGAATGCATGCATGTCCAGTTCATCTATTTGTTAAACTGAAATCTATGATTAAAGCAGACTCGTTTCTATCATGCAGCTTGTCTTTTCAACCAAAATTTCCAGTGTTAATATTTGTTAAAACCTTGTTTTCTCCCCCAAGGACTATTGTTATCAAAGCAATATAAAACATGGTGGATTATTATGAAGTTCTAGGAGTGCACAGACATGCCTCACAAGAAGACATTAAAAAAGCGTAAGTACCAATCTTTAAAACTGTAGGTAAGCTGCAAATATGTTTTGAATTTCTTTGAATGTAATATCTCCTCCACATTTTGAGTGGGTAACATGGTTTCATACATCAAGTTATTGTGTTCATTGCTTGTGATCACTGGAATTATTTACTGTATCAGATGATGTTCTGTACCAGACAACTGTCTTGAGAATCGTTAAGTCATGAGAAGAATTCTTGAATGTGCTCTTCCAGCAATTTTTGGGCTATATCCAAGCCTAGTTTGCTCTCGGACTCAATGCATTCCCCCCCCCCTTACATCCTGAATTCAGAAGATTTTGCTTTTAGCTAACACAATTCTCATTTTGTCTAGACTGGGAATTTGTGGGTAACATTGGCTATGGTTACTTTAAACAAGCCAACTTCATAAAGGATGATTTGAAGTTGACTTACTTTGATACTAACATTATTTAATCACAATTCCTAGGTGAGAAGCTTTCGCTTTGTCCTCCCTCAACTTAAAGGGAAGGAACAGGTGTATATGAACTGGGGAAGAGGCTAGGCTCCTTCATATAGCAATAAATCATGATTTTGCTTTCAATCCAATACAGCCTTTCAATTCAATACAGGCTCCTGAACGCCTTGGGAGTTGGAACGTTCTGGCTCCTGAACGATCAAAAACTGGAAATGAGTGTTCCAGTTTTCAAACTTTTTTGGGAAGCCGAACGTATTGTTCACTATTGTTTCCAGTGTGCCTCTGCAATGGGGAACCAATCAGAAGCCGCGCCTTGGTTTCTGAACTTTTCGGAAGTCGAACGGACTTCTGGAACTGATTCCGTTTGGCTTCCGAGGTACATCTGTACAGCCTTTATACTATGTAGGACACTGTTCCTATTTGCTTGTTCTTATGACTGTCCTACGTATGTTGTTGCAGTGTTTCTGAGTTAAAACAGGCCTGCATTTCCTAGAAGCAATCTGCCTATTTTAGCAAAGAATGACTGTCCAAATTTTCAAAAACATATCTTAATGAGATACTTTGATCAGTTTGGTTTACTATTAGGGGTAAAACTATAAATAGCATTCACTTCCTTATTCCTTCAGATGAACTTTTTCTAAGCGCTTTGGAGGATCTTGAGAATGCTGCTGGCTGCTTCTTTTTTCTCTATTTAGTATTACGAGCCGTTTGTTAAGATAACTGAATTGACAACTATTGATAGTATTTGCCAGAATCATGTACTATAGTTTGGAGGGCAGGAGCCTATCATTGTTTGTCAATTTGAATATCATAGCAATCTATGGTTAGTGACAATTGGGAAATGGAGAGGGTTATTAAAAGGTTATTAAAAGTATCTTAGCTCTTGCAAACCTTAAAGCTTATCAACTTACACTGTATTATATTATGTTACTATATCGCTGCCTTCAAATAATTCATATTGGGAAGTTACATATCATTTTATTAAAAGCTCCTGTAATCAGTAAGCATCTTTGAGTCCAGTGTTGCATTAGGAGAAGGGAATTACATCTGTGTGGGGGGGCTACATTGGATTACACCCACTGCATTTAAAGTATGTGTTTGCTGACTACTTTAACACATTAAAGGTTTGCCTGGTGCCTTCTTTATGCACCTTTAGGCGCCAGTCACATACATTCCTCTTTAAACAGGCCTTTGATTGATTGGCATCCTATGCCCTTTTAAAATGTGTTGGGAGGGTGTTATTGGGTTATTTTTGTTTTTATTTTGATTATGTATTTTGTGCTTTTATATTCTGATGTTATCCTGTGAACCGCCTTGAGACCTGCGAGTACTGTATACTACTACTACTATAACTTAGCCAATTGAATTAATAAATTTTCCCTCTCATTTTGTATTTGTTGTGCATCTTGAATAAAATCAGCTTATGCAACTTCCCCTTTTATTTCAGGTACCGCAAACTGGCATTAAAGTGGCACCCTGACAAGAATCCAGATAACAAAGAAGAGGCTGAAAGGCAATTTAAGCAAGTAGCTGAGGCTTATGAAGTTCTGTCCGATGGTGAGTATTAGATAAATTTAAAACGTGTTTTTTACCTTCCAAATCTGACTGCAAATTTGGCTGAAGCCAGTTCCTTAACTTTGCAGTTTGGGAAGTTAAACTTATTTTTAGAATTGATTGCCATCAAAATAACTCTGTGCTGGAATTTTACAGCTTACCTTCCCAGTTGGGATGAGACCATACTACTTGCCAAAGCAAAAGCTGCTGCTAATCTGAGCTAGCAGTGAAACATGTTACACAACTTTTATTTCTTGCCAAAGAACTGGCTGTGGCTGTCTGTGCTGTTTGTTGCAGAGGAGGTTTTTTTTTACAAGGAATGCTCTCAACTACTTTTTTTTTAAAGAAGGGACAAACAAGGGTTTGTGTTCTGTGTGCTCTTATCTGTTAGTATATTGAGTGGGATTATATTATTAACTATAGAACAAAGCTTATATTGGACATAAGTTGGTCACATTATTTAACAAAAGCAAACACCAAGGCTTAGCATTCATTCTGTATCACGGATAAAACTGCTTTGTTCTCTGCAAAATATGTTTTATATTTAGGGAAACGTCTGGACCCAATAACTGGATCCTCTCATAGTATAGTATACTAGCTCTTCATTTGCGAGATTAATAAGCCATCAAGTTTATTAGCAATAATAAGATTATGGCACTCTCTCCCCACAGAGGAGTACTGCAAGTTTTTAATGGGTTTTTAAAGTCTACTTTTTTTGGATTGCCTTGTTAAATTGACCTTTTTTAATGCTTCAGGTTTCAAATAATTAAACTGTTTTGAAACCATTTTAATATTACTAGTTTTTTTGGATTTTATGCTTTTTATTTTTAAATAATTGACATGTCTGGGTTTTTTTGAGCTTTTCTATCATGATGAATTTTCTTACATGGTCATGTTTAAAAAGGACAGCCTATTAATGCTGCTGTTGATTCCAGTAGTGTCTGGTTTGAGAGATTCATCAAAGTTATATCAAACAGATTTTTTTTATTTGAAAATTTCCTGATATTTCTAGATTGTATTTTTCTGCAACACATGTTTTTAAGTCATATGGTTAATTTATAGATTTTGAAGGCATTTAGTTGCAATTTTCAGGAAAGAAGAATACTTTTTGCTTCATGGCTGAATAATAGATACGGGGTGGGGGGGAATCAAAGGGCCTTGTCAGTTAGCAGCTTGAACTTGAACACCATTAAAAATTCATACTAAGTAATGAATATGCCTCTGCTTTTTGTTTTATTTGGATGATTACTGTTACATATAGCTGCGTCAAAATAATGTAACTAGTTTTATATGCATAGCTTACATATTGAGGCCCATTTTATTACACATTTTGATCCTTTTGTTATAATGATTTAAAATATAATGTAATTCTTAATATATAACCTTAATATATTTTTCCATGTTTCATTACTTTCATATCAAAGTAATCTATTTCTTATCTATTCTCTGTTCTTCATAGCTAAAAAACGTGATATCTATGACAAATATGGAAAAGAAGGCTTAAATGGAGGAGGAGGTACGTAGGGATTTAATGCTTTCTCCTATTTTAATGCTATGAATAACTTTTTAGCTAAAGATGTTTCTGCCATGCTAATACAAACAGGTTAATTTGGAGATCCAGTGAATGCCACCAGTGCCTGCCATACTGAATTCTGGCAAATTTACTAACACTCATTGGCTCCCCCAGTCAACATTCACATTTGTTCAGCAGCAACACAATGGAACAGGGAGTGTAAACCACAGAATCAAGATTGTAACTGGAATGAATCACTCACTATATTGTTGTACAAAGTTTAATGGAATGTTGCTATGGATGGGAAATAAAGTAAGTTGCATGAGATAAAATATGTGAAAATCAAACAACTTCTATATGATGAAATCTAACCCAACAGAGGAATTTGATTTAATTTGCATTAACTAATGAATGGGATGAACTCATAAGGAACATGAGACTCTTATCTCAAGTTGTGAGTTCAAGCATTGTAGGGGGTTGGACTGGATGACCCCGTCGTCCTTTCCAACTCTACAATTCCGTGATTCTGTGGTTGAGAAAGTGATCAATATGAGTAGGTAATATACTCTTCCCTTAACTCCCTGCAGCCCATCTGGATGTGAAATAGTTCTAAGTTCCACAGCATATTTGCCAACCTGAGCTCCTTTGATAGGAAGGGCCAGGTGGTAGGTAGATAGATAGATAGATAGATAGATAGCTAATTAGATCAATAAAATTTTCAGTTACCAATCCAAGGCAGAAGGCCTTGTGGTCTTCAGCTGGGTGAAGAACTAAGAACTAACTAAAAAAAATAGAATGAATATACATTTTATATTGATCAGGAACTGAACCATGGGGAGGGCTTTCCCATTGATTTTATTCCTCGGTGTGGTCAGACCTACTTAAAACGCAAGCTATGAGTTTACCATAATCTGGGAAGGGTGAAGAGAGTAACTGGGAGCCCTGCTTCATCAGTGGCTTTCCATGCAAGGCACTCTGGCACGTTCAAGTACTGGCCTGCCAAAATACTTGGCACCCTTTTCTTTGGCTTCATAGCTGTTTGCTGTGATTCTTATAATGATGCCAGAGTCACAGTAAATTTAACTTTAAGCAGCAAATGTTTGCACAAAGGGCCAAGCAGCTTACACAAAAATGACACATGACGTTCTGTCACCCATCTTAATGTGTCATGATTTCTGTACATTGTGGGGATTGCTGGGTATGCAGGTCTAGTAAAGCCCAGATGAACAGTATCAGCCCGCGGTGTTGTAATTACTGTATTGGATGGAGTATGACGGTGGAGATCGAGCTTCAAATCACTACACAGCTGGAAGTTCACTGAGTGACTTTGGCTTGCTACCCCTTAGTTTAGTTAAGGGTGAGCTTGATGATAATAAGGAAGAACTATATATGCTTCCATGGAGGAAGTAGGCTGAAAATGTAAGAAGAAATGACATGCTAATGAATTTGTCATTGCTAATTCACACAATGACTCAGACTTTGCGGAAAATATTTGTCATAACGTTTAAAAAAGAATATTCTAGTCCTCTTAACACAACTTTAAATACCTTAGAAATGAGCTCAGTTTATAGTCTAAAATGTGTGTTGAGGATATGGGGAGCTTTAAAGCATGGATTTCCTGATTTGGGAATCTTTGGTTGCAGTTCTTACAATTGTAATAAAAGTGTCAATATGCCTCAAGAAAAATAATAACTTTGACAGGTTTGTCATACTGAACCATTACTGAGAACAGTATAAATGAGAATAAGTTGCAAATGTTAAGAGATTTAGATGTGTTAGGATGCTGAAGAACTGCTGTGATATTGAGTGCTCTCTTGTTGCAGGTGGAACTCATTTTGACAGTCCATTTGAATATGGTTTTACATTCCGGAATCCGGAAGATGTCTTCAGGGAATTCTTTGGTGGAAGAGACCCGTTCTCATTTGATTTCTTTGGTGAGTATACAACATTGACATTTTTGGAAATATGGATATGCAAAATGTTGAAACGCATATGTTGGTAATAAATATGTTGTATTTTTTCATGTATGGCTCCCAATAAGGGTGTGGTGATAAAATCTGCACCTTTTATACTTATTGTTGGTGTTGACAAAAGGATAGCTTCAGTATACACAGAGTCTGACTTTGCATCTTGGAATTGGATATTTCAGGGCTACTGTGAATTTGTTAAATAGGCAACAGTCTGCATGGAAAACCTTGGAATTGGATATTTCAGGGCTACTGTGAATTTGTTAAATAGGCAACAGTCTGCATGGAAAACCATAGGAGGGGAGAGTGTCACTGTGTGCAGAGCCTTCTTGTGGGTTTCCCATAGGCAGTTGGTTGGCCACTGTGAGATGCTGGACTAGATAGGGCACCGGCCTAATCCAGCAGGGTTTTATTACGTTACGTTCTTATTGGTAGCACTGCTGCTACAGCAGTGATTTGCTTTCAAGCTTTCCCCTTTGAAATTGACTTACTTATTCGTATACATTCTGAGGTCTTAGGGAGCTAGTTACCTCTGCTGTAAACCAGCCTGAACCCTTTTATTTCTTTTGTCTTGAGGTGACATGGGTAGTAGTGAATAGGATTCTGTATAGCTAAATTTATATATTGTGCTCTAAATATTGTGGGGCGGGGGGGGGACAGGCTTGTTGTAAACACTGCTTGGTGATGGTGGATTCTTTGAAAAGTGCAAGACGGGTTAATGCAATCTAGTTGGCACCCCTGCTTGGGTAGAGTGTGCTTTGATGGTATGGGAAAGTGTATGGGAAATTGGCTAGCAAGGTGCTTCTGAACGAGCTGGCCGCTTTTTCTCTGAGACGTCACCTTAATGACCAGCTAGAATACGCATGTGGTAGAAGTGTCTGAATCATAGGGATGACAGAGTTAAAATTGCATTCCTTGTAAGCAGGGCATATTTAATGTCTTTAGCGTTATTCTCAAAAAAATAGAGTGGGAAACTTCTGTATCTTTACTAGCAAGTGTCAGAAATCAACTTGAACAAAGCTCTTAAACTGCTATCTCCATTGAGATCCACCAGTCTGAAATTGATCACTGAACTATGGTATCTAATTTATCATTCATTGGTCAGCTAGGGTAGTTCATTCGTTAGAGCATGAGACTCTTGGTCTATGAAAAGAGTTTCAGTTGTCAAAGCTTAGTATTACATAACTGTTTAAAGTTATGAGGCTTCACATGTAAAAGTTCATTTAATTCATAAATTAAGGTGTTGCAACTCAAAATATTGAATAACAAATTAATGAATTGACTTAACTGCAATTGGTACTTTTTGTAGATACCTACTCAATGATTATCACTTGGCTGCCAGAGGAGTCTAATGAAGGATCAGAAGAAAGGTCTATAGAGGAGCTGGAGGATGAGTGTAGTTATGAGTCAATAGAAGTGGCAGAGGAGCTGGAGGAAGTGCTAGAGGAAGAGCTTTATGAAGAATATTGTGAAGATTTTATTGAGGTCTTTGAAGAATATGATGAAGGATCTATTGAGTTGGAAGAACTACTAGTGGAGGAGGAGGACTCTGAAGGAGTAGCAGAAGAGTCATTTGAGGAGGAAGTGAGTTTAGTGTCAGAAGAGTGGACAGAAGAGCCTAGCAGTATAACCTTGGAGGAGCTGGAAGAAGAAATAAGTATAGGATCAGAGTTGGAGGAATTCTACTGACAGGAAACATTAAAATTAATAAATTATTTATCTAAAATGTCTCTTTACTTTTCTGAGGGCGCTTAGTTGTGGAGTACAAAGTAATTTAGTAATACTTTGGTTTGAATACAACAATACTTCAAGCTCTTACAAGCTTCGGGAATGCTCAGAATATTTAGCAGATCCTGAATGCTTGCTTTTATGTAGATGGCTTTGTACATTATATAGGCTTATGTGCCTATTATAGCCCTTTGCCCCTCCCCATTTCATTTTTGAAATTGAATTCTGCCTTTTTTTGTAACCATGGAGGTGTTTAGCTAGGGTTTTTAAAAAAGTTGTTTGGGAGGGTGTTGTGCCTATATTTGAGGAGATGTTGCCTCCTTTTTTGGTCTGTGCTGTTTGTATTTGTTAGTAGTTCTAAGCATCGCCAGTTTTTCTCCTGTGAAATGAGTATTTTGTGGTGCACAGTTTCTTAGATTTCTAAAAGTGCCTCTGTTTGGGGACCCCTTCAAAGCAGTGTAGAATAATATCCGTTAGCCTTAATAATGAATTGGCCTTCTGTGTTGAAGTACTGAAAAATTACCGTATTTTTCGCTCTATAAGACGCACCAGACCACAAGATGCACCTAGTTTATGGAGGAGGAAAACAAGAAAAAAAATATTCTGAATCTCAGAAGCCAGAACAGCAAGAGGGATTGCTGCTCAGTGAAAGCAGCAATCCCTCTTGATGTTCCGGCTTCTGGGATTGCTGCGCAGCCTGCATTCGCTCCATAAGACGCACACACATTTTCCCTTACTTTTTAGGAGGGAAAAAGTGAGTCTTATAGAGCAAAAAATACGGTACTTATTTTTCCTTTGAGATGTTAATAGAGCGGTGCAAATAGATCAACATTAATGAATGAAATTACTTTGTGGTGGTCTCATTCAAGCAGTCTGAGAGCTTGTATATAAATATGTGTTCAAATCAAAGAAGTTGTAATCAAATTGTATCCCCTTCAAAATGGTTGCTGAAATTGCTGCTGCTTTGGTTTTCCAAGTATTTCATAATTGTACTGAAGGGGTGTTAACAGATGAGCAGATTTTTAGCTGCCTTGGTTTAATTGCAAAGCTTGTTTCCTTTGAGGACAAAACAGCTCTAACCATATTGAAGAGTATCTTTCTACACAGTTGGGTTTTGGTGGGGAGAGTTGTCTATATACTTGACACCTAATTAATCTATTTTGTTGCCTTATTAAGCAGATCACCAGTATGTTTCTGTTGCGAATAAAGTAGCACATTTTTGTGGTCAACACATATTCTTTCTCCAAACATCAATATTGTATCTTTTCTGTGATATGGAAGTTTCTTGATACTGTTGTAACAAGTGCCTGGATTCACATGTGTGCAGCCCTTGTTATGGATGTGTGTTAACCCTTAACCTTATACCCACAAGAAGCTCTCACACAGGAATAAAGAAAGTTTGGCTTATTATATGACATAGGAGCGGCAGAGTAAGTAAGTGCTGCTTAAGACAGCAAAGTTACAAATTAAGCAGGTCACCAATGTCTCCTAGTAGGACGGGCTTAGAGATAAGAAATTTCTGTCTTTCCCTCAGAGTTCCTGCCCATTTCTCACCTTGCCCATCCTAGCCAGAAGAGGACTGAAAACTGGCCATCTTGTTTGTTTAACCAACTTTGATAGTGAGCCATTTATCTGACTCTGGCCATCTGTCTGCTGTCTGCCTTCAAATCACCTTACCATTGTTTAGATTGAGGAGTTGAGTATCCTGTGCTTGGCAATTAAATTTGCGTGTATTAATCTTTAGGTCAGATGTGGGTGAACTCAAAATATGTCTGAATGCCTTTCAGGAGGCTTGGTATCAGGCTTGCTCCAGGGTCACCAAATTTTATCCTGGAGGGTTTACTGTCATGTTTAAGTTGTGCCAACCTTGTACGTATGCCATGCTCTACAGAGAGCAACCTTATCACAAGTTCAGATTCACACACTCCTGTTCACACTGTATGAGGCCCATATCAATGCAAAGCATTATTTGTGCATTTGCTTTCTCACACACACCTTAATCGCTGTCCATTTTAGCCCTACTGCATTACAGAGCATACACAGGTGAACTTTTCAGAAGCATTGCCATAGAACTAAAACAAGTTGGCTCAAAGTGAACATGTGGTAGGTGAGGTTAAAAAGGACAAACATGCTGACTGCTATCAGCTAAGCCAGTGATCTTCATGTTATCTGTCAATTCAGTGCATCCCATGCAGTGGAAACTGTCTTATTCCTCTACTAACTGGCACTGGAAGGACAGTGAGAGATTTGCAAATGGATAACTCTCTTAAGATAAGGTATTGCCTGCTTCAGTATATAGTTGCATGGTATCTGCAATTGGGGGGCTCTGCAGACAGGGGAAGAGATAAAAGATCCCCAAATAATTTCCTAAGCACCTTGTTGTGACCGTATAGTTCTGCATTGCATATATTTAGTGTTTACAAAAAGTTTTCACATTAAGATTATGGATTATCACTGTAGGGTGGAATACGTCACTCAACACATGTCAAAATCAGAGTTATTTTGGGTTTTGATTTTAGGACATGCTGACCTGCGTAACTTGAGCATCTCACAGAAACAAGCACAAAACAAAGGTTAAAATTAACTATGTGAAAGTTAAGGTTTAAACTCTGTTCTCTACAATTTAGTTTTTCTACAAATCATGTGTATGATATTTGGAGCACTATCACACTAGCTGCTAGGCATGTAGACGGATGAGGTCAAATAATTTGAATGGAAAAGAATACCTGGTGAATTAAGTACGTTGATGCAAAGGCATACAGAGCTAGAACTGAATGGGATGAAGTACACTTTTCCCAAGAGCTCAGTGTTGCTGAATGGTAAGAGAAGGTAATTTGGTGTACCTATGGAAGTGAAGGGGACGTGGGTGGCGCTGTGGGTTAAAGCCTCAGCGCCTAGGACTTGCCGATCAAAAGGCCGGCGGTTCGAATCTCCGCGGCGGGGTGCGCTCCCGTCGCTCAGTCCCAGCGCCTGCCAACCTAGCAGTTTGAAAGCAGCCCCGGGTGCAAGTAGATAAATAGGGACCGCTTACTAGCGGGAAGATAAACGACGTTCCGTGTGCTGCGCTGGCTCGCCAGATGCAGCTTGTCACGCTGGCCATGTGATCCGGAAGTGTCTGCGGACAGCGCTGGCTCCCGGCCTTTAGAGTGAGATGAGCGCACAACCCTAGAGTCTGTCAAGACTGGCCCGTATGGGCAGGGGTACCTTTACTTATGGAAGTGAAGGCTTGAGTCTCACCCGGTTACAGTAATTTTAATATGGACAGAATAGGGGTAGCTTCAGGCCTCCTTCCACTTTACATTCATAATCCTATAGGGTTGAGTATGACAATGTGTTCTAAGCAAATGACCAGGTAACTTAAAAGAAAAAAGCGGGAAAAAACTTGGTTATATATAGATGCATAATAGTGGGCAGTAATATAATATTGTTCATGTTTACACAAGTGACCTTCATAGTTTGCTAGTGAGTCAAATCACTTTAGCAGGAATAATTTAGACTGTTGCATTAGTGGTTTACCTGATAGTGCATTCAGCTGAAAAGGGATGTGTTCTCAAGTTTTAATACATGAACAATCTTTCCAAGCTTTTTGTCTCATTTGTAGTGCTTGGGAAACATCCTACCAAAGCACTAATGTTTGTTTTCATGTATAGTTTAGCTATACATTGTTTAGCTAGAGATAGTTTAGCTAACATTGTTACCCTTTATGATGATAGCACATAGACATGTGCTATGCCTTTTAGCAGTATGCGTAAGCACTCATATATGTGCATACCCCTAATATAATTGCAGTCAAAGGGTCGGAGGGCTACTCCAACTCATTTTTCATTGACCCTTATTTTCATATTCATACAATTTTACAAGAAAATATTTAACTTGATTTATCCAGAATAAATCCTCTAGGGAAAAATGTGTGCTATGTGGAATTAAGTCTCCGTTGCAGTTAGTTGGTCTAGATCAGGCATAGGCAAACTCCAGCTCTCCAGATGTTTGGGACTACAATTCCCATCATCCCTAGCTTACCGGACCAGTGGTCAGGGATGATGTGAATTCGTATCCGGAGGGTCCACTGTATTGTTTTCTTGGAAATTTGATTAGGTTTACTTGGTGCCGTGGTCTCTTTAGGGTTCTGTGTCTTTCTAAGCCAGCTGCAGTGCCCTGCAAATACATTTTGGTAGTTTTGAACCTAATGGGTTATAAGTCCTATTCAGAGTAGAGCCACTGAAATTAATAAACTTAAGTTGGCCGTGTCCATTAACTTCAGTGCATTTATGTTAAGTAGGACTATACCACCCAATATGGATTATTTGAGAGTTAAGTGGATTCAGGATTCTGGGCAAAATCTTAAACAGTTGCAACTGAAGGCCACTGTTAATTCTTTTGCCCATGTTGCTGTTGACTTAGCCTCAGGCTTATCCAGCAGAAGAGATTTTTTTTTGCAGCTTTCACCTCCATTTTTCAATTTGGACATTTACAAAGATAAGAATTAGCAGTATGGGAGCTTGAAGGTTATGGGCTTGTTTGATTTACAGATGTACTGTTAAGCCCTATTGGAAAGATGTTGGTTAAATTAATTAGTGTGATTAACGACCAAGTGAATTGTGTAGCAGCAACAGACACCATTGTTTTTACCAACAGTACAACAGTGGTTGAAAACCTAGAACCATTATACAAATCTATGATGCAACTGCATTTGGAAAACACGACAGTTCTGGTTGCCGCACCTCAAAAATGACACTGTAAAGTTGGATAAAGGCCTCCAAAATGATTGATGGGGTCGGGCAACTCCCCTGTGAAGAAAGATTGCAGTGTTTGGGACTTTTTAGTTTAGAGAAAGGTGAATAAGAGGTGACACAATTGAAGTTGATAAAATTATTCCTGGCATGGAGAAAGTGAATAGGGGAATTTTTTTCTCCCTCACCACACTAGAAATCATGGGACGTCCAAGGAATCTGAAGTTCGAAGATTGAGGACAAGTGAAAGAAAGTACTTCACACAGCAGATAGTTATATGGATTTTACTCCCATGGGAGGCAGTAATAACAGGAGTAATTAAAAACAAATTCACTTAATTTGACAACTAATTCTAGATATGTTCCATATTTTGTATGGCTGGTTTTCACTCATGAACAAGGTGTTCTTCATCCTCTTTTGAAATGATGTATGATTTTGGAAGTAGGGGAATGAGTGACCTATCAGAGAGGGTTTTTTGCTTTGTTGCCATTGTCAAATTAGGTTGAAGAGAAAGAGCTACCAAAGAAAACTCCCTTGAACAAAAATTTAGTATACACCCAAGACAGACAGATGGTATTGAACGTATATCACCCCAAAAGCATAATGGTCCCAGGTTTTTATCCATCTTGCTCTCCTTACTTCTGAAGGGGATGGAGCACATGTTCCCCATGCTGTAAAATGATGTCACTTAAGCCCAAATAATTGGATGCCTATGAGATTATGTATCTGAATCTGGGTATATAAATTAAATCCTAGTAAGTATGTTTCAAGTTGCAAATTTCAGGAATGCCTCCCTAAGGCCTATTTTGTATGCTGTCAGCAAAGCTGGGGTTTCTGTCACATTTTCACAGCTGCAGCCACATTAGGCTCCCTGACTGGTGAATGTTCATGATGCCTGCAAACATTGACTACACTTTACCACTTTATATGAGCTCAAACAAGTATCCTTGTAAGATACATTACGTTTATAATGTGTGAACAGGCAATAATATATGCAGGGATGTCCAACAGGTCAATCGTGATCTACTGGTAGATCCCTGGGAGGTTTTGGTAGATCGTGGTCGATCACTGGCTCCCTTTCCTCAGCGGTGGTAAAGTAAAATTTGGCCTCAGCCCGCCCTCCATTGTTCCACGATCCCCAGAACAGAAGACGGATCTTTTTAAGTGAGATCTTTTGGTGTTCAACTTTCCCCCTTAGAAAAGCTCAGCAACTTTTCCCTGAGCCCCTAAGAAAATGGGATATATATATATATATATATATAAAATCTCATCCAGCTTGGAAGTTGTTCTCAGGCACTCTTTGATTTAGATAAGTTTTGAAGCTGGGGAAATAAGAGATGCTACTGATACCGGAAAACTGCATTTTAACTGGAGTGACATAATACATGTGGAAGCAACAAGTTTCTCCTGTGCCACAGGGTACTTTTGACTTGGCACACAGACTTTTTCCTCTGCCAAAAGGTTCCTGGGTTTTGTGCATATGTAAATGCTATGCATTCTGGGTAGGATCTAGATTGTTGGTTGCACGTTAGTCCTGTTGAACTCATTGCCTAATGTTTCATAATTTCAGTGGGACTCTGATTCAGCTAAGGTAGTCTGGATCCAACCTTCCATGTTCAGCCATTCATTTTCATATAGTTGTTGAATTCCATTTCTTAACCTGTTTTTCCCCCCTTTGGCCTTGTTCATATTTTATAATAATATGTTCCTCTTAAAAATCTGCAAGGACTGAAAACTCACTTTTTACAGATTGTTTATATATTGCATAACAACATTTATATACCACTCGATTGTAGAAAAACACCTCAAAGCACCTACAAGCATATAATTTACACCATTTGTTTGTTTTATTATTTTAAAATGGTAAGCTTCATTGGATGCTTTGGCAGAAAAGCGAGATATAAATGAAATAAATAAATAAATAAATAATGCCACTTAGCATAGCATATACATAAGTTTCAAAATACTACTTTACAAAAGTTTCATGAAAATACTTCCCCTATCAAAATGGGTGCATGTGTCACTAAAATGGTTTTTGTTTTTTACTAAAAAAAGTTACAGCAGTATATAATCAATTCCTGTTTGTTATTCCTAGTATGTTCATAGTTCATATGTCTGCTTGATGCATCTTCAAACACTTCATGCATATTGATACAACTTACTTGTACCGCTTGGAGTATAACTTTAGCATTCAGGTAGTACTCAAGGATTTCATATACGCTCACAATCAGATGTAATGGGCCATTTAAGTTTATTTCGGGAAGACATGGCTTCTACAATAGATCTGGTTTCAGAGAGGAAAGACTAGCCCTCAATTTTAAAAGAGATAATGCAACATATAAAATCACCATTGAGCTTTCAAAATGCCAACTACTTTAACTTCACATTGCCAGAAATTTTCTTGCTTGGTTCCTTCAAGCACATCCATTGTGGGTTTTCTAATGCTCTATTATGATCTGTAGTCTTTGTGAAGGCTTTTAAGATAAAGTGGATCTAGAAAACCAGATTCATCTCCTTTAACAGAGTTTAGTAGTTATACTTTCAGGATTTTGAATATATAATGTATTTCACTAAATGGCAATGCTGAATTAAAAATGAACTACCTGCAGTGATATTGAACCTTTCCACAAAATCAGCTGCATCCCTTCCGATAGGGAGAAAAAGATCACAAAGGCTGTAAGCCTGTGCAGACTTTCATGAACACAATGAGATATACTTCTATGTATACATGCATAAGGGTGCACTGAAAAGCAGAGACCGCTCCATGCATCTGGCAGTTGGAGAACTAATGTTTGTTAAAGATGGAAAGTGTGTGATATTGCAAGTAGACAGCAAGCACTGGCTTGGTTGTCTTTAATATTTAAAAAGTCACTAATTTTGTACCTTACTTGGAGTGTTTAGTACTGAAGCTTACTAGTATATAATTTTTAAAACTTTTTTTTTATTTGCAGAAGATCCTTTTGATGACTTCTTTGGCAATAGGCGAGGGCCACGTGGAAATAGGAACAGAGGTGGTGGATCCTTTTTCTCCGCTTTTGGTGGATTTCCTGCATTTGGGAGTGGTTTCTCTTCATTTGATACGGGTAAGGTGAATTAAATTCAGTTCAATCAGCGAATGTAGACAATTTCCCAATTACAGTGAAGTTTAAACTCTAAATGGTAGGATTGTTCGATGAGCCGCTAGTTAAGACATGAAAATTTGGGAGTCAGCATCCCTGAAAATTGGCTGTGCTTGCCCAAGGCTGGTGGGAGTTGTAGTATAGCAACCTCTGGAGCACCACAAATTCCCTTCACCTGAGCTACAACTGAAAGGAAACAGTGCTGAATCCAGAGCAATTTTAGATGCACATAAAGGCTTGAATTTGAACTTGCCTGTAGTTTGTTTTCTGGAAAGTTCATCAGTTTCAAAAGTGATTTTCCATGTGACATTGGGTAAACTATTATTAGTAATACTAACACTAATACTAATAATATACCACCCTTCCTCTGAAGAGCACAGGGTGGTTTACATCATAAAAATAAAATTACAGTTTGGATTCCAGCTAGCTTTTAGGAAATGTGTCATTATGCTGTCTTCAGCTCTTCAAAAGGCTTGCAGCATAGGTTTAAACCAGTGAATCACATAATTTTAACTTTCACAAGCAAGACATCTCGTGGTTTACTGTTAATGTACCATATTTTTCGTCCCATAGGATGCACGTAGTTTTTTTGGGGGGAAATAAAGGAAAAAAATTTTTCCTTTATCCCCCCCCCCCCCAAACCAGGTTGGGGAAACCGAACCAGGTCGAGGAACAGTGGGATGGCGGCGCTGCGCCTCCTTGCTGTCCCCCGAGCTTGTGGGGCTGGCCGATGTCTGTCCGGCGTGTGGGGCGCTCTGCTTCAGGGCACCTTTCGCGCCGGGCGGCAGGCTGCTATCCGCAGCGTGAGGAGCCCTGCGGGGAACTCCTGCAGGGCTCCCCACGCTGCGGATGTCTCTCCGGCGTGCGGGGCGCTCTGCTTCAGGGCGCCCCTCGCGCCAGGCAGCAGGCTGCTATCCGCAGCGTAGGGAGCCCCGCAGGGCTGCCTAGGCTGCGGATGTGTTCCCGAAGGGCCGGGCGCTCTGCTTTCAGGGCGCCCAGCGCTCCGGGAAGCAGGCTGCTATCCGCAACCTAGACAGCCCTGCGGGAACTCCCGCAGGGCTGCCTAGGCTGCGGATGTGTTTCTGAAGCCTGGCAAGCGAGAGGGGTCGGTGCGCACCGACCCCTCTCGCTCTCCAAGCTTCAGCAAAAGCCTGCATTTGCCCCATAGGACGCACCCAAATTTCCCCTTCATTTTTGGAGGGGAAAAAGTGCATCCTATAGGGCGAAAAATACGGTAATTTCTTAGTATCATTATATTAGAATATAATCTCAAGGACCCAAACTTCATTTTGAGTTGGAGCATCGAAAGCTGAGGAAAAGCTACAGCTAAATTTAAGCGGTTGGCGGTTGTTTAAAATTGCTGGAATCAGGATATAAACTGGTATATGAAGTTAATAGACATGGTTACACATAGTGGCCTGACAAATCAGTTCTGAATTTTACTGAGTTTATTAATCTGTGGAAAAAGCAGAAGTGAAAAACTGTTGGTCCTTTGGTGGGGGGAGATGTACCCCTTTTTTTGCCTTGGTTCAAGTACATTCTGACACTTTGATTCCCTTACCAGGTTTTACTTCGTTTGGTTCTCTGGGACATGGGGGCCTTACTTCATTCTCCTCCACATCGTTTGGTGGCACCGGGATGGGCAGCTTCAAATCTGTATCGACTTCAACTAAAATAGTTAATGGCAGAAAAATTACTACAAAGAGGTACAGTGATCTAAATTCACATTTTTCAGTAGGTTAGTTATGTAACTGGTTTTCTGTAGTCAATAGATTTTTAAAGACGTAGAATTATAGAAATATATTGCTTCTCTCTTTATTACTTGCCCAAGGAAGGAAACAAATGCTTTCACTAGCCAGAATTAACTTCAAAGTGTGTATATACTCTGTTTACATTAGTGACACACTCAGCTCCCAATAAGCTTAGGTTCTCTGTTTTCAGGTTGATGCCTCTGATTTTCCCAAGTTTTGAGTGTGGTGTTAGTGGTATTTGAATAAGTTGAATATTCCTGTGATTGAGGTGCCAAATGTCCAGTCCTAGTGGATTAGAGATGTGATAAATATGTGAAGTTGTGATGTCGGATCTGGCTGAAATTGGAATTGTGCTAAAATGGTGGCTCAGGGTTTCATAAGGGGTTCAGTTTACATAAGCAGTCAGAATTGTTCTAAGCTTTTGCATAAAATGAAACTTTCCAGTTTAGCTGCTGCTATTTGATGCCAATCAGTGGTAATCACTTTATGGACAAGATATCCATGTGCTAACTGGTTGTTATTTAAAAAAAAACACTTCAGAAAAGACTATTAAATGGATTTTTATCCTGCAGAATTGTTGAGAATGGACAAGAGAGAGTAGAAGTTGAAGAAGATGGCCAGTTAAAGTCTTTAACAGTAAATGGTAAGGAGCAGCTGCTACGCTTGGATAACAAGTAATTCAACGCACGCATTTAACAGAAATGTTAAGCTATAACGAGCACCCTTTGAGGATTAACAGGAACATTTTTTTGAAGATTTCAAACGAACTCTTTTCATTATACTGTACGTAATCTAAAGTATTTATAAACGGCTCATCGGAGCTCATGATACTGTCAGACTTTCGCGTTTATTTGCTGGGACCACATGAATAGGACCATTTTTTGTCCTTAAAATTGTTGTAAATTTCTGTATGCACTTTGCTTTTTATTAAACCTGATTCTAGGTGGACAATTACCCTGCATTAGCGCTAGGGCAAAATTGTACACTAACATTAGCATGAATCCTGCTTTTTTTGATTTTTTTGTTTGTTTGTTTGATAGATATGTGAGCCAACTAGTAGTTTAAATCTACTGTGAAGTTTAACATTTCTGAGGCAGATTTAGTTTCAAGCTTTCAATATTTAGTAGTGAAATAATGTTAATATGTTACAGATGGTGCATTTTTGGTTTAAACGAATTAAGGATGTTTTCTAGTTGTGCATGAATGCTGGCAATTTAGTCAGTTTTGACATCTAAATGTGTAATGTTTAAGCCTAGGCTAACAAAAGTTAAAACTAGTGAGCTTGGGTACTTTGTCATTTTTGCTAAAACGTTAAAAAATGAATAAATGCTGATGTTTGTGGTGCATTCTTTCATGGGTAACATTTGTAGCTTTTTTTGTGCGCCTGTGTAACTTGGATGATAACTATACTCTGCTTTTCAGTACCTGCTTACTTCAGACTTTCTTCCTTGCAAACGTTTCCCCATATAAGAATTGGGTGCCACTAAACAATTAACCACAACATTCTCAACTAGACAAGTGTTATTTCTCTGGATTAGGTAAATGTCATACCAGTGGATGTGAAACAATTGTTTTTTCCCTCTGCCTGCAATCCACCCCCCATCTGTGCCAGAGAGTTCCCCACACCTTTTGAAGCAGATTTTGAGAATGTGTGGGGAGAGCAAGAGTTAAGTTCCATTTGCATGAAGCTCATTGCTCAAGCAGGACATCAGAGATTGATATTACCCCCTAAATTCATTTTTTGTGAACTGACATAAATGTAGTTCTAACCATTATTTTTCAGTGAGCAATGCTTTTTGTTTTTTCCTGAAACAGTAGATGGCTGCAAAAAGCAAAATAAGAAACATATATTTGTTTTTCAGTTTAAGTGTTGCATTTTTTTTAGACTGCCATTCAGTTGGATAAGTACATGGGTGAGTCCCTTATTCGGTATAAACTAGGCTCCAGTGAAACCTGTTTAAATTAAGCTATGGGATAGAGGATCACACTGGAAGTGTGGGAGAAAAAGAGGAAGGTAAACCTTTATCAGGGCAGCTTTGCTCTAAAACCTTTAGATTATCATTAGTTGTAATGAAGTTGTTTCCTACTGGTGGCTAACCTGTAGCCTTCTGGAAGTTGTTGGACTACAGTTCCCATCCCATTGTTGTTCCTGGTGGCTGGGACTGATGGGAGTTGTAGTCCAATAACATCTGGAGGACTGTAGGTTAGCCACTGTGCTATATAACTTCAGGAAAAAGTGAGTACCTATTAATTTAGGAAGTGCAAGCACACTTCGTATCCCTATCTAAAACTAACCATAAGTATAGCTTTGGATATCCTGCCTACAAATTACAGAAAGCATCATTCCTGCATTGCAGGGAATTGGACTAGATGACTCTTGGGGTCCCTTCCAACTCTACAATTTTGTGCTTCTTTTAAGGTCCTTCCTAATGTAAACCTCTCAATGGTTGACATATGTTCATATATCTTGGGCCATGTCCTCCAAATTGACTGCCCTTGTATGATTAAAGATGGGAGGGGCCATTTCACCAAACTCCTTCATTGGGAGAAGAAATTCTTCAGCACTTCCTTGTGCCAGCAGTGGCTGTAGCATAGTTTCTTTTTCTCTGAGTCCCGCCTTCCCCGCTTGCTGCTACAAAAGTGGCAGCAGCAATGGCCATGTTGACAGACTGACCACCATTTTGCATCCTCCACAGTGCCCCTGGCCAAGTGCCATTCTAGGGCATGTGGGACAAAGGAATGAGAAAAGGTCAAATGTATTTTTAACACAGAATTCATTAATCAGTAACCCATTATGATGTATATTTCATTTCTTATTTCTGTTCTCTTTGGGAAACATCAGTCTAGAATGATGAGGGTGAATGATACTGAGTTAGGAAAGGCTAATCACACTTGCTATAAACAGAAGCCTTTAACTGAAACAAAAACTAGCTGCCTTGTGCACTTTCCATTTCACTCCTCATAAATTCCATCCAAATTGCTAAAGGAGAGCATTAATAGGTTACTTTCATTGAAGAATCAGCCCCTGGTACCTTCTCAACATTCACAGTTTAAGAACTATTGACAGTGCTAGTTGTAGTTTATTATTAAATTAGTTATATAGTTGAACAAGACTTGACAAGAGTTAGAAGGCTAGCCCATCGACAACTGTATTATGGTGATAAAATAAGTAGAATACTGTACATTATTTCATATTTCAAAACACAATGTGCTTAACTTGCCACATGGGTGCTTTTGCTGGAATGGCTCTATGCAGGCAAACATGGGGCTGTGTATATACTGTGGTTGAAAATCAGAACTGTGCCAAGAATTGTCAACATCCTGCATCCTGCCTTGCAATTAAAATTTACATATTTGCTTATTTTGAAGCCCTCTCCTATATCACTTGAAATCTCATGAGACTTCACCAGGCATCAGACATACGCATTATCTGCAAAACCTTCACCACCAACCTTCAAGTGGGGGCATAATCCCATGGGGAATTATGAGAAAACATGTAATTTGCATTACTGACAGACATGCCGCTCATACTTTGTAGCTTATCAAGAGCTGAGATTTTCAGGATGCTGAATTCTGTGCTAGATGATTTTTGCACTTGCGCAATCTGATCATAGAATGCACACAGCCCCTGTATATCAACTTGCCTGGCAGTTCTGTCTCTTCCAAATGCGCTGCATCATATTTAGCAGCAGCTAGTCATTTGGATGTCAAATCTAACTCTTAGCTGCTAACCTTTCTGGTATTGCAAGCCAAGCGACACTTTGTGTTGTCTGTATGTCCAAAGTGTTAAATTTGATCTGGCGAAATGTGGTTCTTACTGCTTAGCATTTGTGAGAATAAATCCAGACCTTGCCTGGGGGTTGGGTGTATTGTTTTTAGCCCAACAGAAACCTGTTAGTCCATGCATCCACAACAAATTCAGTTTACCTGTTACCAGTATGGAAAAGGTAAAAGGTACTCATTTACTTTCCTAGGGGTTTCCTTCATGGCATGCACCTCCCCAAGATAAAGAACAATAAAAATGAAGGTCCTTAGAAGCCAAAGCAAGAACAGTTGCAAGACCCAGAGTATAAACATGGTCCGTCTATCTATCATCTATCTATCTATTTATCTAATGTAATCATCATTGAAGATACAAAAAATAAATAAATTAGAAGATTGCACACTAGTAGACAAATAAGTGTTTTGACTGCTTAGTATTTTTCGATGAGATTGTTTTATCAATTGTCCATTATATGAGTGATCAACTCTTGAAGAGTTGGTGGTTCTTGTGTTTTTTTGAAAGGCTGAGCAGTCAGAGTGGATCTTTGTCTACAGGTCTGCCATCTTCTGATTTATATGATTTGGTTTTTTGTTTCTGTACCTTCATTGATGTAATTAGTTTTCCAGCCATACATATCGAGTACAATACAATACCATTTTCCTATTCCGAGTTGTGTAATTGTATTTGCTTATGCAACTCCCCAAACCAGTTCCATTCCTCCTTTTCTAGAATATGTAGTGTAAAATGTCAGGGACCTGACAAGCCCATTTCCACTCTCCCTACTTTTTTTTTTCTTTTTTCAATGACATGAAATTTTTGTTCCAATTACTTTTGACTGTATATTTAATTTGTAGACTTCCACAGTCTGCCTAACAGTTTATTTAGAGCCCCCCTCAATATACTCACCTGCCACTAGCATTCTGTTAGGTGATAGGTTCTAGTCAAAGAAGCTTTTGCATTTTTAAAAAATAAAAAACCCTTTCATTTCCAAGTATGTATATTTCTGCACACCTAGAAAGTTTCCGGTAAAAACCACTCCCCTGCCTATGTATGGCTCTGTTTCTCTTCCTAAATGATAAAGCATTCAACCACCTGAGTTCTCAATTAGAAGGAAGAAGTGAGACCTACAGCAAACTATTCCAGTGTGGATTACTCACAAGTATTCCAACCAGCCATGTTCTCTTCCTGGATATTCCATTCTACCGCTACCCTGGCTTTGTTCTCCCCTATCCTAACAAGCATTCAGCATTCTGTGACTGCTGAACATGCTGCGTCCTCATGTGGATTTTCCCCACAAATTTTTTTTTTCAATTACTGCAAGTTTTGGGGTCCCCATGAGCCCACTGATATCTCTGTTTTGTTTCTCAGTCCACTCACGTTTTGGCTTTAAAAAAAACCCCTGTCAGCACTCATCAGCTGAGATTGTTATTAGAGGGGGTGATTGAGTAGGATGGGAAAAGGAATTAGAGGTGAAATATTCAACAGTGATAACAAATGGGCAGGTTATGGATTTATACTTCATTCCTACCACCCTATTTGTTTTAACACGTTGGGTGTTGGTCCCTCTTCCTCAATGTTGTCCACACTGAGTGGCAGAACATGGACATTCCGCATGCAAGCAATGTGCTTTTTAGCACTGACCTATGGCACTTCCTGACTACAGATTCTGCTCTATTGGCACACTATTATATTACGGACTGATAGTTTTGACTTGGTCACTTGTGGGTTTTTCTAGCTGCGACTGGCTGGTGTAGCTGATCATCTAGTCTTGAGAATAGCTGATGGGCTACATTTTACAGCTGCCACCAGAGAAAGAGAAATTTATCTATTGGATCCAGACTTTGTTGCACTTTGAAATCAGTGGAACGAAGGCATGACTTTATTTGTGCTGTTAATTTCAGTGGGGTGTATGTGC